ATAGATAAACTCTATATAACAAAAAGTTGCATTACAACTATAGTTATGTAGCTCAACTAGTAACCTAGCTCAGTTGACGCACAGGTAAGGTATGTTGATAAAAGAGCTTTAGAGTTCTACGACAACCTTGCGCGCAGACACTCCGCCCTGGAGCTCTGTCAAACCCTTCTGAATCTTGTCCAATCCATTTCCGACAACAAGAGGGTCCGGCTTAGGCAGAAGCTGACCTCCAGCAAGGGCTCGGGGGATGAAGTCCTGCATATGTTTATAGACGTGCTCTTCTGTCGTGAAAAGAAGACCCGAAGCTGTGAGTGGAGTTAGTTGGGAGGCATGTAGTCTTGTGGAACTGGAAGATTGTGCACATACTATGCTTCACTCCAGGAAGTCTCTCTTGAATGTTCCCGAACAGTGGAAGAACAGAGACCACATGCATGTCAGTCTTGCCAATCTTGCGGAGGATTTCAATGATCGGACCGAAGCTCGCCTCCTCTGACACAGCGTCAAAGACGCCAACCACATCTGCGTCAGCCAGAGCCGCAGCCACGTCCCGAGCCACGGTCACCGAACGGTAATCAAAGACGTCGGAAGCACCAAGTAACCTGACACCGTCATGATTAGATGTCGAGGCCGTCGTCACAACACGCAAACCGGATGCGACAGCCAACTGGATCGCAGTTCCACCGACAGATGATGCTCCACCCCAAACAAGCAAGGTCTTGCCCGTGGCGACTGGATTAAGAGATGGAAGAGGCAGACCGAGGTCTTCCTTCCGGTACAGGCCAATGGCGGCTGTGGAAATCGCCAGCAGTAACACAGTTGCCTGGTTGAAGCTGACGTGATCAGGAGCTTCCCAGACTAAGTGCTGCGGAATAGCCGTGTAGTTCTGGAACCCTCCGTGAGCAGACTTACCAGTACTCAAACTAATTGGATGACTAGGATGAAGTTGGGTCAGCGACCAGATCATCGGTAATGCACTCATGCGGAGAGTGAGGTCACGTAAGCGGGATGCGATAGGTCATGATACTCACCCGAAGACGCGCTGCCCTTTACGGAACCGTGTGACATCGTCCCCAACCGCTTCCACAATACCGGCTACGTCGCCACCATTGACGAATGGGTAAGTTTTAATCACCATTTTCCGAAGGTCGTCGAATGCCCTTGAGCTTCGTCAATATCTCTGACACAGTTGTTCTGGGTTTGGAATGATTACAATAACTTCCAGTCGATGGGGTTCTGCCAGATGTGAGCCGCAGTTCGTTTAGAAGTATTGGTGTAGAGGTTTTTAGAGAGCACTTACCAACGCAACGGCATGATTTCTCACGACCACCTCATTCCGCTCAGGCGTGGGAAACGGGGTATCTTCGACCTCGAGGATCTTAGAGGATGCGCTCTTGATGAAAGCTGCGCGGTTAATGACCATCTTGTGAAGCCGTGATGATGATGGCGAAGACGGTAATGCAGAATGTATCAAACGAGTTGCAGTTCTCCGCATTCGTTTGCATCGAGAAACAGGTCACGACCTTTAAATTATGAAAAGAATACGAAGCTCTTCACCGGTCCTGTGATGCTTTACCCTCGATCGTCTTCCTTCTCTTTATACATAAGGAGAACATAGTTCTGTCGAATGTTAACGTCCGTTAAGTCCGTGGAAATCTTCGTGCGTCATTTATAAGTCCTCCCCAATTTTCTTATCAAGTTTCCTAACGCCATGCTCCTTCCAAGCCACATCGGTGTTAGCTCGCGATTCGGGTCGTGTCATATCGCAGCTTCGTCCGGCCTCTCCGGACTTCGCTACACGTCAAATTTCGCGGGCCAATCACCATGAATTGTGGCAGCATAGAGGACTGGATAAGTCTGGGAAGGTGTTACGTGAGCTAGGTAGCTGAGTGCTTTCAGCTTGGAACAGTGAAAACAAACCACTCTACCGTCACATAGTTGGCGGAGGACACATTCGTAAGACAATCTTGCCTTAATGTCGAGAAAAATGTCAATTATCAACAGTATTTCATTCCTAAAATCGTTAGGATTGCGAAAGTGACCAAAGGCTGGCCGCGATTACAAAAGGTTGCTCTAAGCGCAGCAACAGGAAGATCCCTGTCATGCGTGTACTACACTCAACTACCAAGATCTTTGCGGCCAGCATCTCCATGCCAGTGGCAACCTGTCGCACCCACTATTATGGTTTGTGGTGGATTGACGCACAGTATTCAGAGAGAACAAAGGTTTAACATATTACATGGCAGTCGACGAGGGTTTGGACATTTGCCATATTCTCCATTCGAGCTGCAAAAACTACAAACACGCATTTTGCTAAGCAGCAAGTCCACTTCGAAGAATCCTTTTACGGATCTGTGGGCAGTGTAGATGACGAGACCATAATCAGATCTTTAAGTGAACAGAAACGACGGTTCCCATCCTACTTGCTTCGCAACAGCTCCAACCAGGAGGGAGAAGCGTAGTTGCAACTCCTCTTCAAGAACCTTGAGGCATTTCTCCAGGAGCGGGCTACCTTTGGTAGCCCCAATGCAACGTGTCTCGTTAGGCCCAATATATTTTGACGCAGTAGTACCGTCTGCAAACATGTCCGGGTAGTCGGGCCTTCTCACTTCCAAAGCCACGGAATTTTTCGGGATATTGACTTCGGCCATCTCTTTGCCGATCCTCATCACTCTCTCTCTCTTATGTACATCAACAGCATATTCGTGACTGAGCGTGCAGGTGATCCGGATGTCTAGACCCTCAAGGCTCGATAGATCGTTGACTGAGCTTAGAACTCAGTAATTATGCCAGCACATGGCAGAAGACGATGTGCAGATAAGTTAACGTCGGCTCAGGCGTGTTTCTCCTCCGCATCCTCTCTCCCTTAAGTTCTCTGACACCTTTTTCGACTAGGACTACCCGCATTGACGTACTCCACAGGCGAGTAATGCATGTGAGCAAGTGACACACTTTTGCTAAAACCTTACTAACATGAGATCTAGTGGCAATGCCTCAATGCAACAACATCAAAAAAGTATCAAAATGTACGGTTCGCAGCAAAAGCTATCTACTGAGATGCAAAACTTGCACTATGTACAAAACACGCACGAACACAGTGCCTGACACATCCTAACATATGATGTACTTTCTACCATTCTTTATTTGCGTGATAGCTTCTGGCCAATCGCTTCCGCGCAATCAGCGTACATGTTTTCCACATATGTGAGCAAGCTGGCTCGCAACACTGGGTCCTCCAGTGGATTGCTCTCCCCGTACCATCTAAACTTAGTCGATTTGCCATCGATGTCCTCTAGGACAATGTTTGAGAAGATGCCACCCTCAGTTTCACCGACGTCCTTATTGTGAACCTGGAAGCGAAGGTGATGTTTTACCGGATCGCAGAACAGCATCACCTCGCGAACCTCATTCACCCATTGGTTCGACTCCCACAGGATGGTGCGCACCGATCCTGGACCATAGCCCTCAAGAGAGGAAGAGACGCACTTGGGGAACCAAAGAATTTCAGCCCCGAAAGAGGTGACAATCCCCCAGACCTGCCCGATAGGCGCATCGATGATCCGAGTAACGTCGGTAGTGATGTCAGGCATAGCGGTATCGTGAACGTGATCAATAAGCTTGTCATAGAGCTGTAGGTCGTGCGGATAGCGATGCTCAAGGCAATAGTGGTAATGTAGTTCGATAATAGTTATTTTTACTTCAACACAGCCTTAATTGTCATTGCAGCTGCTTGAATAGAATATGTTTTCCAAAGCCGCGATGAACTACGATTTATATACTCAGAAAATTGCTAACTTAGCCTCTAGCAGCGTCGAGATTATCTAATATCACGGCATCAAGAATCGTTTCTACCGAGATTTAGCATTGAGGTTACAAATCTAGTGGAAAACAAAGTTTGAATATTATTCTCGCCTGTCGTGGCTCAACATTGTGTTGGTGTCAAAACTGCGCGGTGGATGGGCTTCGTGCATAGCTAATGGGGCAAGTGACCAGTAGGGCGACCCGATGTTGGCGCTAGAGCGCTCAAAGCTAGCTTTCCGTGATTTCCCCACATTCGATCTACATGCTGCATGACCTCAAGCATGGAGCAACCCGGATCAAGCAGAAGCTCGCAAATTATGGGAGCGGACTTCCATGATGTCCGAAGCTGAAAGAGACTGATCTAGAATCGGGGAAAGACAGCTGACGTGGCACGCAATACATTTGATCCTTTATCCTAGTCTCGCCCACAGAAGCTCTACAGGATGCGCAACGCAAGAACTACGTCTCTCAAGCCGTGGTTCCACAGCTCCCAATCATTGTGAAAACCCTCCAATAGTCCGTTTCTGGTGCAGAAAGCAGTACGTGGGTTACATCTGTGGCCATCTTCACACCGTTGTCGCCCATGCGGCCGAGCGTCTGCAGAATCCACGCTCGAATTCGCGGTTCACTCGTCATTTGGGCGGCAGCGTAGAGTGGTGTTAACGCTCCGTTACATTGTAGAATTTGTAATGGCGATAGAGGCAGTGTGCTTTCACCCTTCATCGATGTGGGTAGAAACTGCGGTACCGACGCACAGATATCATGGGTAATCTCGAGAATCACTTGTGACGCCGAGGAGGTCACATTCAGATCGTGAATGATGCGATTCAAGTCTAATCGCATGATTCGGAAGGCATTGAAGACTTGAGTCGCGTAATGGCATGGGTACAAGTCGTAATGGCCATTCAGGGTCAGGACGTTGCCAGCAGAAATCCGTCGAGGTCTCCAAGAGTGAGGTATGTTATATTCCCCGAGCCTTAGTCGTATATCAAGCTCCTGCGCTCGTTGCAAGAGATCATCTGCGTGTAGGCGTGAAGTGCAAATGTCAGCACGGAGATTGATAATCGCTGACAGAACGTTGATAAAAGTCCACTTTGGGCTCTGAATGTAGTGGTCGAGGTCCCTTTGTAGTGCTGACAACGCTTCTGGTACATGAAGTCCAGCCGCACCACAACTGATCGTTAGCGCCAAGGCAGTTCTCATGGCGAGTTGCACAGTAGTAGGGTCAGAAAACTCGTCGGTCGGCCGAATCTGAACCATATGCAACGCACCTGATACATGGCTCAACCATGAGTCTGATTGACTAGACCGTTCGATACTACGATGCACGTCCATCTTCTCATAGAGATCGAGAAGTAGCACTGATTGTAGGATCGTGTTACTAACCGTGTGCTTCGCCGATAGCTTCGAGGAACTCAGCTCAGCCCTGAGGCTTTGAATGGCATTCACATATCTGCGGGTAGCATATCGGTGCAGATCTAGGCGGTTTGACTGAAGGACCATGAAAGCTAGACTGACAGCGTCAACGCTAGCCCAGAGGTGACTGGTCATCGGGGCTGACGCTAAGAGTGACCCCAGCGATTCGAAGCCTCTTGAGTAACGATCGACATAGAGCGACAAGAAGAGATTCCGTGCAATATGATCCAAATGATTTTGTGGACCAGACATGAGTTGCGCTGCCATCTGCTGGACCATAGCTTTTCGTGTAACCTTCTGCGTCTCGTCACGAAAAGTCACCTCGTTCGAATCTCGATAACCATGACAGGTTAGCTTGGCTCTATTACACTGTGAGCATCCCGATGCGACATGGTCGCACTACAAACACCTAGGATATTAGCGAAATTCCTGGGACATGAGATGCCTCTGGGGAAGCGTTGCCTAACCCTGAGTTTTCTCTTCCTACATGGCAGGCAATCTTTAGATGCGCGCCCGTAGTTGACCATGGACGTAGAAAAGCAGGTTTTCAGTCAGGATAGACTGGAGAAGTACTGAGGGGCGGAAAGCAGTACAATGCGTCGGTCCAAAGTAGATATAACACGAGTTGTGAAGGAGTATGATACGGGTTGAGATCGAACATGCTAGAAGTGTCTGGTTCCGATAAGCATTTGACGGTACAAATGGCGAGCGCACCTTTCGCCAAGCGAGGGCATCCTTGGTAAGCTGGAAAACGTCACCGCCGAAGATTGGCGACAGAGCCAACTGACGCAACTAGCTTAGCGCGGGGCCTCCGGAACGCTAGCTTGATTTGGCACTGCACTTCTCTGTCTCTTTTATCTCCACGCAACCCCACATGGCAGGCAAGGCTATTTGCATCATTCCACTTTCAACATTTCCAGATCCTGCGCTAAAAAGTGTCTTGCATGCATATGGTCTACAGAGCAGGTTGAACAGGTGATTAGATAATCAGGTGACTAGGCTGCCATAGTACCCTGTTGCGGCAGTTCCATCTGGACAGCGTGGGCTACACAATTATACGGTAGTGCTCTACCTACGGAGCGGCTCAACATTTGTTGATTTGCACATCGACCTTGTTATGCCTACGCTATAATGGCACTGCTCAGTCCTGAGTTCACTCTGAGTAGTCACGTATCAATGCAGAGCGCCGATTAGGGCAGATTTGCATTGCAGATCTGAATGATACAACTGTATGAAATGCTAGCTTCTTATGACTAGACTCATCAGTGGGTTCAGGGAATCTAGGGGTCGAGATGCTCAGAAAAGGACGGCTGCTTGGTAAGCCAACTACAACAAGTATCTAGTGAGCGATGACATCGGCCGACCCGATCGATTATAGGGTAAGTTCTGTCCACTGGTTGAGTGCAACCACGACTGCATCTCTTCCTCTAACTTGTTGTTTTCGAACAACATCGTCCACGGTTTGCACTACATCGATTTTTTGAGTCAAAATGCTTGTACTCGTTCCGGGAATCACTGGCAACCTGGGATTGCATTTATTAGACAGCTTGTCCTCTCGTGGGCACCACGTACGCGGCCTTGGTCGCTCTCCAGACAAGCTCAACGACCTGCAGAAATCAAAGCTCGAGTCTTTCATTACAATACAGAACTACTACGACATCTCAGCGCTCGATCAAGCCTGCGCTGGAGTTGACGCTATTATCTGCGCTTACACAGGATCTCCGGTAATGCAGCTCGATGCCCAGCTACTTTTGCTTCGAGCCGCTGAACGAGCCGACGTCACCCGATTTCTCGCAGCCAGCTGGAATTGCGATTGGAGGCAATTGCAACTTGGTCAGCACCAGAGCTACGATGCTATTATCGCCTTTCACCAGCAAGCCAAGCTCTCGTCGACGATAAAGCCGATCTATATGCTGACAGGGGCCCTTGCTGAGGTCTACTTCTCTGTCCCTGGCCACGGCAATTTCTCCCCGGCTTACAACGGGCCGTGGGACCCGGAGAAGCATACCATCGATATATGGGGGACAGGCGATGAGAAGTGGGATCTCACCACTGAGCGCGATGCAGCCGAGTTCTCGGTCGAGGTTATTCAGCGTGACGACGCCCCCAACGGCGGCTTCTGGGAGCTGCATTCTGGCGCATACTCGCCTCGGGAGCTCGCGAACATCTACAAAAATGTTAAAGGGATTGAAATTGCATACAACTACCGGGGTACATTGGACGATCTAAGGGGGCTCGCCTACTCCCTCAAGAATCAAAAGCCGTACAATGATTACTACAGTTATATCGGCTTGTTCTATCAGCTTTTTCAGCTGGATGGAACTTACTCACTGAAGAACGTTGGGAATCACAAGTTAAACGTCATTACTACGTCCATGGAGGACTTCCTTCGTCAGAACCCGGACATCTAGCTGGGTACTTGTAGACTTAAATTTCGATTCTCGATGGTCTTGAAGCTATCGCGAATACAAGTATAAAACAATCATATATGTAGAGAAGCTTGTAGAGAAGTAGTTGTAACGTGCAGGATCTCAAGTTGATAAACAGCATAGAAATTCATCAAGCGCACCTGTAGGACAAGGGCACGCGTGAACATGCTGCCAGCAATATATGGTCGTGTGTTCCGCGGATCACATCTGATTACTACTCCGAACCTTGGAATTTCTTTGTGTAGGACCCAACTCCCGTGCCTAATTGTTGATCGTTGTGTCTAACGCAGCTGAACGCGTTTCAAACGTGCACTTCGATGCCCGCTTGCGGTTATTGCTGATGACGTCAGAGGTGGGGTTCCGGAACGCTAACCTTGTGAGGCTAGCATTACAGGAGCTTGCGACCGCATGAGAAGATTACCCACCCGTCATGGCGATTACAAAGGCTAGTTACAAGTACGCGTACACATGTCAATTTAGGCAAGACCAGAAATTTCAAGACACGGGCACTTGATATTGATGACAGCGAACTGTCGCTACTGCTGCTACTCGATGGGTGTCTTTTCCCAAGCACTTTCCCATCTCTTCTGTCCTCCAAACGCATAGCATAACACTGATCCCTCGAGATCATTGAGCAGCTCGGAAAGCGCCAAAGACCGCTTTCAGACGAGCTGATTCGCCATTGCCACAATAAGGCCATCAAAGCGCTCTTGCAGATCTGCTTTCAGTACGGCGTGTACATCTTCGGGCAAGGGGGAGCCCTCAGCAGACCAGTCGAACCGGGTCTTGTTGGATCCGAGCGAGGTCAGAGCGGTCGTACCAAATGCGACCATGTCAGGATAATCTGGTCTACGGACTCGGAAGGTCATAGAGTAGTTCGGAGCATCGCACTCGGTGAGTTCCTCTGAGAAAGAGTACTCTTCGCCCTTCTTTGGTCCGGCGGGGTAGACGTAGGAGAATGTACGGATGCTTCCAATACCAAATCCTTCGAGAGAAACGGATTTTGCTCCTGGGTACCAGGCTTTTTCTGCACCGAAGCCAGCGACGAGGCCCCAGAGCTCGCCAATGGGAGCGTCGACCTCGCGGGTCACAGTAATGTAGTGCATCAAGCCGGACTTGGTTGACATCTTGGCTTGGTGGGTGTAGAACTCGTGATGTGCAAGGTTTGTAGAGATATTGTGCTTCTGAGTGATGGAGGAGTGCAGTTGATTGTGCCTGAGACAGCAGGATGAAGTAGAAGAACGTTTATTTATCATCCAATTGCTTAGTACTTGAGCTGAAGCTTAAGCTAAGAAATTGGGCACCGCTGACGTGTAGCTTGGTCTTGTCTGCTAACCCATCGCTATCCGCTCTAGCATTCCCAATGTTCATTTGGGTAAGCGTTCCGGAACGGCTTTGAGCAGCCACCACTTTCGTCCACGGAACTCTGCGGCGATTCCTTGGCCTCCACTAGCTGAAAAACTTTATCCGATGTACCGGCGCAAGCGGGTCAACTCTAGAAATAAAAGGCGGCTCTTCGGTCACACAACTCGTCCCGGCAAATACTTCTGCACTCCTTGTACATTCCGCGGCTACATCAACATCATGTCATCTCTTGAGCATATTCTTGCCTCGAACGCACTCATCGGTCCAGATGACGTGCCCAAAACAGCGGTCTTTGTCGGAGCTACCGATGGCATCGGGAAGGCTACCTTGCAAACTCTCGTCTCCAAAGGGTTCCAGATGAAGATCTACATCGTTGGACGCAACAAAGCTTCACACCAAGGTCTATTGGAAGATCTTGCTAGAAATAATCCTCGAGTAACTCTCATCTTCATTGAAGGTCAAATATCGCTGGTAGCAGACGCACAGCGCATCGCCAGTCAAATTGCAGCCCAGGAAGATCGCGTAGATCTGCTCTTCTTATCATCTGGCTATTTGCCGTTCACTGGACCTCAAGGTAAGAATTGAGCGCTAGGAGAAGCTATCACACATAGCTGATTTATACCTCAGAGACTCCCGAGGGCCTAGAGGCTTCTCAGGTGGTGTCCTACTACAGCCATGTAGTCTTCGTGCTACGTCTTCTACAACAGCTGCGTAGAGCCAGTGTAAGAAGGCCTGCACGCGTTTTGAACATCCTGGCTGCTGGAGAAGAGTCTATGGATCTCTACCTCGACGATTTGACTCTCAAGAAACCTGAACACTTCAATGTGCCTGCCTACGCTAAGCACGCTGCAACTTCAGTTACTCTCACGCTGAAGCGCATTGCAGAAGAAAAAGAAAACAGTAACATAGTCTTCATTCACGCGCACCCCGGCATGGTCTCCACCAAGATATTCCAAAAGAGCTGGGGCGATAAGTACGATCCCGACACTGCTCATTTTCCAATGCCTACTCGGCATATCTTTCAGTGTACCCCTGAGCAGGCCGGTGAGCGTTGTCTGTATCTGGCTACAAGTGCAGAATACGGTGGCGTCGGTGTTGCCCTGCAGCATGGCAGGCAGGAAGCCAGGACTATGGCGCATGTGAGCAAGCATTCACTGTTTGCTATCAGTGATAGAATGGAATATCTCCAGCCCGATGAGCTGCTGGCTGAGTTGCAGAAGTTGGGAGCGCCTGAGGTGATTTGGGCCCATACCATGGACGTCCTAGAAACTCATGGGGGAGTTGACTGAGAAAGTAGTCGTATGTATACAGCAGTGCAAAGCGTAAGAAGCTAGAAATTTGGATACAATTTTTGATCCCAAGCATATCAATGAAATTTTTTTTGTCTGACCTAGAATTTTGGACAGTGTTATATGCTCAAAGGGTAAAGTACTATTGCGCACCGGCGACGATGTCAAGATAATGACAATGCCAGTGATATGCAGAGTAAGGAAGGTACGTAATGGCACAGAGGCGAGGATGAGGTAGTTTGCAAAGTCTCATAGTGGGTAATGGACCTGTAAGATATTGAGTTCCGATCTACAATGCAGCAGCCGGGGCTACATGTGGCTATTCATCAGAAAAATGTGCTCATTGTCGTGCCACTAACTTCGGGGGACGATAACCTGCTGTTCAACGTGTCGATCTGTGTGGAAGACGACGACATATGACAGGAGGCGCAATAAGGAGCGCTGGTTGAGATCTAGATGAACCGCAGGATGGTGAGTGGAAACATCATTACTAACCCCCCAGTCGCCTACGGAACGCTAGCTCTATTGGCTTTCTATTAGCGCTTCCGCCCTCATACGGCCGATTGCGGCGACACGATCCCGGACAAAAACTTGCTTTATTCCGCACATGTCAGCTCAGTACTTGCGAGATTTATGCGTCATGATCGGCAGAGCGGCTTTCCATGTCATCAGGTCGACAAAAGATATCTATGTGTGCAAGTACATACTTCACAAGCATCTATGTGGTGCACTATAATACAAATGCGCAGTGTCAGAGCTCCATCTAAGCATGAGATTATGGCGAGCTATTTCAACGACATCTAATCGCAGAATGGCTACGTCTTCGAACGTCTATCTCTCACCGTCGCAGCCGTTGGTGTTCCACGTACCAGACATCAGCTTCGAGACTGCCACTGCGACCAGCAAGCTACTGCAGAAGAATCACGAGAATCACCACATCTTCTTTAACCAATCGGGCTTCCATGTACGTTTCCATTTTGCAACAGAAGATCTCGCTGACCCACAGCAGAATCATATCGCTCATCATCTCCTCACTTTCTTCGCTCTCAATGGTACACCTACTGAGCTGGAGCGTGCCTGGGTTGACAATGCGTCTTATCAGCGACAACTGGTTCCGCTCGATTCACATGTCGTATCACAGCTGCATGATCAAAATGTTTACGAGGCTTATTTGGGTCGCGAAGAGTACTACCACACCTTCCTCACCTTTTTTAAACGGGAGATTGATCAAAAAGGATGGCAAGAGAGGTACTGCGTGAGTTCATCTTGAAGGGAAATAAGCGGGCTGACGATATGCTGGTGCGTATGTTCGATGGTATCCTTCACCCACTCATTCACCTTGGATTCGGTGTAGAGTTTGAGCAGCCTGCAATCATTGCAGAAGCTTTGGCGTTAGCTGCTGTGCACGACGATTGGGACGCAGCAAGATTGATTGAGAGCGAAACGATTGCCAAGGCAAATGACCTAGATCGACGACCAGACGCAACCATTCATTCAAGTTCTGGAAGAGATCTACTTGGACCCAAAGCTGTTTTCAAGCTCCAAAGCCAGTTTCTGCAGTAGAGTATATGTTACGGAGAGGAACCTGGAGGAGAAAACTGCCGAGATGATCAACGCAGTTGGTGAGCAACAAAGTTACTATGACGAGCCTGCGTCAATGTTATACTAATCCTCAGCAGTCTACTTCACCAGTGCCGCGCAAAGCCCAAAGCACCAGGTCAAATTTGACTTCTTTAATATCCACGCCGTTAACCTCAGCATCTTCTTCAGTGCTTTCCTGCAACAATCTTGGCTCCCAGTGTCCAGCAAAATCCGCCTCCTCGAGTGGAAAATCCGCATGGATCTCACCATATACGCATCGCCACGACCGCCGAGACTCCAGTTCGACGAGATCACTGGTTATCAACATAAGCAAGACACTTCATGGAACACTATCTTCGAGCGTGTCAGAAGGATTCGAGACGATGGACATGCAAGCAAGTTTGTTCGGGCCCTTGCAAACGGCGAGCATGTGTGCAGAAAATATGAACACAAACCAGGCTTCATCGTCAAAGGCGATATGTGGAAGGCAATAGCTAATATGTTCATTGAGAGTATAGATGGCTCGCCTGACTACATACGAGGGGGAGGTTGGTCCAGAGTACCAGTACGCAAGCACTCAGGATTGTGAAATCTGGCTGAATATGTGCTTGTTGAAGGTATCGTTTAGGAATTTTCAGTCTTCTAGAATTCAATTCTTTCTTCTAGAGCATGGCGATCTTCACCGTCATTCTCGGATTGTGGTCAGGGTCGGTGTCAGCGAAGGTTCCGACATGACGCGAAGGACGAACACTCCTTGAATTCGCGTGATTGATATTTTGATGATTTAATATTGATCAGTCTAGCTCTCGCCAGTCGACAGCATAGCTCTGCTAGCGCTACCCACCTTCACATGCTACACACCCGGTGATAGGTGATCCATTAGCTTGCGGTGTATCGTATAATAGCTACGTCGTGAATTAGCTAAGCGGGTTGCCCACCAACACAACACAACGAAGGATTATCACTCTATATCCAACCTTGTTCCTCGGAGAACTCAAATTATTAGAGATAGAGTGCTGACTCTCAGCTGTACGCCTTCCGGAGAGCAGGCTTGACGAGAAGTACCTACTTGTCCTACAGTTGCCCCGTTTGTAATCTTCTTTCATAGAAAACACCAGGCAGCATCTGATGATGGGCTACAGATACCGGTCTGACGGCCTGTGGCACCCCCAAGTGCTGATCGTCAGCTGCGTTGGAAGTCAAAGGTGTTTTGCATGATCCGCCAGCTCAATCGCTCAGCGATAGAGAACCACGACGAAACAGGGTATTCATAGGCGGATTGATCGTGCGTGTGAACAGGACCAAGATGACATGAAACGCTCGGATGTGCAACGCTCAGTCATCCCAGCCTATTTAGCAGGCTTTCGCGAAGTTTCCAAAGACGACGCAGTCTGGAGGACTATCCTGCATCTACATGCCGATACTGCTGATACGCCAGGGCGTGATCGGTGGACGAGACGCGATATTGGCAAACCGAGAGGTGTTCGCATCACGGACACCCGTTTTCGACGCAAACTTCCAAAGCGTCGTACCACAAATCTTCGTCTTCGTCGTCGTCATCGTCGGTGTCATCGTATTCTGATTCCCACTGCCCAATGATTCTTATCGAAGGCTCTGTGGCATCATCCGTTTCTGCTTCAGCCTGCTTGTCAATTGCTGCTGGAGGTTGGTCAACGACCAGTCCTACCTCCACCTCCTTGAATGCGGAGCGTAGAACAGAGGAGTCTTTTTCCACTTCCTCGTTGACGACCGACGTGGGATATCCTTCCGCTGCATCGACATCTGCCTCTGCTACTGCTTTCGAAGCAGCATTCGTTATCTCTGCATTCATGGCCTGGAGTTTCGCTTTCATCTCGAACATCTTCGCTCGTATGCTGTCGAATCTGTTTGCCGTCTCATTTGGATCCAGTCCATTGACGAGCGCAACTTCAACGCTGGCGTCGCCTCCCGACTCGGCGTGTGGTAAGGTTTCTTTCTCAAGCTCCATCTTACCGACACCATGTGCATCCCCCTTGTCATCATCTCGAGGAAACCTCGGGGGGTCCGAACGGCCGACCTCCAGCGGTGCGTCTGTCGAGGAGCGAATCGGTGGGCTGCTAGTCCACAGTGGAGAGGGGCCACGCGGGGCAGTACCTCTGAGAACATACGGTTCATGGACTGAGCCTGAGTAATCGATCATGTCTAACTTGGGAAGGTCTTTTGGCTTCATTCTCTTTGTCGACTTGGAAAGTATAGATGGTGCGCGTTCAGGCAGTGTTGAAGAAGCTTTGGTCTCTGCAAGCCGTGTACTCGTGTCAGTCGGTGATCGCTTTGCCTGCTCGCCACGAATGGGAAACTCTAGACGGGTTGATCGGGGAGCCGGCGTTGCATTGGTGGCAGATTTGACAGGCGGGGTGTATGCTCCTCGAGTCGCTTTCCTAGGGCGCATGTAGCTTGGCAAAGTCTTCGTAGGCTGACTTTTCTTTGGACTGGCCTCGGTCAACCGGTCATTGTCGGGCAAAGTCGCTCCTTCCTTCTTTATTCGTTTCCCATCTCTGATCGACAATTTCGGTGAGAATGGACCTGGTGAATCTGCGATAGGTTTCGACACTTGCTGGATCTTCGGATACCGCGGACCATCTTTGATCGAAGACTTCAGTGACGATGGGCCTGCTACCGACGTGACAGGTGACGATAGTCGGCGGAGCGTTGGGTATCGCGGTCCCTCTCTCTCTTCCCCTTGAGACTTGGGTGACGTTGAAGCTGATGACAATGAGAGACGCGCGGCAGCTTGCCTAGTGTTTGGGCATCGCGATAGCGATCGCGGTAACCTTGATTCATCACTAGTATAGGCTGCTCGGACTGCAGTGGTAGCCCAATCCCTTGTCGACGGACCTGAACTTGGCCGTTGACTTTCCCTCGACGAAGCTGATTTGCTATCATTTGTTGAAGGCGATGTTGTGTCGACAATGGGAACCGCGCTAGACGGAAACGTGGCACTGGTCATACGTTCGCATCTGGCAGGAGCGGGTTTGCGCATCACCGCGACTTCCTTCTCAAATCCCAGATACTTCTCCATGACGAGCTCCACCTGTGCAAAAGCATCGTCAAAGTCCAGTTGGTTAACAGCATTGAGCTCCTGAAACATTTTATGATGCATCACCCACCACCCGTCACTAATCGTATGATGCTGTTGGGCAATCATCAAAGCATGGTCCGAGATAGCTTTCCAATCTCGATAGGTTTGCAGACCCTTTTGCATCAACCCACAGGCTTTCGCGACAGCTTCCCTGGGCACACGCACCCATGATTGGAGAACAAGCAGCACGCCGACGTCCGGTGCGTTCGAGGTGATCCTGGACCAAATAACGAGTAGCCTTTTCATGTCCCATCCGATGTTGAGCAGATTCGCACTAGTCATGTAAACGGTATCCTGTGTGTCCTGCACGTTGTCGATGATTGTGGATTTTACGAGCGTGGTGAATCTGAATCGCTCGATACTGTTGACTAGTAAGTCGATGTCGTTGTGAGGCTTGGAGGTCACCTCCGAACCTGGGCGGGATCCGATGGCGAGAGTGTCTAGCGAGCGGCGAGGATTATCAGGAGCGAGTATCCAGTCGGGTGAGTGTGCGCGTGTGGAAGAGGTGCGAGGAAAGAGTGACAGCGAGTGGTGGATGGTGCTGACGGCTGTGTCACCGGGAGGAGAGGCGGTTTCGCAAGAAAGGTCGGACTCTGGGTAGGGGCTGGAATCGGTAATGATGGGAGGAGATGACTTCCTCCGGAGCTGCTGAATCTCTTCAGCAAACTGTAGAGGAAGAGGTATCAATGCAGCGTCGTCAGCAGAAGCTTGGTCGGAAGAGCTGACAACTAGACCTTGAAGAGTCTCGCCAGAAGGAAAAGAACCAGGGAACAAGCCGACATCCCAATCTTCTGCCAAGCCGTCAATATCACATGTAGCTACTGCTACAGGATCCATTATCTGCGCTGTTACACCCAGAGGAGAGTTGACGCTCGGAACGACCCTCGATACAGACGGACCTGCCTTGTTCGTTCGTTTCTCGCTCTTGAAGACACGACTCCAAAGTCCCCTTGCTACTGCAGAGTCAGTATCAAGGTGTCTGTAACTTTGATATGCCAGCATTTGACTTACCAGCTGCGACTGCGTTAATACGTCCCCGAAACCTCCGTGTGCCGACCGTCTCAGTGGTCTCTGGATCTTTTCTGCGTGTTACGAAAGCGCCCGAACCACTTCTCGCGGTGTCTATAGATTTCCGCATGGAGTCGGGAACGATGATGCTGTGATCCGGACGGTAGTATTAAAGTTGCGATGAGACCGATAGAATGAAGGTGAATCTGATATTCTGCATAGAGGAGGGAAGACGTTCGCTCAAGCCGCCATTCGAGAATACCGGATTCAGCACAGACATGCGTACGTTATCGTTGTGGCCTCTTCATTCGTTACCAAAGTGTGAGTGAAGGAACATGATGAAGTGGAGGCACTTTGCACAGCTGTTCACTGGCTACCTTCGTGTATGGCTGGTAACGAGGGTCCATCTCCAACAAAGCGCTTACAACTCCAACGACTCAAAGGGTACAAGCCATGCCATCGCCCGCTGAGATAGGGACTATCGCGCACACTGACGATATCTGCGTAATGATCCATAAACTACGAACCATAACCTCCGCAGCCCTACGCCACCAAGCAAATGATTGGGAGGCTAGCGGAGTGCGGAAGTCTTCATCTCATGGAGCACAATATCAGATCTGCCATCCGTTAGCAATCGACAACATCGCGAGCATCACTAGACCCTCCACCCTGCGCATGTCATGCTGTCGCAATAGGTCCGATTTCCCCGCATCGCTGCAGGTCACCACAAGCACTACATCACACATCTTGGAGCAGTATCTTGGTACCAGGGAAACCCGTGATATGCGAAGGGTCACAGAAGCCCACTGAACCAGGAAGACGGTGGTCATTATCCATTCTTTTATCTCTCATATGCTATCCAATCCCACGCAAATCAAGCCAAAAAAGAACTCCGGAACGCTCCAATAGTATCCTCCACATACGCTTCCCGTTGTCGCGGTAGGTGCCGGGTCGGGGTGGGTTCGTAACGTCGTGGAAGGAGGAATGCGACATGGATCAAGCACTATTCGCTGTTAAGTTCAGTTACTACGTGTACCCGCCAGGACGCTGGCGCAAGGAAAGACATGGAAGATGAAGAGAAGAGTGGGTGTGTGGAACGGGGGAGGGATGCGGAGCCTAGACTGCACGGCGCGAGAGAGAAGCGAGAGCGAGCGAACGGAAGATGCCTTTCGAACAAGGAACAGGATAACGATAATTGTGTTATTGGCTGCGTGATGCCAATTAGCACTCGTCCATGCTGATCTCTTTTTCTTCAAGACACCTTCGTCGCTTTCGCTCGCACGTACAGTCATTTTGGCTCGATGTAAGCGAAAGGGGCGAAGGGCGGGTGTGTACTTACTACAAGCTCAACGTCAAATCACCACGAATACTCGCTTTGAGTTCAATCTCAATTTCCAAATTCGCCTCCAGTGTCAACTTCAATCCATCCTGGTCTTTCAACTCGCTGCCCTTTTGTTGTGGCTCCATGCGATACGGCTCGTCGGGGTGGGTGCTGCGCAGTGGGATCTCGCCTCGCATTGCGCGCGCATATGTGACGGGACCGTCCATGGATGTGCTGTCCGGGCCGATACGCTCGAACATGCCCATCTTTTGGAGATCGCCGTTTGCGTCGGCTTCCTCGAGGGCCTCGAGAGAGGTTGTGTGCATGTATTTTCCATTCTTCTTGTCTTCTTCAATGCGTTGGCGGCGGGCGCGGCGCGATGAGGAGCGCGATCGTGCGGATTGGAGGCCTTGTTCGCGCTTGTCCTTCTTCGCCTTGTTCACAGCCTTCTCCTGCTGCATCGTCGACCGCTCGTGCGGCTGGTTCTCATAGTCGGAGCCGTCTTTGTCTGCCATGTCGTCGGGTATCCTTGCTATCATGCAAGGCTTTGGGTTGTGGTGGGAGATATATCCGGCTCAAGAGTGTTGTTGTCGGAGAAGAAGGGGGAATTGCGCTGAGCTGAGGTGTACGAAAGCAACAACGAGCAAGATGTAAAGTCCAGCCAAGGTCAAGCAAGAGAGGGCGGAGGTTACCACACACCCACGCACGCCACGACCTAGCACCTGCAGACTCCACTCCGAAAACAAGATTACTCGCAACGGCCTGGGTTCCTCTGTAGCTCCAAAAGCAAGGACGCCAGCAGCCGCCATTACAAGCTCGTACCCCTGTTCCGCCCACCCGTCTCACCGTTTCGGATCGCGCAGCATCGCTGGTGACTGACGTCAGACCCACATCGAGCGACGGACATCCATATCAGGTTGACAGCCGCTGTATGACGTATAGGAAAAATGTGAAGCGCGCTGGCACTGCAAGTCGACCGACATTTCAAGACAAGCTGACGACGCGCGCGAACATGGCGAAAGTGTAGCCGGTTTCCTGGCTGCAAGAGCGGCTAGGCTGACCGTTAGTCGCTTATCGCGGGGCTGCTCTCGCCCGCTCACGCGATCTAGCTCGTGGCAGCTGTGCAATACTCGGCTCATGAGATTTCTAGAGCACAGCAATTGATGTTTTCAAGTCCGTACATCTTGCGATAGCACTTGACGTTACAACGTTCTCGGCCCTTTAGAGCTATTATTACACAACCTGGTCCTGATATAACCAGGAGTAATGCTCGGTAAACGTCATACCAAGAATGCGACACTGCAATGAGCACCAACGCGCATTGCGTGGGACTTTCACGATCAAAACAAACACGACGGGTTGAAAACTGTGTTGATGCAAGTTATTTGTTGTGTTGTATGCACTACAATATATGTCATGACACTACATGCAAAACTCCAAAGCAAACGCCGACGGTGATATCCCATTATAACATTCGATGCGTTTCGTGCATTCGTCCTCGTGCGACATCTAGTTACTATCAAAGAGTTAGCATTGCGCTCCAAACGTACGGAAAACAAGAAGAATCAACTTACAGCAATCCAAGCGTAAGATCACCGTGAATCTTGGCCTTCAACTGAATCTCAATGTCGAGGTTGAGCTCCAATCGCAGTCTCAGCTGTTCACCTCCGTCCTTTCCGCCCTCCTCTTCACCGCCGCCGCCGCCAGTGAGACCACCAAGGGCCTTTCCAGCAGTGTCACCGACCGAGTTGACGGCGTTACCAGCAGTGTTTTGGACCATGTCGCCGGCTCCACTGAGGGCGTCGGCTCCGGGCACGTTCTCGGTGATGTCGTCTAGGGGGCCTCCGCCCTTGCCGCCCTTCTTTTGGCGCTGGCGGTTGCGACGGCCTCCAGACTGCGAGACATCGGATCGCGCATCAGATTCGGCACCGGAGTCTGCGCCTCGTCGGCCACGGCCACGCGACTGGCGGCGTCTCGATTGCGACTTGCTCTTCTCTTGTTGGGGTTCCGCGTCGGATTCGTTGTCGGCGTCGCCGCCGTTGCTTTGCTTCTTGGATTCTGCGTCCTCGTTCTCAGCTTTCCCTTCGCCATCGCTTTCGGGGGCAGGAGTGGCGTCAGGAGTGGGCTGCTGTTGAGGCTTCTTTCCGCCCAGCTTCTTCGGCGTCTTCCTTTCGGTTTTCTTACTCGATGATTCCGCGCTGCCCTTTGCGCCTACCGAGGCGTTGGCATCTGCGTTTCCCTCTCCCGAGATAGACTGCTTGCTCTCCTCGACTGTGTCCGCCATTGTTGCTTGCTGTGTGGGTTCTTGGGGTGGAGGAATGGGAGTGCAAGTTAGAGTACTGGCGTGTGTATGTGCCGAATTGAATGTGCTTCGGAAATTGTTAGAAGCCTAGGGCCACGGCGCAATTCGTTAATAAGAGAAAAGCGGCTTGGGAACAGGAACCGGTTTGGAGCTTCAAGGTACCTGCTACCCCTGCCAGCTCGAGCCACCCGTCATGCAGTCTGACGCACCATGTGGCACCCACATCCACCCCACCACGAGTCGTCCCAAAACTTGACCCCATCCCTGCGCGCTGCCAACCGGATTCTTTTAGGCCTGAATTCGTGCTTGCGCCGGTCTGGCTGTTGCGTCCAGCCCGATGCGTTGCAAGCTCTTTTGCCTCTGCCATGCTTGCTCGTCATTGGCGCGCTCACCAAGTATAGAAGCGATGGATTGAGCAACGCGTCAGCCAAACGCGCTTGACATCAACGCTTTGGGACGTCTCGTAGCTCGGAACATGGAGCTGGCAAGATCCGAGGCCCAACGGTAGGCCAGGCGGAACGTTGACCCATGGGGTGCGGGAATGGTCGCTTAGTGTTGGCGTGAGACTTCCAATGCGCCTTTGTAGCGCGCACAATAGTCCTCAGGTAGCGCAACCTCGAGAGAACTCCACGACGGATTCAATATCATGAGCGTTGTGCTAACCATCGTTGGGAAGACGCAATCGCGGGGCGCGCCAGTTCTTCCCCGACGACCGCCGGGCCGACAAGCGCCGATCTCGCAGTCACCGTATGGCGTTTGGGTCTACAGCACCTCCAACACTTCGGTTAGCGAACAAGTGACTGAACTTCGAGCGCACTTGATCAGACCGTCAAAATCGCCAACATGACTACCCCAGACTCCGCAGCCGCAGACGTGGCCGCCAAGCAGCGAATCATAAAGCACATGAATGCAGACCACCACGACTCCGTATGCGCCACTCACACCCAGGTAACACTGATGTCAAGCCCGAATTTCGATCCTGATATTGACCGCAGATTCGCCGATATGTCGAGGCCTACGCTTCCAAATCCATGTTCCACAGCCGCTCGGCGCAGATGGTCGATATTGATCTAAATCAAATGGTCTTCAGCTGTGACGGTCAACAAGCCGTCATCGCCTTCGATCCACCCATGAAGGCTATGCGCGAGGCCCGCGAGCGACTTGTACAACTGGACAAGGATGCTCTCCAGACACTGGGACGAAGCGACATACCTATCACGAAATTTGTCCCAGCGTACACGCACCCTGCGCATCTGTGGAACTTCACGCAGTGTGTGTTGGCCATGGTTTTGCTACCACGACAGGCGAACTGGCAGCCTGGCTCTCTCCTCTATGATAACATGTTATATCTCGTACCAGGCTTTGCAAGCTTTGTTGCTCGAATTGGCTGGACCGTCTTCGTGTGTATGTTGCCCATCCACGCTGTCGAAGTAGTCATCATGGCGAGGAAACTGGCTAAACACGGATGCACGTTCATGGACGCTGTATGGTGGAAGTGGGTGGGAACGTGTTTTATTGAAGGATTCACATCGTTCTCCAGGCTCAATGCGCTGATTGAAGAAAAGAGGAGGGAAAAGGATGCGAAGAAGCACTAGGGAAGTGGAACGAACGCACGGAATGTAGTCTTGGTGCTTACAACTCATTGTGTACGGTAGTGCTAGCCTCGTATAGTATCTGACCGTGAATTCCTTCCATCACAAGTCAGGACTTACTCACCTCAGTATCTCGTTCTGCGTTCAGAATATCCACTACATGACCCGTACCTTGATGTATGGCTTCAACCTTCTTGGCTGGAATCGAGAACATACCTAGACGTTGTTTGTAGTATCAATCTTAAGCATTGGTAAGCTCCTCGCCGCAACTTGAGAGTTAGCTACTATTAAATAAGATAGATAGCGTGGCTCGTCGAGCGCTGGAGGGTGCATATCTGATTGGGATGGCTGACGCTAGTCCTAAGGAGCATAGTCAGTGAGTCTTGGCTGCCTCTTGCGGAAGCGGCCCGGAAGGCGCCCGAGGCATATGCAACACTCACATTCTCGCTTGTTGAGTTGAGGAAGGACTGAATCTCGCTCGCGAGATCAATCCTTTTCCCCAAATGTGCGAGTCCATGTCAATCCTGGGCAATAGACCAACCTCAGGTTCAAATCAACGGTATGGGCAAACCGAAACTTGCGCTACAGGTTCCGGTTGATTACACCATCGTCATCTCCGCGGACGGCGCATCAGATTCCCTCCTTCACGGAACGCTGTCATTCAGCAATGTGCCAACACAATGCGATTTTCAAATCGCGCTTGCAAGAGTTGGACGATTAGAGAAGGGCAAAAAGATGAAACCTGATAGTGCCTCAAGGAAGCTGATGGGCGAGCTTGGCCTCATAGGATCGCAGAAAGAGCAAAAACGGGAGCAATTCGACTACGAGACTGCTGAGAAGTTATGTGTTTGTTCCGTTGGTCCACCGCAAGAGAGCTCTGGATCAAAGACAGTGAAGTGCGAGTTCAGCCTGCCTATTCCGTCATACCTTCCTGCGACAGCAATGCTTCCATCCGTCAACATCTCCTATGCTATCTTCGCAACTTGCATTCTGCCGGATGGAAAGGTCTTGCAGACAAGCCAGGATCTGCGCATCAACCGCAAAACTGTTAAGCCGATACGGCTGGAACCATCACGAACAGTGTATTTCCCAGACACATCCTTCGCTGTGCGCGCCAGCTTCGGTCCCCCTACCTTCAGCTCCAAGAATACCACAATCGCAACGAAATTGCAGCTCAATGGCCTCAATTTGCCTATCACAAATTCTATGCGCGTCACCGAAACGCGCTGGCTCGTGCCCCGCGAAATCCGCTGGGTACTGGAGGAGACCGCTGTGATTGTTACCGGCTGCCCGGATGCGACCGGTCACCTGCCCATGTCCAGCGTGCAACGCATCCTGAAGAGGCGCAAACTCGCAACCGGGAGAGAGAAATTGAAGCTCAGATACCCGTTTACGCGGCCTGGAAATACACCCATTAGCATGCATTCCGATAGCTCCGGATTCTCGGTTCCACTCACCGTCTCGGGACCAAAAGATCTCTCCCTTGACGCCAGCACTGCACTTTCAGTAGCAGGCGGACACATCTTACATACCATCCTTGACGAATCCAATAGCGACCTGAATGAGCTACAGAGGAGGTTTGCAGTCTATCTTGAGTGTGAACTGCACATTTGGCTGCGTATCGGAGAAGACGTGTTTGACGAAGCATCGGGTAATCTGGTAAACAGGAAGATGGATGAGATGGCGTACACCATCGTTTGTCCTTTAACCACGTCTCGGACAGTGACTGGGCAGCATGACCGAGATGATCAAGACGAGCCTGTGCCGATGATACCCCCGAGTTATGATCAGGTGTGGGAACAGCCGCCGCCTGAGTACGCAACGCCTTCGGGGTACATGGCAGCCGAAGCGCATACGACGTACAGCTGAGTACTCCAGGACTTACTGGGCTAACTTCACTTTCATGGGAATGTAGGTCATACTAGGGTGTAAGCTGCTAAAGCGGCAGTCACCCAGTTGAGCTTCCCCAAGAGTCACGTAAAAGTGACTGGCATTCTTACCGAGGCACATTCATCATAGCTTCACATGAGAAGGTGCCGCTAACGGCGGATAATGGTGGGAGATGCTCACAGCATGATACGTGCGCCTCATATGCACCTCACACGGACTGTAATCGAGAGTTTGCGGGGTGCTGATTCCATGAGGTTAGTTTGTGTTACTCTAGATAGTTTTGGAGGTCGCAGGAACTGTTGTAGAGTCAGCTTGACTCTTGTCGACTAGTATCATTCTCGACTCCTGTATTAAAATTCTATTGATTAGTAATATCTACGGATCATGACTCGACGCTCGTTACAATATGAGCCAGTCGGCCCCAATCTTCATGTATGCGATCCAATTTTCGTTCTCTTCCTTATCGTCCGATGTGTAGGTATCCTCGCAATATCTATACTGCCTTCGTCTTGCCCATATCATTCGCAGAACGGCTAGTGCTCCTTTGATCAACCCCCACGGTTGAACTGCCCAGATATTCTGGAGTTGGTTCTGTGCCCAGCATTCCGTCGCATCTTCATGGGCTTCAGCTCCAGCGATGAAGGATGGCCATGCAGTCGCGGCAATGACCGGATCGTGCGGTGATATGTTCGAGAGGTGAATTTGGATCTTGAGTACCAAGTTTTCCAGATCTTGGAGTAACTGGAGATTAGGCGAATCTTTCAACAAGAGACGAGTTAAGTAGATACAAGTTGCGGCTTGGTGCGCAGAAGCGATGTGAGTGCGCACCGCAAGATCGGGGTGGGGAGAGTGTACCTGAACATTGGCTGCCCATGCTTGTGGATTGAATGATCTTGCGGACTCCAGTAGCAGATGCGCTTGATTGTCTCTGATGGTGCAAAGTTCGGGGTCTGTGAAAGGTTCCGAGCTATCCGAAAGTCAAACTCCATTCTGTAGGAGATGCAACAGTGGCATCGGGAATGACGAGCAATGATTTCCTTCATTGTCCCGCAGCAAGGAAAGTGTACCATTCGAAAACGTATCGTTCGGCACTGTGCCCTCATAGGAGGCAAACGTTGCTCCGATGATGTCGTATCTAGGTTGGCGTTAATTAGTCACAGCAGACTGGGTCTTTATAGTTTGACATACACCAAGTGGTTCGAGATCAAACAACGCCTCAACGAAGAGATAGGCTGTGCAGCGCTGTTCTCTGATCTGCTGGCCATGTCAATAAGAACTCTCGCACCACGAATGTGATTTCTCCATTCGTTCCGTCCTGAATCCATGATTTCAAATTGGACGAAGAGCAGAACAGTTGCCAAGATGCCATACAAATCCTTCGGTTCCATTTGACCAATGGCAATGTTCAGCAATTCGAGTGCTCGCTGCTTTGCTGTGAGAGCAGACTCACTATTGGTCTTTTGCGAGAATGCAAGATCGCTTGATAGTGCCGAAGATTGGGGTGCTATGTAAGTGAAATCGAGGGAAGAGGTCGCCAAGTGACCTTCAGATGCGTTTGACATGTGTAATGCTGAAATAGCAATGATGATTTACGTACAAGGAACCAACGTCGTCCCAGAAGGGCGAGCGGGGTGCGCGCTGTACACGGACGTCGGCTTCAGCAATAACGAGTCGTGATTTGCAAAGCAAAGATCGGAAAGCGCTAAACCAGATAACGCAGCCAAGACACTAGACCGTTGTTCAGGTAACTTACATTATCTTACCTATCCCAAGCTAGCCTAGTGATTAATTTTGGAGTATCAGCGTCAGTACAATGTCGATCAAACCGTAAGTTCAGAGCTGTCCAGTTGACAGCGGAAGGCCGCTAAGCACGATCGCTCAAGTGCCAGTGATTTTCCTCGAAGGTCTCTTGATATCAGGTCGTATGGACTTGACTGACGCCATGAACCCGAGATCCAAAATGTCTCAATGTAGACTCAAGTCTTTTGTAGCAACAAGCACCAAGGCAAGCACATCTCATGATTCCTGGACAGCGGTCAACCATACTAAGCCTTAGTCGTGATCTTTGCTATTATTCAGCATGGATAACGACCCTAGTAGAGCAATTGAAAATACCAACCCCAAAAAGGCAGCCAAGATGTTGAGTTCGGTCCATGTTACACGAAGCACTTAGACCCGCCATCTAGAGAAACACACAGATAAAAGGTAGATTATGTTTCTAAAGCTTGAACCTATGATTTCCTCATCTCGATTGCTATCTGGCCTACGCGTCCTACCATAAAGCCGACGGCACTATCGATCATTGACGCCATAATCTCGACGCGCAAATAACCGCATGACTATCCTGCACCCTCGAGACACGGCCATTTAGTGCAAAACTTCTCCTCTCCAATTCCATCCAGTAAGCACGGCAAAAACACTGCAGAGAAGGCCTTCAACTGGATTACTCCATCCCCCAAACTATGGATAGCGACAACACCAACAATTTCCGAGTCGACAACAATACTTCGCCTACTTGCTCCGTCACCGACCAGTCTGGAACAATGCAACTTCAGATGGAACAAACCCTTGAAGCACGAATCAAGAGGCTTGGTAATGAGCGACCACAGGCATTCTCGAGCAACTGGCACGAAGCAGCTTTCGTCTACAGTATCATCATGTCTCAGTTCATGACGGAATATTTTGTTTCGGGCTTCACGCTCATCCTCCCTACCTTGATCAGACAACTGGATATCCCACAGGCGGTTGCTGTGTGGCCAGCCAGTGCGTTCTCCCTAGCGATCGCCAGCACCCTGCTCATTTTTGGCCGTCTGGGCGATATGTGGGCTGGATTTCCTGTCTATGTGGGAGGCCTCACTTGGCTCCTAGCGTGGAGCATAGTCGGAGGTTTTAGCATCAATCCAATCATGCTCGATATTTGTCGGACCCTCCAGGGCCTTGGTTCTGCTGCTGCACTTCCAACAGGCATCATGCTCTTGGGGTCGCAGTATCGTCCAGGTCCTCGCAAGAATCTTGTATTCGCGATCTACGGCACATCAGGCGTTCTCGGATTCTTCGGGGGTATTCTTCTTGCAGGTGTCGTTGGCGAATTCTTGCACTGGGGTCACTACTTCTGGATAGGTGCAATCTTGACTACAACCGCACTGGTAGCCTCAGTTTTCTCCATTCCTCATGCATCTATACGGCAAGGTCGCACACCTGGGTTTGAGATGGACTATCTCGGTGCGACTTCTATCGCAGCTGGACTTGTTCTCACTGTATTCTCTATCACCCAATCAGCACATGCTCCGCAGGGGTGGCGGACGGCATACATTCCCGTCTGCTTCGTTCTAGGCATTGCGTCTCTCCTGCTTGCCGTTTACATCGAAGCCAGAGTAGCATCTCAATCTCTTCTACCCGCTTCGATCCTGACCATCCCTTCAATGGCCCCACTGCTTCTTTCTATACTCATTCTCTATGGCTGCTGGGGGATTTTCTCCGTATATGGGACACTGTTCTTCCAGAACATATGGTCCATTTCACCTTTGAAAATAGCCGTTTGGTACGTACCTCTCGGTGTGGCGGGGATAGTTCTTAGTGTCATAGAGGGTTTCATTCTGCACCTTGTTCCGGGACGGATCTTAATGATAATCGGCACCCTTGGCGCTTTGGCATCACAACTTCTTCTTGCCAACGTTCCGCTCGAGAGCTGGAATTACTGGGCGTGGATATTTCCTGCCACGATCTGCAGTTCAATCGGTATCGACCTTCCGACAATCCTGATGTCAGTTTTCATCACAACGAAACTCCCACGGACGCAACAAGGTTTAGCGGGAGGGTTGCTCAACTCTGTGTTGCAACTTGGAGTCGCGTTGACGCTTGAGGTCACCGATTTGATACAAGTGACTACCATGGAAAGACGTGGACTCGCGAGCAGTTACAAGTACACGTTCTGGTTTGGGGTTGCTGCATCAGCCGTGAGTGTGGCACTAGTATCGCTCTGGGGAGATGTACCTAAAGCGAGAAGTGATTTGACAGTGGATGAGCGGACAGAGTTGACAGAAACGGCAGCCTAAGGGTACTCGCCTTCATCGCTTCGAAATGCATGACTTTGACAGATTTGATGTTAATCGAAATTCGCTGGTGCCACTCGATGCTAATAATGAGAGCATATCCTCCTGCCCGGCCGTAAAACTATGTGCGAGACTGGCCATATGATCCTTGTTGCCTCGGTCGCAGTCAAGACTTCCTTCCCTGTTCTTCGATCTGGACCTGACGTGATTTACGCACAGGCTGGCGCACAAAGGCTTTGGACCAACCACAGATGCGATTTCAATCCGTGTGTTCGAGATTCTTCGTTCTTTGAATGTTTTTGTGCGTATTTTTGATATGTGTTCCCGGAAACACAATTGGTTCGTTTTTCAACAGTCATTGTGGTACCACGAGTTGCAGTGGATAGCAACCACAGAGCACCCTTATGCAACACCATGGAACCCCAACCTTGATCAGTCATCCACAGAATGAAGTTCCAAAGCCTATAAAACCTTGCCTGGACTTTTCACTCTCAGATATACAAATATTTTCATCCCAAATCATCTCGAGCGAAAGCGTTCACTAATACGAACAGCGCTGAAGGAAGTCGGGCCCTACGACGTGCGCCCCCACCCAAATGAACGACCATTCCACAGTCACGATGCGAGAAGCAGGTGGCTTCCCGTTCATGGACTTGCCGAACGAATTGCGCTGGGAAATCTACAGCTATCTGCCGGAAATCGCTTACGAGCCCGTTTTCTCCGAGCCCTTGATTTGCAGCTGGAAGATATATCAGATGCCAACCTCACTGCTTCGAGTCAACAAGACTATATACGAGGATGTGAAGCATCCCTCGGTACAGAAACAGATACAGAAGGTCAATGATTCGTTTCTGCCCAAAATCGTTCTCGGCCCGACGCACAAACAGATAGCCCCTGTATACATCGCGCTCTCACGTAGCTTCTATCAAGCCGGCAAACGATTGCACACAAATCTAGGTGGGCTTCAAAAGCTCGGTAACGAGATTGAGAATATAAGCCTCGGACTCGCATCTTGGTACAACGATACGTATCTGCCTCATGTCTCTTTCCATTGGAAGCAAGGGAGTAAGCAGGAGACACAGGACAGCCTGGACAGGGAGGGGGACTTATCTGAGGTTTTGACGTATCTGCCTCAGCATATTTCTGGTAGACACGAAGAAGCTTTCGAGACCCCGACAAAGTGTAGGCCCGAAAGCCTGCATAGGTTTGTGAGACAAACTCTGAGGAGAATGGCGATTTGGAAGACCTGTGAAATTCGCATTCGGCTTTTGGAAGATCCTTATGGAGTGCTTCCTAGGCGAGGAGGGGAGTTCGAGGACTTGACGGCCGACTATATGATGTACGAAGGATTGGCAGCGATGGACACTGCCCGACAAGCGCTGAGTCCAGAGATGGGCCGCGAACTCAGGATAGTGCATTTGGCTTGTTACTCCAAAAGTACCCTGGCGGAGGTGAATAACCTTCCAGGAAGATTTCGCCGGAACATTAAGGTCGAAAATCCGGGTGCGAGAGATTGGGGCTTGTTTGAAATGGCTTTGTCACTATGCAATCCAGACGAGCGGGCTCTTTCAAATCAGAAAATTCGAGAGCTCAAGAATCGTATACCATGGTATTGAGGGTTCTACCGAACGGGTTCCATGTACCTAATGCTATCAATCTCTAAGTGAGTACGAAGAAACTTGGTACATTCTGAACATCCGACAAAGCCCAGCAATGTACCTAGAGATACATGCCGTGTATTACGCTTTGGATTCTGTACCGATGCCTATGAGACGATTTCGACATTAGAGAGGCATGTGTAGGATGAGCCGAGCATTTTGCAGTCAGCTCGCGTCCTTGATACGCGAAAGCCATGGCAAGCATAGCTGCTGCTGATGACATTCGCATCGGAATTGCGATGACGAGAGGGCCAGAGCGCATCGCTTAGCAGATGCGCAACAGGACATAACATGCCGACCATTGCGATTTGTATTGCTTACGCAACACGTCGAAAGTTTCTTAATCTGTATGTCGCAATCACATCTTTTCAGTGGTCGAATGCGCAGGTCTGTGTGAGCCCGACCGGTATTGCAATACCCTTGCGTGTCTGTCATGAGATCTATGTTAGTATGATGGTGAGCTTGAGCTGGAAGGCACCGTGCGTGGACCACTTACCAGTCTGCTCTTACCCCGCGCTGATCTGGACCTTGCATCTTCGCCCCCAAATACTGCAAGCGACTGATCTGCAATTCTACCTGGGCTGGGTGATACTCACACGTGCTTTGTTCCGCTGGTGAGATTGATCTTCACCGATGGGGGACACTATACCATAACGAAGTCAGCGACTACGGTCAACCACGCTGTGCGCGTCGCAACGCCCTTCACAACTTCGCAGATTCCTCGTCATATACCAAACAAACGTTACTTTCTGAAAATCGTGAACATCATGCTTAGGGCCTGAGCAGAGCGAGTAACTGACTCGCCTGTTTGACCGGCTTGCCTCTGGGGTACTAAATCGCGCTAATGCAGGCGCAGCAGGGCGTCACACTAGGCCAAGTTAGACACGTGCCTACTTTCATCCCATTCCAAGGGTGCTCTCACCTTGACCGGAGATTTGAGGCGCAGCAGGCGCCCCTGGCCAAGCCATGTCGGCCGCGTGGCTACCTTCATCCTTTGTAAAGAACTGCTGCCCCAGAGTAAGCATCTGATGTTTCGCAAAGACATTCGATCCTGTTACCTAGACACTATCTTTTTTCTGCTTCTCGCATGGACTTTGTCGAATCACCTTTTGGCGGAGAAGGTGTGGAGGTGCCCCTTGTCACTTCGACAGATATACGACCCGGCGATGACAATGACATATGGATGTGGTACCACGACCAGAGATCTCCCTTACGGTATCCCGATGCTGGAATGAACGTCTCCAGCGTGCAGGGGGCTATAGCTACGTTCATCCAAGATTGGCTTTATTTCGGACTCCTCGCGGTTCTTTGCAACACTGCCATCAAAGTATACGACTTGTCGGTTCCTGGAAAGCATCATAGCCGGGTCGTAAGCTCAGAGCAGGTTCGAACCAAAATTATCAGTTTGCAGCTGAGCGTACTGGAAGTACCAAGAAACGAGCGCGCGGACATACTACAACGGCATGAGAGAATACTATGGCGTGCAAACGAAGCAGCTCACCTGTTCGAGAGGCAGTTCAACGTGGATTCAAGTTCGAGAGATTCTGTTGACTTGATACTCTTATCGGTCAAGGTACTAATTGGAACCATATCCCGGTCTTACGATTGGATACGCGTCGAAAATTCCCGGCTCCGAACTACAATCGGTTCAGACTGGTTCAACATCGCCCATAGGCAAGGCGATCAGCTAAGCCCTGCGGGTCGAGCTATCGAAGCCAAGATGACAGAGAACGGATGGTGTCTACATCAGATACATAAAGTGCTTTCCACGTTTAGCTATCAGACGGCTTACCACTTCGCCAAACTTCCACGACCAGGAAGCGCAAGACTTTTGCATGAGAGCTGCTCCAAACAGTCATGTAAAGGCTGGAACTCCGATCCTGGTCATACCAAACCTTGTCATGCTACGAATACTTGCACATGTCAAACTATCAGCATCTCGTCGGTAGAAGTAGCGAATATAATCCAAGGCGGCCACATTCCACTCATATCCATCGAAGAGGACGTGCATGGAAATCTTTCACTCAGCCTTCACACCAAGCGATGGTATGTATAGCTCTGTCTATTAACCACGACCTTTACGTGAAGGATATTTTGAAGGGATAAAATCTAACAGCTGTCTAGGTATTCGAAATATGTCGCTATCTCTCACGTGTGGGCTGATGGCCTGGGAAATGCCTTCGAGAATGGTCTGCCCACGTGTCAACTTCATATGCTCCAAAAGTACTTTGTACAGATCGCCAAAGACAGACCGACTGGGTCCATACTCAACAAGAGGACGACGAATTCCCTCTTTTGGATGGACACATTGTGTATCCCAGTACAAGATACGCCTTCAGGAGTTCCTATAGTCGGCGACATCAGGAGAAAAGCTATCGACAAGATGAGCATTGTCTACTCATCGAGTAGTCACACACTTGTCCTTGACGCAGAGATGAGAACGATACCCATGGCGGCCAATCACGTGACTAAGCTCGCTTACATCCAGTGTTGCGGGTGGACAACGCGATCCTGGACCCTACAGGAAGGCTGCTTGCCTCCCTCTACCGTCTACGCTCTCTCAGACGGCATATACTCTCACAAAGCTGCACGGCTCGCCATGGCCCAATGCGCAATACCTGTCCGTTGGTTTCGTCACTTTTATGGTCCAGATCCCGACTCTGTAGCACGGCAAATCGATTCATCAGTACAGCGTGAAATCTGGACATCAGTATCAGTTCGGTCTTTCAGCATCTGGGATCCCTTCAAGCCAGAACAACCAAGATTCAAGGATCTCCTAGTGCGCGACAGATTTGCTGGAGTTTGGAATGAGCTTCTTGATCGTGTCTCGAGCCTACCTGCTGATACACCTGCGATATTCGCTAATCTGCTGGGCGTAAGTGCTTACGAGGTACTGAAGAGGAAGACAGAACAAGAACGGGTAGCCCTAATCATCCGACAGCAGAGTGTGTTGCCTATAGAGCTGCTTTTCAACACGGGACCACGCTTACGAGGAAGATTGAGTGCGCATGGTTCCGAGCCTTACGCTGCGTCACTAATGCTGCAGCGCGGCACAGCCCAGGAAAACGACCCAGAAGACTGGATCGGACTGCTAGATATGTCTGAGCTTCGAACCCGATCTTTCCAGAATGGTTGGGTGCCGGCCTCGTTAAGAGGCGACAAATGTTTACAGCCCCTCGTAGCGAAATATTATCTACAGGTTCGCGAGCATTGTCTCCAGGTTCACAACAACGGAATAGAAGCGGTTCCTTACATGCATACAACTGAGGGTCCTCTTCTTCCAATGTCGACCTTTGTGTTAGACTCTCAGTGCAGTAAGATCAAAGGCCACATTACGGCATACACAAACCGCACGTTCATCACCATAGACAGATTAGTCGATGGCTCGCCGCGCAGTATTGACGATCAATCTCAAGAGAGGGTACTTGGGCACTGCTTTATGTATGATCCTGGTTTGATGTGGGCCATGTGTCGTGGCCGCATTGACTACGCTCCCGGATGCCATCTCTTGGTCCTGAGTCAGTCTGATGGACGCATTACTACACGCTATAGTAGCCCAATCCAGCTGAGACTATGCACAGAAAACACGCAGGCTCTAGAATCAATCCCAACGCTTGAATGCAGATGTACATGTCCTGATTGTCCAGGCATCAAAGACTATGTCGACATACTGTATGGTAAGTCAAAAGTCTCCGTTCATTAGCTCCTTTTTGCAATCTAATATTGTTCAACTAACCTGCCAGATAGATGCTGACGACTTGGGGCCATTACTTACCGCCTCTTTGGAACCCCCCGAGCGCCTCTCTCGAAAATACTGGTTCAATCCAGTTGCAGTCTTTGCAGCACATTATAGTATCTGGGCTGCAATAGCACCCCGTACTAAAGCATCACCCTATACTAGTAATATTCGGCCAGAACTCAACAGCGTTGTACCTGCGTCTTATCACCAGCACGTCCATCATATCAACAGTAGTATTCGGCCAGCTTTCGTTATAACTGCGTGGTTCATCATGCCGCTAGTGGTCTATCTTTATCAAAGTGTTATCTTGCAACACGTAGCGAAAAGAAGATTCCTTGAGCCACTCAGCTATCAGGGACAACCAAGCTGGCCTTTTAGATTCGGGGAAAGAAATCTCCGGCATCGTATAGATGCTGCTTTGGTCGCTCATTGGCATATCATGCTCTTCGGTCCTGTCCTTGATGGCCTGTTTTGGATCATACTAGCGGGATCTGGAGGAATGACTTTCAAGGGAACTTTCTTGTCCAGGTTCCAATTGCTCTTAACTCTTCTCATGGTAGCGCAGTGGTACCTCTCCCTTGGGACTGAAGATCCAAATGTCGTTTTAGGGAGAGATGCACAACGGTTCTACATTCTTCTCATGGTCGTAGGCTTCGCCAGATTAGTGTACGACGCGTGTACTACTGGACTGACATGGGATGTGTTTGGGCAGTACATTGGGATATATTTCCAAATTACTTGGGGGAAAAGGATTATCCCGTTTGCAATCAGTATGGCAAGGCTTACTAAGTCTGAGGCAGAATATTATTGGGGCGAGTATCGCACCAAACTTCAGGAGAAATGGAACGAGATTCGACATCAATGGACCTAAGTTCTCCACCGTTGAGTAGCAAGAGGGTTCCCACAAGCGTGGCTCTAGATAGCGATGCAAAGATCCGGCTAGCAAATTGAAGCGCTTACTGTGTTCTTAAAGTTAATCGGTAATCATGCGATTCCTCGAGTGCTCTGTCGCTGTACACCGCTCAAGATTACTAACAGCAAGTCAAGGTTCCTGAATGCAATTGCTATTGCCGCTCCAAGCTATTTCAGGCATCATATCACACGGTCAAGAACCCACGATCGCAATACGCATCTGCGTGCCCTTCCAAGTAGCTTAACATCATGGATTTAGTGTGGCTAAAGCTCGATGCCCAGTTTGTGTTATCCCGTGCCACTACGATGTGATCATGTCACTAACATCGAGGCGCGCGCATAAGCACGAGAGATATCGTTGGGAAGACTGGAAGACAAAGCATAGAGACGACTTGAGTGGCTAGAGATTGATTGATGATACAGGAATAGGTGCGAAGGCGCTTGATGCTCCTGATCATTTGAGCTGTTGAAAAATGGCACGTTGAGCTTGCTGTTTTGCAAACTTTGGAAACGGAGAACTGATATGGTGAGCAGGCATGAACCTGATGTAGCCTAATCTAGTCATGCGTTCCGCCTGTTGACTCAAGTCCCAGCCATCAGAACAACTTTCGCCAATATTCATCATTGTAGCGACTCGATAGGTCTTCCTAGCATCCAGAATTGAATCTCGCTATTCGGATTAGTTACTGATGCTGCTTATCTTCATGTTATTCCTGTAGCACAGCTACAGGTGTGGAGAACGTTGCGATCTTGGCATAGCTCACATACTAATTGCTCATCGATCCTTCGTCTATACGGACACTTAGAAACACCGCCTTTGTCATTTTCTATAGTGTGCTCTTGTGCTGAACGTTGTCTATCGATATCCTATTTCTTGTAAGGAACGAACCCAGTTTGAATCGGAGCTACCCAAAGTCTAGCCCTACGTCGGTGGATAATTTTAGCCTACTTGCAAGACTTCCCTTGCTTTGATTAGAGAACTCAGGTGATGCTTACAAATGCGAAGCCCATTCATGACGGTTTGGTCTCTTGCTATTCTTATCCCCTTCCTCAAGATAAAGCAGTTACCATGTCTTCGAGTGGGTCTAGAACCTCTTTGATAAAGTTGTCCTCTTTTACTATGCGATGACAGTCCAAATCAAGGCACCAGGCCCCCATCTATTCATTCCTCTGGCCCATCTTGCAACGCAGTACAGGAAACCACTCTAAAAGGCTTTTTGCCCAACTCGTCGAGTCGTCCTCATATACCCCCTCAATAACGTCTTCTAGTGCTTCCCACAATATGAATCCAAGTAGGAAGACACCAAGGCTATAGATGTTATATGGTTCCGTATATCTTAGGCTTGTCTGTCCTGCTAGCCGATCTGGATGCCTACGAACATACGGACACCGGCACGATTACTAGCTTGGCACGTGGCAGGCGGATGTTTGCACTCCCGAGATCGATAAGCCACTATCATCAAACAATCTCTCACGCATGCCAAGCCCTGCAGTTTGACGTTTGAATGTAGTCATGGTACGGATGGACGAAACTTCGGTCGAACGTCTCGGCAGTATTCTTCGGCGCTTTTCTGCTTGCTATACCCGTTTCGTCCGAGGCGCAGTGTGCTTATTAGTCGTAGAGGCAGCCAAATAGCAGTATGCCTACGTGATCACGTCCTAGTGCAGCATAAGGATTGGCTTTCGGTGATTTTCATAGTACAGTAATATCATGTTGACATCCGTGGATCTAGAATTGAACAACAATTCTACGTTCCGACGTGGAATTCAATGACTTTATGCTGGCATTGAAACCATGCCTTTCTCTGCCAGAACTCTACCATGGTAGCTCCTCGCCATTGGGACCCAGAAATTTCCCATGCGTAGTCTCCAAAGTGGCATTTTCAGTCTGTTGTAGCTTTCTTAGCAGCTGCGCAGTAGGTGCAAAGCTTTACATACCAATTGCAACAAATTCTGGCAAACTTGTTCCACTGGAAGGGCTAGTGCTGTCAAGTCTGGACCCTGAGATTTCATGTCTTCGAGTGCAGCTTTGGCCGTTTCTGTCGCTACCAGACTATATTTCGATCAGCATAAGAACGGAATCAGCGTGTATATGTGCTCACCCAGGATGCTGGGCCCATATCACGACATGCTGTTGCTCAAGGGACAGCCATTTGACAAAGAAATTGCCTAGCGCTTTGCTTGCGCCATATGCTGCTGCAGGAAGCATATTATCCATAGTCGTCAAGCTCCCACCGATACTGGACATGTACATAAACTTTCCCTTGGCGGCCTTCTTCGATCTACGCAACAACGGAAGCACGGCCCTGAACAACTCTAGCTGACCATACGCATTGACGTCGACGAAGCGTTGGATATCGTGAGTTGCCATCTCGATGAGTTTGGCGCTCTTGACTGCCATACCCGCATTGGCGATGACTATGTCGAGGCTATCCAGTTCGTATTCCGCTGTCAGAGCTTCAATACCGCGTCTGATGGAATCAGAAGATGCGACATCAATCTCGATGACAATAAGTCGGGAACCAGAAGATTTTGGCAAAGACCTCAGAGACTCAGCAGTTGCGACATTACGAACTGCGGCTACAACGGTAGTGTTCGAGCGACCAAGATATGCGCTTACAAGACCGTGGCCAATGCCTAGAGATGTAACGTTAGTATCCGGAAGCAGTTCTCAATGAAGGAAGATTCGGACGAACCGCGGTTTGCGCCTGTAATGAGGACAGTGGTGGTGGACGACATCTTTAGATCTTTCGGGGAACGATGTGCTGAGGGAAGGGTGAAGGTGTCACAGCAATATAGACATAGAAACATATATAGAACATCTTTATTATATACGCCAATCTTTGACCCTCGCCTGGTGGTAATTCGTCCGGGTACATTTCGCTGCCTGAGGTTGAGATAGAAGAATAGTCTGAATCATGCCATAACACGGAGTCTAGGGACCAAAGACGGAACTTTCTAACGTCGGTCTCGGGGACACTGGATGACACCCGGTGGTAATGACTCCGGACAAACTCTTGCGAAGTCTAGCAAGGGACAGGAGGGACTAACACGCCGCTAGTAGGGGCTTGTTAGCGAGGCTGGCAGGGATTTGGTAGCCACCGTCCGCTTCAACTCCACGAAGTAGCAATTTGACAGCGCACATCGCGGACGAAAACATTAGGACTTGTATAGAAGTCATACTGTTTGACATAAGATGATCATCGACTGTTTATTACGGCAAACATAAGCTGTTTCACACGCTACCGTATTCGTGCACGTGTCGCCTACATGTATCCACAACGTGCCAAGATCTCAGCTCACTGTTCAGTGACTTCAGCACACTCCAGCGCGCTTAGAAATTCAAAGAGGGGGTCAAAATTCTACTATAGCCAAGATTTCCAGATTGATCGTTAATGCAACGAACTTTGTCGTCATTGGGGAGCAACACAGATTCCGCGTGCAGAAATCCAGGTAGTAAATCTAAGGAGATACCACAAATCATACCTTGGGCTGTCAATAGCACGGAGTGAGAGATGCGCATCATCTTGCGCTTGGAGTTTGTGATAGCACTAGGATTGTAGTTCGCAGCGCCTGCAACTAATATGCTTAGAGAGACCAGGTTTACGGGAAAGTCGAGAGTCTTGGTTAAGTTTGGGTCTTACAAGTCTCATCTGCCACAACCCAACTCCGATCCATTTGTGTTGCACGTGCTAGGTATAGCAGACGTGAACAAGATATGATACAACATGTGGGATGCAGTGACAGGCTAGATGGTGCAGACGTGAAAACGACATCAATATCATGTTGTGGGCCGCCAACAAGCTTGAAAATCGTAGGAAAGAGGTGTGTGGTTTCTGCTCTAGACGGTGGCTGGCTGTTGGTCAAGGAGCCGAGTGTTCACTTGCAATGTCGCTCGGCTGCCTGATCTGACCAATCAGAGCGCAAGCATGCGCATCTAGACTGCTATTAGTCGCAATCTGTTCGAAATAAATGTGGGTTTGGTCGAAGTGCGACGGGGGATGGACGAAAGTAGACGATGAGAACGCCGTTACATGTCGTTTGGTGTTCTGTAATTGTTTTTCGCCCCACTTGTAGTATTGGCGCCACTCTCAATGGTGCAACGAGGGGCGCATTATATAGTCTGGTGTAGGCATTGTAGGGCGTCTGGGAGGGATCCCGTGAAAAAGCAATGACTTTTGAGCGTTGATCGGGTTCGCGTGCGGCCTCCCCGTTTGATGAGCATATTGCTTAGTACGTTGACATAGCGCGGATGTTCGCATTCGTGTTCAACGTCCTTTGCGCCACCTAAAGCTGGACTTCGTAAATTCACGCTGCTGTACAGTAAATCTGCGGAATAGGTACTAGAATTGAAAAGGAACCTGATCTGGTATGCGCAAATCATCCGATTTATGATTGCATAGAAGAGCAGGATACAGTCTGATGGTGCTGGTAGTTGCATTTACCTTCAAGTATAGTCGCTCTCCACGATTGTCGTGATGCATCATGAATTCGGCAGTGCTACCACTTTGCTTGTCGTAGCTTGTATCTAAGATCGAGTGTGACATTTCAACAGCGGCGCGTTGTTGGTATTACGAGTAGGTGAGGAGGTAGCAATGTCACGAAGGATGCTTATGTGAAGTAGAGAGTCAGAGGCGATGCGGCTAAGGCCGAATGAGGCACGCGGAACTCGTCCCCACATCCGGTAGTCTTGGCACCGTGTGCGGGGAGCTTAGCTCCAGCTAGCGAGAACACCGATCATCTCCACAAGCGCGACGCAACGAGCATCGACACCAATCCTGTTTTGCTTTTGTCTCGCAAAATAGCTCCTCACTTCTCTTCGAGTCACTCGCCATTGCTAGAAACATATGGACGCGTTCTGAGTGATTCAGTTCTAGGGAATTCGTCCCACGATCGCAATCGCTCACGTGAGCATAACAGTGCACTCGGTCCATGGTCGAAAACGGCTTGTATTTGTGAATGTCCTTCAGCTTACTATGTTAGTGTTACTCGCATACTTGATTTGACCGCCTAGTTGCTCCCCTGAAACACAACCTCCATCGATATCGACAAGGCTGTGTCTCAACGCTATGACGTCAAATCTTACGCCTCACCACCCGCATCGACCCGCGCTAGATTGCCTGTTGAACTCAATTGGTACCCTAACTCCCAAGCCGACCCAACGGCTATTCCTGCTCATACTCCTGTTTTTTATCGTCCCGATTCGACCCTGTCGCGAACCCTCGATTTTACACCATCTTTCACTTGTGTGTCACTCCGGATTGCATATACTAGGTACTTGGACAAGGGGTAGGACAATGTTGACAGGCGGCGCGTGGCGCGTTACGCCTCATCCGACTTGATGTACAAACGTAATACTTCGATGGTGCACTACTAATACCTTCATCGTCACAATCCTTGCGTACAAACCCCCCTATACCTACGATCTGCCGCGCAAGTTTGGTTTCCACAGATCGCACGGAAAGACCAGTTTATTAGTGCTAACAGCGGCTTAGAGTTTAAAGCAGATACGCTAACAACGTCTAGGTTGATCTACTTATGAAAGTATGACCGGATTCTGGTCGACCTTCAACGTAAACATGGTGCATGCTTAGACATTATTGCTAAGTATCTTGGTCTTATAAGAATGGATTTAGAGCCTTGGAGGTGTACAAAAAGCAACTATGACGTCGGCGATACGCGATGGGCTTTACGGATGTAGCGTGCAGCGGGCCGTTCGCCTCGATCCGCATCCTTGGCTATATATCGAAACACCACGACCCAGACCCGTCCAGAACACGCAATGCTCGAGGCTCACAGCCCGAAGTACGCCCGCGCACACAAGCGCTGAGCGATGCTTCCACTGAAAGGTCGTGCCTGGGGCGAGTGTATTTGGTGGCTGCAGGAAAAGACTCTTTCCAAGTTGTCTTAGGCCAAGCTGAACTCGGTAGTCTGGTATAAACGGTGAGAAACCCTTTTCGCCATGACTAGCGCTTCCGGAACAATGCTCCGATATGATGCCGCTGCTTTGGCATGGTATTGTGCTTAGGCAGCTTCGGAAAAGGAACCTGAGGCTGGACTTCTTCGGCATGCCCAGCTTGGAACTTCACGCATGTAGCGGCCCACTTAACTATATATGTGAGACAATACCCCAGGCTTCGGCGATATCTTTTAACTGCAGGTATCCACTTCTCCCTTGGACTGTTCAGTTATCCTACTTCTTCTCTACTTTTTTCAGTTCTTCCTCTCTTGACTCCTGCTCCTTCTCTACTCAGCAATCATGGCAGACGCTACTTGGAAAGAGACCCGACCAGGCCGTTGGGAGCGCGCGCAAACATACCTCGAGAGGATAAACATACTTACTCGAAATGTTCCAAACGCCGTTGGCCGCGACAACTGGGCCAAGAACGCAGTAGCGAAACTCGAGTTCCATCCTGACATCAAAGATCCTGCTGGCTACCTCCGGACTGCTTGGAAACAAGTTCGCTACAACCATCCGGAGATTGCCGCTTTCCCGTATAACGGTCGATATATCTATCGCGTCGGAGACGAACCTTCAATCGCTTTGTGGGTTTCGGCAACATTCTCCGTTGCTGAGGGCAAAACCGTTGACGAACTGCTGGGCCGGATTCCAAGGAACGAACAGATGATGTGCTACTTCCTTCCCGACACATCCGAAGTCATGATCTGGTCCCCCCACTACCGTGTCGACGCCCGCGGCGCCATCTTCTGCCTCAACCACCTCGTTGAGTCTCTGGCCAACATGAACCCCAACCTAGTCTTTGGCGGGTGTGCCAAGAATTTGACCCCGAGCATGGAGTTGACGCTTGGTATCGGGCACGAAGAAACACCAGAACTTGTAGCGCAAGCCGAAAGCCGTCTCGCAGCACTAGAGCCTCACAAGCCAGCTCTAGAACTGACACCCACTATCAAAGCGCAGAGGCCAGGATACACTCAACGGCACTTTATCAAGTTTTCCAAGCGGGATACAAGGACGGTCTTCGATAGCTGCGAGACTTCAGCTCTCGCCATTGACATCGCTCTGCATGCCGCCCTCATCAGCTCCGTTGCAAAACTCGCACAAACAAAGGAAGCGCGAAGCTTCATGGCCTCTTTCCACTCCAACCTCCGCACCCTGATTCCAGAAGGCGCAGCTCCTGAGAATTCGCCCACGAGCTATACCAGCGTCATCACTACGGAGGTCATCGTCTCGCCGCAAACCAACTTCGACTCCTATTACTCTCAACTCGCACCCGTCTATGCTGCCGGCTATGCACCGTACTTGCCGTCGTCACCCTTCTTCCACAAGCGCCTCGAAGAGACACTGTTCGGTCCCAACCACGGCAAGAAAGGCGAGTCGGACGGACAATTGCAGCCTCGCTTTGCTTTCCTTGGCGAAGTAGATGAGCAGGTCTCCAAGAACATCGGCGACGGACTGGTCAAAGTCAAGGACTTTTGGCTAGGTGCCGAGACCCTAACGATGCGCATGATGGTACACACTTGGACATGGGAGGGCCAACTCGTCCTCAGCGTCTGCTTTAACGAAAGCTATTGGGACAGAGATCAGGCGGCTAGCCTGCTTGGTGGCATGCAGGATGCGTTGATGGAGGTTGCGCTGAGGAAGATATCGAGAGTTGACAGTGTATCAGGTTTAAGAACATCAGCACTAGATGTGGAAGATGCTGTAGCAGGACTAACGATATGATGTACATGCTTTTGTAACGAACCAACCGGCGTGTGAGACGAACTTATAGATCCCTTCACTTCACAGTAATATCAGCCAGCAGATAGCGTAGCAGTTACTTTTACCTATTCAGATATTTACTAAGGTCGACTCTCAGTCAATATTTGTCAATCAACATGAAGATCACAGTCGAGTAGACGACTTCTCTCCAGATAAGGGAGTGCACCTGCTTCATACCGATAATCAAGCTCACTATTTACAAGGCAACCACCATCGTTTTCATCTGTCGCAATACATCTATCGCTTCTATATACGTCAAGAGATCCGAGAAAATCGTCCAGACCTGCTCCTCACCTGTAGGGCTGGTCTGTGAAATGATTCGTGCGTGATCGCTTCCGTATCAGATGCACCAATCAAAAGTGCTGCCATGATTTTAATCACAAACCTACCTGAATGGAGGGAAGATTGTAAGAATAAGTCACTTGACACCTAATGCTTAGTAGGTATGCATCACAACGATAACGACAGCCTACAGCAGGGGGTTGGCTTGTCCACGCTCATGTAAGCATTTCGTCACGTGATCCTTTGTACAGCAACCCCAGCCTCGCGGGCTCCGGCGCCTAGTCCTCGCCCAATCAGCCCGTTACATGTGTCATGGCTTGACCGGTCTGCTCTGGTAGCTTCCAAGGTGCCCAGATCTCTGGAGTAACATATCTCACTCTCTAACGCTACTTTCACTTCTAGACTTACTTCAACTTTGCACGCAATGTCGGAACTAGTGACTGTCCCGGATGTGACACCAACTCAGGATCTCGCATGGTCTTCTCTTGTGAGTCGGAGTATCGCCGCTTGGAACGACCTCAGGCACGATGGGCAGCCCGTCCGCAAAGACCTCATTGAGGAGTTGTTAACCATGTATGATTCCCTAGACGAGTTCCTTGCTGAGAGTCCCAGATTGGCCACTTTTTGGTTCTTCCAAACACGACGTGCTTTCATGTCGCAAAACCGCTTCAGGAAGTGGTCCCGTGATGCCCTGGACGACTATATTCTCATACCTGCCATGAACGGCTATGTTTGGCGGACAGATTGCTTTTTCGTCAGCCACTTCTGGCGTGAGAAAGACAATCCTGATCCAAATGGGGAGACCTTACGCCTTCACCAAGCCGAACTGGAAGCGCAAACATGGTCGTACATCTGGGTGGACTGGACATGCATGCCTCAGCATCCACGATCACCACCAGAAAAAACGTACTTCTACCATGGCTTGCGAACTATGTCAGGCATCATCCGCAACACTGGCTTCACATACTTTTACCCACCTTTCAAGCCGCGCCTGTGGATATTGTATGAGATAGCCGAATTCCGTCTCACATGCTCCGGAAATATCCCAAAGACACCCGACATCGAATTATTCCTCCAGCATATCGACGAGATGATCGAAGAAGGGGTCCAGAAGACGCTAGAGAAGCACCATTATCATTGTTATAAAGACCATGATAGACAGTACCTAACATCCTGGCTGGAGCTGCTTGTTCTTCTTCGACAACTAAAGCTCGATGTTCATTTCGTTCGAATGATAATGGACAACATGACATAGCATTCAAGTGCAGGCTCGCTCTTTTATCCTGGGCTAGAACTAGAACTGAACAAGTATAAAGGTTCCCTGGTATACCTTGATAACAAGCATACCTTCACGCCATCTCCGAAATGAGTTAGTACCAATCATCTCTATAGTGGACGCCCGCTGATAGACTGCGCTGACTAGAATAAAGAACCGGACTCTTGAGAGCTCGTAGCTCAGTGCTGTGCGGTATGGTAGCAGTAGTATGCCACTGGAAGCTTAGCGGCCATGACATCGAAGAGTGAAAGATTTGAGCGATTTCCGAATCTGGGAAGCACAGAGTCATACCTACGAGTTCTGCTGGCGCGCAACTCCTCTACAAACACTCTGTCATCAGGACATCATGCCGAGAATGCACTCTGAAGGTTCGTTCAGCCCCCAACCCGTCTCCGCCACCACCAGCTCCACCGACTTGGATGCTAGTGGTAATAAGATCAACCAGAAGAATCGCGAGGGCTTTGCTGAGATTAACAAGCGTACAGTCAGACAATCTCCATCGATCTTCGTATGATTAATTGCTCAAATCTCCGCTAGCGCTATGAAACTCCGCTAGCGTGCTGGGGACCCCACAACCCCCGTCATTCAGACTGCGATCTCCGAAACTCTGCGATATAGCAAGTTCGCCGTTAGCGGCCTTTGGTGACATGCAGGCGGAGTTGTGCGGTCGCTAGTTGGAGTAATCCTAAGCATGAGGAAGGGCAAACCAGCAAGCGGTATAAAATGGGCTTGACATCTGGAGCATTGAAGTATCATCAACATTCCGCTCGCGATCCCTACATCTACGTACGTATATCTATAAAACCATGACTGTAAGAATGTACTTACAATATCAAGCAACGCAAAATGTCGGCACAACAAGAGTCTCTCAGCCACTGGGTCACCAAACTCAACGATACTCTATTCATCCAGCCCAACGATGAACTTGCTCTCGAGGCCATCAACGATCAGGTCGATCAAAGTCTTGTGACCAAGTACGTTACACTGGGCTCGTGAGATCAGCCAAGCATATCTGACGCACCACTACTACTAGAATCAATCACGAAGTCTACAATTACGACCAATTCAAACAAGGCCTACAGTACGTTCGTAGCACTTGCACCTCGATCCAAGACGAGTTTTCCATTGTACTGCAGTGGGAGAACAAGGAGAAGCCAGATGGTGTGGTAGCGGTTCTAAGCAAGTGGAGGACCAAAGATAAGGCGTCGGGCAAGGAGACTACAAAGTCTAATGTGATTCTTTGGGAGGTCAGATGGATCGATGGGAAGCGCAAGCTTACAGGCCAAACAGAAGTCGAAGTCGCATGAAAGGGAAACTCAAATCTTACGTGGACGGCTACACCAGCATAGCCTGGTCAAAATCGACACCACTTGCGCAGCGCAGTATCTGCCCTGCTAAGTTCTTATCGCACGTATACCTGCCATCAAATGACTCTTCTACATCCCATCTAGCCCAAACCTCGCCACAAATTCCCTACCCAACCACCCCCTCGCCCCCTCAACCCCCCACAACATAACCATGACACAAACCCCCATGTCCTCCAAATCCTCCGGCCTCGCCTTCATAATCGCCTCGTCCCAGCGCTCGACCCATATCTCCAGATTCTCTACATTAGCATCCTCGCGCGCCCAGCGCCACCCGCTCTCACTCTGTGCACCCCACAGCGCTGTTTGCGCGGTAAAAGACACACGAAGATCTGGTGTTGGACCATCATATCCAAGTTTGAGGAAATTGTATATACCGCTGAGGACATGGGTTGTTATAATCGTTCGCCGTATTGATTCGGTAGTGAGCCAGTATTGCCAATTGTCCGACGACTCGACCGAAATGTCCCTCGGTGAAGAAGGAGAAGAAGAAGTATGAAAACCTACTCGTGTAATGGGAGAAGAAGCCGCGTTGTGCCGCACTACCGCACCGTCACGTAGCAGAATCTTGAGTCGATTTGCCCATTGCAAAGTAACCGATTCATCGGCTTCAGCAAGAGCTCTGAGACGAACATCTCCATCAAAAAGGCGGATCATCTGATACAACACCAAAGACTGCAGAGCCGCAAGAAGCTCCATTTTCGATGCAGATTGCGCATCCGTGCTCGTGACAAGCTGCTGGCATTTCTGCTGCACGTGACCAAAGACCAAAGCCTGATTGGCTTCAGTCTTGATGCTATACAACGCACAAGCACTCATCGCATCTTGCAGAGCAGTCGGACATGTATACTGGAAGTGCATTCGATGTATAAACATGGTTTGAGCTTGCGAGGCAAAGCGACGTGGGATAGCTGCCAGGCGTTTCGCTACAAACTCTACTCGAGGCCGGATTATCGCTTCTGCTGTGTTGGGCGGTGTGATGGGGGGTTCCATACAAATGTTCGTACTGGGGATCTGTACGGCGACACTACTATCGTTGCTACTACTGCTGTAGCCAAATTGGAAGGTGTCATCGTACGGCATATCTCCCAGGTTGAAAGGATGATTGGGAAATTCGAAAACGGTATCATCTAGATATAAAGTTGGTAACGATACCATGGAAGATGTGTGGTATGGCTGCAGCTGCCAGTTGGCTAGTGGTTGAGTTCCGTCTACCGGCTCTGTCGGGAGAGGAAAGGAGTGATCTGCTTCGCCAGGTTGTATACTCGGCTGTTGCGGAAAACGATTTCGCCCGATGTATTGGCATTCTGTATTACTCGCAATGCAGCGTCGACATCTGGGCTGCATTCGATCGCACTTTCGTTTCGTTTGGATGCATTTTAGGCAGGACTTGTGACGTGAAGCTCTGGTCGACATCCTTTCCGCACGACGTTTCGTTTCTGATATCAGAATTCTTGACTTGATAGGCAGTCGACTAGATCGAACTTCGTACGCGGTCTTGGGCGGACAGATCTGACGGTTTGCGACATGAGTGAGGTTGGCGGAAGAGCGGTGGAGTAGATCCAAGTCCGCTAGCTTATACAGTCTGCGCTAGCACGCGGAGACTAACCTCAAACCCCGCGTGGACTACAAAGCTTAGCGGACTTTTCCGAGGCGTGACATTGACTTTCCCATGATCAACCCTCGTGTGTTGGGCTGCCGAACATCTGTATCCGGCATCATGGTGGTTGAGGAATGACAAAGTCCGCATGTACCTATGGGTCCATTACCTACCCTCATATGCCACGCATATAAAACGATAGACATCTGCTTTCATCGCATCTTTCCCCACCAGTGTTCTCAAAACGCTCGACAAAGGTACCACATCAGCCATTCTAATACCTTTTCTGTTCAATCTTCGCCATCTTCCTCTCTATTAGCAATGTCTTCCCCCCTCACAATCCTCATCACAGGCGCAAATCGCGGCATTGGCTTCGGCCTAGTAACTCTTTACCTCTGTCGCCCCTCTACAACCGTGATAGCCACAGTCCGCGACCCCACCTCCCCTTCCTCCAAAGCCCTCCAGTCTCTTCCCCGCGCACCAGCCTCCCGCCTCATCGTCATCAACCTCGATCTCGCATCCACCGAATCCGTCAACGCCGGCATCCAATCATTGACAGCAGAACACAATATCCACGCTCTCGATGTTGTAATCGCAAATGCTGGTCTTGCAGGCACAACTCCCCCGTTGATCTCCTCTACTACCGCCGACCTGCAAACGTACATCAACGTGAATGCATTTGGCTCGTTGAAGCTGTACAAATGGGTGCTTCCTCTCTTGCTGAAAAGCAAAGCCCAGCCCAAGTTCATCTACATGTCCAGCGCGGGCGGCAGCCTGACCAGCATGAGCACCATCGTGCCATTAGCGGCATACGGAGCGAGCAAGGCGTTGGGCAACTTTCTCTTCAAGTGGCTTGCGCTTGAACAGGAAGGCGAGGAGAAGGTGATGGTTTGGTGTCAACATCCTGGGTAAGTCTGCTCATGTCTCTATCAATCTTGTTTTCTTTCCCAGATTTTCAACGTGCTAACCTCCTCCACCCTAGTATAGTCGCGACAGACATGGGAAAAGCCGGCTTCGAGCTCCTCGCAAAACAAGGAATCGATCTGTCAGCGCACATCATCTCCGTGGAGCAGAGCACGAATGGAATCAAGAACGTGATTGAGAATGCCAGTTTGGAGAGTACGAATGGGAAGTTCCTTGGTCCTGATGGTGGGGAGTTGCCTTGGTGAATGTAACTGTTTGGTGTAGACTGGGCTGCCTGCGAGGGAGAGGGGACAGAGTCGCGGTTTTGGACTCGGTAGATGTAGGCAACGAGAAGGCCAAGGTTGGACGTGCCGTCTGTGATGAAGGAGCTGATAGTGCCGTTGTCAATGGACGTGCGAGGTCAAGCACGAGGCTGATTTAGGGTCAAGCCGGACCTATATCAAGCTAGTAGTAGCCAGACGAGGTTAGACGCATCAACGCTGTTAGGTCGTATCCAGCCTCAGTCAGCAGCGCAAGTACAGTACAACCAATGGATAATCCAGAAAGCGAAACTCTCAGATACAAGACATCAAGGAACATAAAGAAGCTGGTGTCTTTTCGGTAGGAAAATAGCGACGAATAAGCTAAGACGACTGACAATATAACAAGATCAATGTATCGAGAAGAAAGAAAAAAATGTTTTGATTTCCAAAGATGCGCTATATGATATGTGTGGAAAAGCCTCCATCGACACGCACGCAAACAGAAGGAAAGAAACCCCCCAACATGAACCGTGTGATAGTTCCCCGTCCTTCCCTCCGATCCCCGATATATCAAACGCCTGTTCGGATAAAGAGGTATCGTGCGTATATAACAAAAAGGCCAAATGGGAGAGCGAAAAGCCGGAATACAAAGTGGATGTGGATGGTATCAATGATGATGATGATGATGATGATGACAGTCGTGATGCGCAGCAGCGCAACGAAACAAGCAAACAGGGGCCGTCGTTATGAGAAATGCCAGTAACAAAATCCAGTCCCGATCCGGGACAAATGGGTATATGTAGTGTAGATGGTGTTTAAGACGCAATGAGAGATGGTCCAGTGTGGTGTGGAATGGTGGAGTAGATGCGATGCGTAGATGCGATGTGGTGTGAAAGGTTTGAGATGCCATACGATGTGCTCCGTGTTGCTGGCGCCTCTCTCAGATGCGCACATAGTTGGTCGTGCTCGCAGCCGCTTGATAATTCTGCGCCGGGGGCAGGCTCGGCAAAGACGGCAACGAGGGCAGCGACAAGCGCCCGGCTGTGTGAAGACCCTACACTTAGCTTATCTGATCTCAACATGAAAGATGAAGAACAAGAAAAAGCTAGCAGGGCCAAAAAAAGCTCGAATGGGTGGGTGAGTGTGACAAGGGAAAGCGGCGCACTAACGCTCTCGGAACCATCTCGCAATCCGACTCTTCTCATCAGCCCGGCCGGCTTCAAGATGAGTACTGCGCTCGTAGAGTTCCTGCTTCTCGTTAATATACTGCTCCGAACCACAATACCACCAACAGATGGAACTCACCTCATCATCCTTGTTAATTTTGATATCCAATATCAGATTCCTCACCTCTTCGCATCTTTGCCAGTTGGGATACGGCGTCCCTTGCGCCCTTTGTACTCCAACAATAACTTCACCCATAATTTCAAACTTGCGCCAGTTGATCCGCTCTTTACCCACAACACCACTTGGAGGCGGCTCTCTACTATCGCGTTTCCCCACAACACCTTCGAAGACGCTGACGCCAGGGTGCGGGGCCAACGCCGAATCCGTCTTCTTCTTGTCGCCGACAAAGGTGGAATTGCCTTCAGATGCGGAGACGAGATCGCGGCGGTGGAGAGGTATATATGGTATGCGCTCGCCAGAACTATTCTCCCAGGCGAGGCGGTACGCGGAATGCGATTTCGTTTGGCCCATAAGAATGTCGAGTTTCCAGAAATCTTGATTGGTAGCTTGGGGCACTAGTTCGCGGGTTGCGACTAACCTCCCAATTGCTGTGCCGTTGATGCCAGCCATGACGGCACCCAGCATGTTGTAGTTGTTCAGCTTTCGAAGCTGTCGCGCAATCTTCATCCACTTCTCCATCATGAGAGCTCTATGCTTTGGCTTGTCGCGCAGCAGTATGTAATTGGTGACGAGGTAGGCAACGTGGTTGAAGTGCTCGGTCATGCGTGTGACATTTTCGAGGTTCTTGCATCGCTGTTTCTCTTCGGCGTTTAGACTGACGTGGCGTACGAGGTCTCGTGGCCGTACCGAGGAGAACATGATCCAGTCTATCCGGGTAAGTTCCTTTGCGATGGCTTCGTCCGATTCGCCCATGAGCTGATGCCACTGAATCTTGGAGAGAGGTTTAATGGGGTTGGGCTCTAGTTGTCGGGCCAGTCGTTCGTTCTTTTCGACCTGGGTGAGCAGGATTTGCGATGAGCCCATGGAGCCGTTCATAGACGATGCGCCGCCTGTCACGCTGCTCCGGGCAACCGAGTTTCGCGTGGAACTGCTCATCGACATGTGCCCTAGCGCTTTTGAAAACTCGTCTTCATCAGAGTCCTCGTCGAGGACATTGTTGTGGAATGTCGGGATGTTTTCGTTCTGGTGGCGTTGGCGGTCGCTGCATGCCCAGTCGGTGTCGTCGTCTTCAGTGACCATTTCAAGATCGCGCAGAATTTCAGTTGCAGCGACGGAGAACTCGCGGTTCAACGCCAGCGAGGATGCGAACCTCCGGATTAGTCGACGCGTCGTTGGGTAGGCAAAGTCACCGGGGTAGTAGGCGACCCATTGTTGCAAGATTGACAGGTAGCGGAGCTGTGCAATGATGCGGATCATGGGCAGTTCTTTTTCCTTGTTCTGGATTTCGAAGCGTTTGATGATGGCCTCCAACAGCTGCCCCGGCGTGGCGAACCTCCGATACAGGGCCAGAAACACCGAGACGAATTTGGAGTCATTCTTGGACATGGGTTGGGCGAGAAGTCGGTCGACGAGCTGTTCAAAAGTGTAGCCATTTTCATCCGACGGCTTCACCGACATGATGCTTTGGCCGGCGTCCGAGTCCTGGTCATCGGATTCCTGGGAATCATAGCCGGGCGACTCTTCGGCGTTGAAAAAAGTTTTGTTGGCATCGCTGGGCTTATAACGGTGGCCCTTGACCTCGCTTGAACCCCGTTGAAACCTCATGGAGATCTCCGAGCTAGCACGCTCGTGCTTGCGGCTCCAAAGGTCCTTTTGGGTGATTGATTTTACCGCGGAAGAGTTGGCCCGCCGCCGCGCCATTGACGCTTGGGACCTGGCTGCATGGGGTCAATGACTTGCACCCTGGTAGGGACATGTACGTCTGCATGTGTTACAAAAGGAAATGAACAACTTACGTCGCTTGGCCGCTATCGCTGCACGAGTGATGATGGACAGGCATCCTCGGTGCGTCTCCGGTGACGACTCGGACGTCTGAAACACGCTCACGTCTCCAATGAAGGACTTTGCTTTCTGCTCCACAACGGCCGGATCGACCTCGCGGTGGGCGGGGTGTTGATCGCACTTGCAGGCTACGAGGATGAAGGGTAATTGTGCCTTGGACAGTGTGCCTGGACTCGGTCAGCATGTCGCGTCAGCAGACGCGCGTGGTACGCGATGGCGGGGTACCGACTTAGCATTTCGGGAACCTTGCTCAGGCTCTCGTGGTTTGTGACGTCGTAGAGGGTGACGGCGGCATGCATGCGTGGTGTCGCAAAGTCGTGCACCGTCTCGGGCCATTTGATGATGCTGCGGTCGCCCACGTGCACGTCGCTAAAGGCCATTTCGAGGAAGCGCACCATGTAGGGGGTGCCGTCGATTGTCATGCGCCGCGAGCAATTGGCCGTCGTCGAGGCTTCTGGCAGGCCGAGGGCGCGGCGGATGAAGGTCGACTTGCCTGAGCCCCGCGCGCCGATGACGGCGATGTTGAGGTCCTGCACGATGGCAGCTGCCGAGTCGCTGTTGGAGGGCTCCGACGCCGCGTCTTGCGATGGCTGGCGGTCCTTGTGGTGAGTAGGCGACAGAGGTCCCTCGGTGTCTGACGACGACTCGGCACTGCTGCCCTCCTCTTCCTGGGTGGAGAGGATGGGCTGGGGGAAGTGGTATCGCTGGAAGAAGGCATCGTCGGCTATCTCCTCGCCCTCGTTGTCCTCGTCTGTGCGGTCGAGCTCGCTGGCTTGCTGGCCGTCGCTCTTGGGGACGTTGGGAGCCGAGTATGCGCGCGTCTTGATGCCGGGCCGCTGCGTCGTGGCGCTCGCACTGCTCTCTCTACGCATGCTGCCCTTGTCAGTCGTCTTTGGTGCGGGCTTCGAGGCCGGTGCGTGGACTGCCCTGCTGCCTCCGGTGGCGGGCATGCTGGGGCTGTACGGGCGGTACGGTACGTGGGAAACTACAGCGAGGGCAGACTACACAGCGAGGGCAGACTACCGGGCGTCACGACAAGCCCCGGGCGCGATACGGACATTGGAGGATGCGAGCCTTAGGGGGGTGGAGTGCGCGACGCGTTGGTGGTGTGGGCAAGCAAAGGGGCACCTGGCAGCTGTCCAAGATGGGGTTATGCACGTCGTTGAGGTCGTGTGTATTTCAGCGGGGAGAAGTCCAAGTCCATCAACTCCAACAGGGTCTAGCTCACATGCACCAGAGGCGAGATGCGCGCCTTGGTCAAACCAGCTTAGCCCCCGCCCAGTGCATCATCCCACGACTCTCCACAACACGACACGCCCCCCCGAATCGGCTGCTTCTTGGCTGATCTCCATGCCTTTTGAGAAATGCACAATCACAATCCTCACCAAGACTGCGCACCTGTTCGGCCAGCGCGGCCCGCCTGTCACCCTTCATCTCGACTGTCCCGCCAATCATCTTCATCTCGACTTCCCGCCAATCATCGGCCCGTCTGCTGCCTCGTCGACTGTTCCGATTGGCGCTCCGATAGTGGTTTGACATATGCAACCTTCATCAACTGAACATGTCCAACACCGTCATCGGCTCCAAAACTTCCGCCGTCCTTGATCGACATGATCGCCAGCTACATACAGCATCTCTGACTGTCCGCTTCCCCACAAGCGGGGGGTAGCCACAGACTTTTGCATCTCAGCGTTGTGGTTGGACGACGCGCCCAACTCTGATTGTGACGCGCTATGCCACAACTAATGCAATCCAATGTCGTGCACCGCTGTCGTCGCTTTCGTTGTCGCTTCTCTCCAACACCTCCAACACCCCCGTTTCAGCACAGTCTTCACATGCAATCCTACCCACAGACCTGCATTCTGCCACTTCGTGATAAATAAGGGGCGGCACATCACAACAACCCTTTCAACTTCCTAAACCTGACCTGGCAAACTTTTTTCAGAAAGCCCTGTCCCAAGGAGGAACGCGCACGCTCTAGCACCTTCCCTTTGCACCTCGGCATGCGACTAGCTCGTACTATATGGATCTGCGCCCAGGTGCGATATCTCCGACTGATCGGCGCTCAATTACACGTGTGAAGGTTCTGGACAACGGATAGCGGACGGCTAGCAGCACCGTCAACCGTCGGCTGATTATCTGTCGTATTATGTATTTCGACGACTGACGCCTTACCGCCCTGCAGAGAAAACCCTCCATATTATGTGCTTTGACGACGACGCTACCTCGCATACCCTAAGCAAAACAACCACCGTTAAGATCCACCCACTACGCGCTTACAGGTCGCATATTCGCCTGTAAATGGTCCTCGTGGTAGTGTGGCAAGAACACATCCCGCCAGACCAGCTTCTCAGGCCTGTCCGCCGTCAGTACAGTACATGGAATCGTTCTTCAGAGAGAGAAAGTAGACTTAAACTTACAGTTGGCCCTTTGGCTCCAAATCGAATTTGCGGAAGACGTGACCAAAGCCGAGACGCAGCTCCGCCCAAGCGAGGCTACAAACAACCCAGATTAGTTCCCAAATCTATTACAACGCTGACCAGGACCCGACTCACTTGATTCCCAAGCACATGCGTGGGCCACGCGAGAAAGCGACAAGCCACTTGTCCAACTCTGCCGACTCGTCGAGCCAGCGCTCTGGCACGAACTCGTCGGGCTTGGGGAAAATGTCGGCGTTGAAGTGGACGAAAGTGCTACCGCACGATACAATGGTCTAGAATGCAATCAGCCCGCGCATCTCTCTCTCTCTCTCTGCATAGAATAACGTATGCGTACCTGCGGCGGCACCTCATGTCCCGCAATGGTTGCGCCAGTTTTCGGCACGATCCTCAAAAGCCCAGACGTGACGCCCGAACTCATCCTAAGCGCCTCCTTGATGACAGCGCTCAAATATGGCAACTTTTCCAAATCGCGTACATTGGGCTCGTTCTCGTTGAGTAAAGGCCATGCGCCTGACAGCTCGGCCTTGAGCTTCTGCATCTTCTCAGGATGCTTGAGCAGATGGAAAGCTCCTACCATGAGGGTATTGCCGACAGTATCTGTGCCACCGAACATGAGCGCCTGGGCTTCTTCATACAGGCTACCAGCAGAAGGGATTTGCTTGTCACGATGAGCCTCGGGATCCATCAACCGGTGGTAGATGGTCATGTTGTGAGGAAGGAGCTTAAGCTTTTCCGGATCGTCGGTGAGTTCATTAATCTGCGCGGAGAGTAACTACAGTATATGAGTAGACCGCTGGTTGCAAAACGAGTTGGAGGAATTACCTGGTTTAGATCGATCATGCCCGCTGTCAAAGGGCTTAGCTTCTTGGAGAGGTTGGGCGGGCATTTCAAGATGAAGTTTTTGAACAGATCCGAGTACTTGAAGTACATACCCACGGGCGTGGCCGCCTCGAGGGCCACGACAATGGGTGCCTTGAAGTCTGGCTCGTCGACTGCATGGATGGATTTGCCGAAGCAGAATGTCGTTATAACGTCGACGCTCATGCAGCGGAATGCGTAGAACAAATCAACACTTTTGGCATCTTTGCTCCTCTTCTCAATGGCTGCACAGAGCTCTTTGACCTTGTTCACCAATAGCCCCTCTGAGCTCTCGATAGCGGCTAGCGAAAAGGATTTGTTAAGCACATCTTTCCGATTCTTAGCCTCTGCATACGTGAGAAAACCGAAACTGGATCTGTCCTCGTTGAAACTTTGATAGAGCGTCGCTTCCTTGTCCCAGCGATTCTTGGTGTTGTAGATGTCGTGGTAGGCTTTTGGGTTGGCAAAGTGGAGCTACAACCGTCTCGTCAGTAAACACGTGGCGGCACAGTTTGGCGTAGTGGGGTGGCTGCATATCGCTCGCAGTCCTTTTACACCACACACAACACAACGTACCTCGTTGGGGCCAATACGAACAACATCGCCTATCACGACACAACATCAGCGTCTAAACATTCTTCCATGTGACCGGTACCGATTTCACGTACCGTACTGCGCATGCAGCTCAACAAGGAAGTGGCAAAAGGACCGGTTTGCAATACACTCAATGTAGGCTTTCCAGTACGTCGTAGCGCCGGCGAGGGGCGGTCCCGGAAACTTGGCCAGCGGATGGAAGTAGACGTTGTAGGTCACTGCGTAGAGCACGTAGGCAAACAGGGCAGTTGCACCCGCCGACAGCAGTACCGCCGTGGCGGGTAGGGAATGGTCGTCGGCCAGCATTGATTGGCGGAACAGCTTCGCTAGACTGGGCTTGTCTGGGAGGATGGGGTCGTAGTTAGTGGGAAGAAGATGAAGGTCGACCTCTTAGTAGTCGCGCATTTGTCGCTGACCCAAGCACTCGACTACGGCATCTGCCATGGCCCTCTCCCCCACCTTCAACTTCACCCAAGGACAACTCTCCTGATTGCCTTGACTACCTGTAGCCAACCGGAGCACTTGGCAGGTAGCGCGCTGGTGCGGGTCGGTCGACGGCCTGCATGCGTGCATTCCGCCGGCGCAGAGCCGGAGGCCACACGGAAGCGGGTGCGCTTGGTGGAGGGGACAGAGAGCGCTGCTGGCCTGAACGGTTGACATCAGTACATAAGGTCACGCTAACTTATGACGCCCGCCGGACCCCGATATTGGATATACTGCCTTTGCCATACTCGCGTACCTCCCCACAACGACGGTGACGACGACGACATTGCTTTTGCGCAGACTAAGCCATGGCTGATATTGAAGCTCAGGTTGCTGTTGTGCGTCTTTCTCTCCCCCCAACTCTCGATTTCTTCACTGGCGCATCCACAAACTAATCCGACAACTCCAGGACTCGGATGAAACCGACTCGGCATTTGGCGACGACTCGGCATCGTAAGTCTCTCCCGTGAGACGCGGAGCCGCCTTCTGACACGCCATCAAAGCGAGACCACGTCCCTCAAGTCCGCCGTATACAACTACAAGTACCGCAACGGCCGGCGATACCATGCGTACAAGGAAGGAGCATATTGTTAGCATATCCGCTCGCTGTACATCCAATGCAGTTCCTAAGTGGGCGCAGGGGGTCCGAATGACGAGACACAATCAGATCAGTTGGATATAACGTATGTTCTGCGACCAGTTTGCTTCTACGTCGTGTGTTGACCTGGACGAAAGGCATCATATCTGTCTCCTCTTGCTCGACGGCGAGCTGTTTTTGGCTCCGATCAAGGAACAGCCTATGGTATGTAATGATGTGCATGGGGGGTGCGACATGTTGGTAAATGCTGATGGTTGGTCTACGGAATAGCATGTCTTGGATCTGGGAACGGGCACTGGTACGCACACAGTAGTCCGCCTGAGGCAACGCATGAGCTGACACATCCAGGAATCTGGGCTATCGACTTTGCCGATAGATATCCATCAGCCGAGGTCAGTGCACTTTGCAGCAGGCAGTCGAGTGAGTATCACTTTATTGATGTGAACAGGTCATAGGAACCGATCTTAGCCCCACCCAACCATCCATGGTCCCACCCAACGTGCGCTTCGAAATCGACGACTTCACTGAGCCGTGGCTATTCAAGAAAGATCATTTCGACTTCATACACATGCGATCACTATATGGGTGTGTAGCGAACTGGGCGACCTTCTATAGAGAAGCACTGGAGTATGTGAAGCCCCCATACATCACCTTGGCTCGCCTGTTAGACATTGCAACAGCTGACCATACGCTTCTGTCATTAGTGCCCTCCAACCCGGCGGCTACGTCGAACAGCTCGAAATCAGCGTTGTACTAAAATCCGACGACGGCACCGTCACCTCCGGTTCCATCTTCGGCCGCTGGGGCAAGATCTCGCTCGAACTCGGTGACCAATTCGGCAAATCTCTCCGCACAGTCGACGAATCGCGTGCGGGGCTCGAAGCAGCAGGCTTTGTCAACGTGGTAGAACGGCGCTGGAAGTTGCCGGTAGGAGGATGGCCGGCGGATAAGAGGTTCAAGGAGTTGGGCCAGTACAATCGGATTAACTGGGAGCAGGGCATCGAAGGGTGGAGCTTGTACCTGTTGACGACGGTGATGAAGTGGAGTAAGGAGGAGGTTGAGGTTTATCTTGCGCATATGAGGACAGCGCTGAGGGATCGGAGTATCCATGCTTATCAGGAGGTGTAAGTTTATCATGTTTCTTTTGTAATGATGTTGATGATGGGTGGGGGAGCGTGGAATAAGAGGAGATGCAGGTTCAGGTGAGAGGTGGCATTTTTTGCTAATTGATGTGCAGATCGCTGGTCTATGGACAGAAGCCGCCGAGGCCAAGGAAGGATGACGATGAGTGAATAGGTCAGCTCTAGAGCAAAGCGAATTATGAAGCAGCAAGTAAAACTCCGTGGTGTGTTTGAGTGCCTATATGCTCTTGTGTGTCTCATGCCCCTATATGAGTTTGCATTCATTCGAATATGCGTCCCGATGAAGCTTAACATGGCGCATATATGCTATCTTGCATGCTGATGTGCAGACGCCATCGGCGCCGAGTATATCAGCGTGAGGTACTCGCGGGCGGTTGTCTCGACCATCGATAGCGCAACAGGCAGGGTCGTCAGCAAAGAGAATGCTGAGGGGATTCAGGAGAAGCCTGAGAAACAACGACGTGTGTCGCATAGTTGTGCACATACTCAGCCTTGCTGTTTCCCGGCATGTCTCAATTGCGACACTTACGCCAGACCACTTGGAAACATGTGTTCCGTGGGCTGTGCCGAAAGCCTTGCATTGATACACGGAGAGTTGCTAGACATGACGAGCGTGGGGGTTGGGGGTTACAGGCTGTAGTCTGAGCGCGCACCAATACATCGCAGCATGTTTGCAAGCGAGCCAGCGATAGCGTGGCCAAGTAAGCTATAATCGGATCTCGACTCCAATTTCTACTCCAACGCCAAGATTAGCTAAGGACGTGCCGCTTTCTCGACTTGTTCTCTACCTTTGTACATGAAACATGGAACACGGAACACGAACATCCTGGAGGAGGGTCAAACAGAACGCGAAAGATTAGCCAATGTGACGCTCCGACCCGTACAATGTGCACAACCGGAACAATATCCACCATTGAGAAAGTCAAAGATGACAGTATGTCTTATGCATTCTTCGAGCGCCAGTGAGGCGGGGATCTTGGGTAGTCAGGACTACAACTTCTTTCAACTCCATCTCGAGACTGGCAAGGCGGCAGTAGTTCTGCGTGTGGCAAAAAGACTCGACGGCTGGAAAGTCATGACATTGCATTCGCATCGACTTGGTTACACCCAGAAAGCATTCACACGAATGTTTCTGTTCAGAGCAAACAGGATAGCCTCTGATGTTTTTTCCCTTACCAAGTCAAGAAGTCGCTACCTGGGCCACTTCGTCCTGGACTTTTCTGGCTAGGAATGCTTCCTTCACGTTCGAAATGAATGGCCAAGGGAAGACGGAGATTGAGCTGGAGTATCGAAGCAGCGGAGGGGCAGATGTCTCGTTATGTCGAGGTTCTTATGAAGAAGGAAGTTGGGTTTTGGATGGGGCTGAGTTGCGCGCGAAAGTGTGGGGATTTGCTGAGCGATTTCACTGATCTCTCGTTTGGATCGATCGCTAGGCATGGTGAATACGATGATCAAAATGGAACATATGGAGTGGCATGGCTCCAGATTTGCTGCTAGCCAGAGCCATGGAGGAAGTCATCTCATGCCTCCAAGCGACTTTCAGAGAAGGAATGTATACTAAATGTAAACGCTTGTCAGGCCTGTGAACAGGTTATAGACGTGGCTCTTGATATATGGCAAGACTTTTGGTAGAGACAGGCTATCGTATCTGATACCATGTCCCCTCGAACTGTAACTAGAGGTGCAAAAACTATGGGTGGTGCAGCTGTGACGCGGAGAAAGAATCGCGAGCCATCTGTCGGAAGTGGTTGTAAGGGAGCTGCCGTCCAACCACAATTTGAGCCGCAACCTTGACGACGCCGACAAACAATCTGAGTCTCTGTTTCTCCAAGTCGTCCGCTTGATCATTCCCTTCCGTCAATCAAAGCCACTGCTGTACTTCGTCCCATCTGTTTGTTGCGCTGCAACTTGGTGTCTGGTCCTGCATCCGTTCCGATGATAACATCCGATCCGTTGATAAGACTCGTTCCGCAGATAAGGACCCACGACGCGCCACTCACAACTCCCACAACCCATACCATCGCCATACGAACAGGTATCCTCGAATAAAAAAACATTGCAAACATGGCGAGAATCCGTTCCGCAGATAACACTCTCCCGACCGTTTTGATCCGCGCAAGCAAGAGGCAGCCGAGTGGCTCGATCTGCATCGGGATCTAGGATGCTGCATACGCGGGCTGAACAAAGTGGTAGATATTTATTAGAAGGTGTTTGGGACCCATAGTCGTTATACACTTTATCCAGATTCCGTTGCAAACTCTTTCACTTCTTGCAACCCAAGCAATTCAGCAACATAACCCCTTATCTGATCAACGCCATCCTTTACAGCATGGGCTCGATAGAGATCGGCTGGAGACGACTCAGTGTGGGCGTCATCGGAGGTGGTATTGGCGGATTGTCAACCGCCATCGCGCTGCGCCGAGCAGGCCACCAAGTCACCATCTACGAGCGGAATGACTTCGCCGGAGAAGCAGGAGCATCAGTCTCATGCGCAGCAAATGGTACCCGGTGGCTACACGAGTGGGGAGTCGATGTCCAGAAAGGTGACCCTGTTGTTTTGAAGAAACTCATCAATCGGGACTGGAAGACTGGCGAGCCGGTCAGCGTCTACGATCTAGACGATTATGAGGAGAGGTGGGGATACGTCTACAACATGTTTCATCGCCAGTATATGCACAAGATGCTCATGGACACTGCATTGCAAGAAGAGGGGGATGGTACCCCAGTGCAATTATTGGTGAACCATCCGGTAAGGTTTTGTCCCATGCAATCACGGCATTTCCCTGTGCTACATTACCCTTCTAACAATATTCTGCAGTGCGAGAGTATAGACGTCGAGTCCAGCGAAATCACATTCTCCAACGGCGTCAAGGCACAACACGACCTTATTGTTGGAGCAGACGGTATTGGATCTGTCACACGAAAGCTCATCGGCGTCGTCACAGAAAAGCGACCAGCAGAACAAAGCTGTCTGCACGCAAACGTCATGACAAAAGACGTCCGTAAGCTCGGTCTCACAGACTACTCCCTCAACAGCGCACTAGAGTACTGGGGCGGCCAAGAAGGCAAGTGGGACAAGATTGTCTTGTCCCCTTGCAACGGCGGCGAGCTCCTCTCCTACTACTGCTTCTTCCCCCGCGCCGCCGGAGACTACACAAATCACACCTGGGGCGGTGCCGATCTTCCCGTCGAAGAGCTCCTTGCGCCGTACCCTGAGCTCGACGCGCAGGTCAAAGCTCACCTCGCTATTGGTATCGAGGTACGGCCTTGGCGACTCTGGGTGCACCAGCCCTATCCCTACGTTGTCAAGAACGATATCGCGCTTATTGGCGACGCCGCACATCCGATGATGCCGCATCAGAGCCAAGGTGCCTGTATGGCAATTGAAGATGCAGCTGCCTTGGGTATCCTCTTCAACAAAGACTACTTCAATGGAGATGTGAGAGAATCACTCGCTGTTTATCAGCAGATTCGACTGCCTCGCGCGACCAAAGTTCAGGCTTCGGCTGCCAAGGCAGCGTACAATATCAATGAACGGATTGGCTTTTCTAGCAACACGTCAATGTCCAACTACAAGGTCGAGGACGAGGCGAAGAAGCTGACTATCGAGGAGATGAATGGTTACGACATGTACAAGGATATTGACCAGGCTTTTGCGGAAAGGAAGGGAAGGACGTATACGGACAAGTACATCAGAGGTCTTCCTTTTGGGTTGAAGCTGTCGAATGGAATTACAGTTGATGGTAATACAACACTAGCAGCACCGTAGCATGTGTTGGATTATGTTGATTATAGTAATAATACCCATTGTTTGCCTTGAAGCTCCATACTCTCCCAGAGAACCTCACAGTGCCTTTTCTTCAACTGCGAACCCTTGCTGAAAAGTCGAAGACCTCATACGCTGACATGCCAATTGCCAATCTGTACTCCACTGTCTATAATATGGCTGGTAACCCAAGAGACCCCCAATCCACCTACCCACGACGATTCCTAACACTCGAGCGAACGTCCTCGAGAACGGGATCCAAGTAGGTAGCGATATATATGAGCCACCCGCATCAAACATCTAATCTCTAATTTAGCGCTTCGTTCAATCCGACCCGAGCCGCAACACCCAACTTACTGACATGACCTGCACCATGCTCAGCGGCTCTCCGTGCACGAACACCGCATCCTGATAGCCGTACCAGTTCTCGAAAAAAAGTTCGTCGAGCTTGTAAGTCTCCGCCGTATCCTTACCGCTCAGCAAGAAGCGCGTGATCGTTTGCCCATCTCTCTGCGCCGTCGGATATAGCCTGTGATTGGTCCACGGCTGGATCACAAACTCGCCATCAGCTGGAGTGAGTGTGTGTTCTACGCCGTTACACTCAACTGCCAGACAGCCTTCAGTGACAGTGATGTACTCCTCTTGATAAGGGTGGAAGTGAAGTGGGGGCTTCTCTTTCCCGAGCGAAACGAGCTTGGGATGGTCGAGCAGGAATGTGACGGAGAAGGCGAAACACCGATTCGGCAGGGCGATGGTTACCGTGGAAATGGCACCGTCGAAACTTTGGTAGTGGTGCATGTACTGTCAGTAGAGTTGTCAATCGGCCAGAGGAACGAGGCCAACTTACGCAATGACTGGTGTGCGCTCGGACAGCTGGTGTTCTGGTATGACTGTGTCTTCTTGAGCCATACTCGTTTGTACAATCGCTCGAGATTTTCAGATGGGGTGACGGCTGCTATCAGGACGTACTCGTCATACGCTCAAAATCTGGGCATGAGGGGCTTTGCATCCAACCCTGATTTAGCTCACTTGTGATGACTCCACATTCTAGATGCATAATGACCCCTGTTTTTAATACGTGAGACGAGCTCAGTGCATCTGCATTATCTGATCCGGTTTCGGAGCTTGTGCAAAGGTCAAGTACGTCAATTTCGCTCACTACCTAAACATCAATCCCGTGAATCTTCTATACGCATCATTTGCAGCTGAATTTGTTTTCCCCTAACCAACATCAGGGGAGGAGGCTAATCTCCCTCCAAACAATCTTCCGTTTCAGGTAGAAATACCAGCAGTTGCTGCCGAAATGCCTGTCCACTCCAATGTCTTTGCCCAAATTTCTTCCTGCACCGTCTCGTTCAAGCTGTCAGGAGAACTAGTGTCTTCCTTCAGTAGAGTAAGAAATCCACGATAGCCTGGAGATGCCTCGTTGACCGCTAGTTTGGCGACATCAGTGCCGGCCTCGCTCGAGGTGCGCATGGTGGGGTCCATAAAACGAAGCAGTGGACGCAGCGGCCGAATAATGTACTTTGACATCATCTGAATCATTGCAGGCGTATTCACGCGCAGTGCTCGAGAGTCACTCAAGTTGCCAGGGTTGATAGCCACAGCAGTAATGTTTGAGAATCGAGTGTTCTTGGAAATGGTCAGATGGATCTCAGATAGGATGGAATCATCACAAACCTTTTGGAGGTGTCTATTTAGCGCGTACATCCACATCAGAATAGCCAGTTTCGAGAGAGCGTAGCGATTTTGTCCGTGGGCCATGTGATCTTCTGGCTCATCTGCGGGAGGCTTGGCTAATTCGTCCAAGTTGGCAGGTATCCTTGGCTTTATCTTTTCAAGAGCACTTTTCCCAGGCCAATGAGTGTCACTAGTAAAAAGAACGATACGACCACCGTCTTTAGCAAAGCTACCGAGCAAGCGGAGAACGAGAACAGAGTGGGCGATGTGGTTGACCTGAAATGTCTTCTCATAGCCATCGCCTGTCATCTGCATAGCCGATGCCAGATTCCAATAAAAGGCGTTGGAAATTATGCTCTCTAGCTTCGGTACTTTTCCTCCGGAGACCTCATCGACAAGCCTCTCCGCAAACTCGTGGACGGCAGTAAGGTTTGAGAGATCAAGTGGGCGGACGGAGGAACTTGCGTCTGGATATTCTGCGAGTGCCTCGCGGAGTAAATTGGTATTCGCATCTGCATCGGAAGTGTCTCGAACAGTGAGTATGAGGTGTTTGTCTGGATGATGCTGCAACAAGTAGCGAACTGTCCAGAGAGCTGCGGAGCCATTAGCGCCGGTGAGAACAATAGTACCAGACATGGTGAGCGCAAACTCGAAAATGTCCTGTATGTTAGCGAGTCGGTAGCGGCGGTAGTGACGGTGGAACAGATTAAGAGGATGTGGCTGCGCCGCGTTCACGCATGAATAGAACGTAAGAGTGGAGCACACTAGTCCAGTGGGGCGTCAGGCTGACATGTCGGGGTACCTCCAAGTTTAGGCAAGGTGGCGGCGTTTATGCGACTTCTGGGGTTCGAACAGGAATCGATAAGCTCCCGCAGCTTTTAATCTATGCAGTCCAGCCCATTGACTGGCCCACACTGTGCCTCTCGGTCGACCACCGTTGATGCAACCGTTCGTGGCGAAGTGCAGTTGCGATGCATGTCAACCAACACCAAGTCACTATCACGATAAATGATCATCGACCAACTATCGAGTTTGTGGCACAGTAGTGGGTAGGCGGCTAAATGCGTTGAACTCCTGCCGTAATCGCTATTGTGAGACTTTTTGGTCTTGCGATGGCTTCATGTAAACCTGCCCACGATCGGAAAATCTCTACTTGCGCTCCACTCACCGGATATAAACAGTCTTTTTCGGCAAGCGAAGCAACCCTAGCTGGATGTCAGCATTGCTATTTAAAATTTGCATGTTAAACCATGTAGAAACAGACCATATATGATAGTAAGTGTGGGACTTGCGTCTCTTCTCTCGACAGGAAATACCGATCAAATTAGATGATGTTGTGCAATATCCTCGTTCTTCTTCTTGCATGGCCTCGGCTTGTGTTTACCGCATCTTTACGCACCAGGCAGGATGCTTGTGGAGACCTCAAATCTTTGTTGCCTAGGTCGACAGTACTGAGTTCAGATTCGACATTCCACAATCTAAGTACTGAGAACTGGTATGAACAGATAGTCGAAAGACAAACGTGGAAACATGCTGATGATAACCTAATCTAGGTCAGCTACTGCATGGGGAACTCCGTTGTGCATTGTGCAGCCGCCTTCAACGGCTGACGTACAGAAAGCCATCTCGTATCTGAGTTCGTGGCGCGTGAAGTTTGCCATACGATCGGGAGGCCACTCACCATCGCCATTTGCCGCAAACACAGATGACGGCGTTCTAATCGACACCTCGTTACTAAGCACCAAAGAGTATAACGCAAAAGATCAGACGGTAAAAATTGGGACTGGTTTGAAATGGGGAGACGTGTACAGTTACTTAGACCAATTCCAAGTGACAGTCGTTGGCGGCCGGGTCTTAGACGTTGGCGTTGGCGGCTTGATACTTGGAAGCGGACTTTCATATTTGTCAGATCTCTATGGCATGGCTTGTGACAATGTGGTCAACTTTGAGGTAAGTTGACGCGTCTCTCTTTACGGAACAATATCTTACTCTTGTAGGTGGTCCTCGCAAATGGCTCTGCAGTAGACGCAAACGCCACACATCACAAAGATCTTTACAAGGCTTTGAAAGGTGGGGGTAACAATTTCGGTAACTAGAAACCACATCAAATCAAGTCACCATAGTCTGACAGCCATACAGGTCTCGTCACGAGCTTCACTATGCGCACTTACCCCATCTACAAAGTCTGGGGAGGAGTGAAGATGTATGGCCATGAGCAGATTCCGGCGCTATACAAGGCGTTAGCTATGTATCAGGCCCAGCCGAAGAAGGATCCATATGCGAACCTAATGCTTCAACCTTTCGGTACCAATGAGAGCCTAGGTGCGATGCTGAATATGGTTTACCTCAAACCTGAGGAGTCGCCAGCCGCTTTTGACTCCTTCTATGATATTCCCACAGTATCAGATGCAACAAAACTGCAGACCCTCAACGACATGATCAGCGGCCAAGTTGTGCCTAACCTTCCACGGTAGGTTTCTGCCGCTTCAATCACTCATTTCTTCGACTAACGAATATCAGATGGGACTGGCACGCTACCAGCTTCACTCCATCCGCTGAAATCTACGAGAAGATTGACTCAATCATATCGACGGCACCTGAAGTCGCCCAACTCAAAGCGTTGACCGGTGGCACACTTGTCCTTGGATTTCAACCAATCTCATCAAGCCTCGTGCAAGCAAGCCGCGACCGAGGCGGTAATGTTTTGGGCCATGACAAAGTGAATCAAACCTGGATGGTGCTTGACATAGGTTGGTGGAGAGAAGAAGACGATGCCACTGCTCACAATGCAACACGTGCTCTGCTCCAGAAGATCGAGAAAGTGACTAGGGCGAGTAACTCGTACATTCGTTACATCTTCATGAACGACGCGAGCTGGGATCAGGCCGTCCTTGACCAATATGGGTCTAATAACGTCGGATACATGCGTCAAGTGCGGGAAAAGTATGATCCTTCATATAACTTTCACGACCTAGTTAGTGGAGGCTTCAAGCTTTCTCTATCATAGCTTCGAAGTAAAACGCCTATTAATATAGATCCAATTCCTATTCAGAACTCTGGAGCCTTCCCGGCCGGGAAGGTGCTATGTCATCCAGCTCAATGTACGACCCGTCATTCGATTGAAGCAATGATTTCTCAGGCGTCTGCCTCCTCGGCTGACAGTCCTGGCTCTCCGGATGACTTCGTGTTCTGGAACCCGAGCTGGCCGTAGATGAAATGGACGAAATGGTCGCCATGACTCTATGCATAGCACCCTGTACCATAGGGTATAGTGCAGGAAGTGCTGCTCCAATAAGAGCAACACTGGGCTCGACCTGGGATGGTATCCAAAACGTTTTGCCGTACTCGTCAAATTGTGGCGGAACAAGAGTGCTCATTTCGTATTGTAGCCCTGGCATTTTGTTACTTTGGGTCTCATGAATACTAGCTGATAAGAGCTCACATCTGGGATCGATCTTGGTGTATCTCTCCATTTGAGTGACAAATATGGCGAGCTTATATGCTGCTGTGACACTTGCGCTAGTGGAATTTTAGCTTGGAAATCGAATTTCAGGAAGGGAGCGTACGCTGCACCGCATATGAAGATTGCAATCACTCCGATACGTTTTTTCACAGTCATTTGAAGTTGAGTGACTGGATGTATCGGGAGAACGAGGAGAATTATATCGAAAGCCATGCTTGTGCTGAACAGTGCCACTTGCGTGTAATAGTAATACCAGTCGTTCATGTATTTGCCTCGCTCTAGCGGCTGCCAGATTTTGTTGAACGGCTTCGCGATGAAAGCCGGAAGGATCATGTACACGATGACATAGACTCCCTGTAAGACTAGCAAAGCCAAAACTGTGTAACGGACTGATGTCACCGCTTGGCCAAATATTCGGAGGTAAAACATGAGAATTGATGTACGAATACTGGCTGACATGATCGGATAGAGCAAAGTGGAGCCGACAATTCCCTAGTATGAATCAGCTGCGCGGGGCCATAGGAAGTGAAGAAGCCACACGCACCTTGAACCATACCACAAACTCTCCCAACGTTATCTCCCATAAAGGCTTGCCAACGCCGGCGTTGATGTTTACATAAAGGGCCATGGCTGTCCATCCTGAGTACAGGAGCTGGTGTTGTGAGCATAGATCATGAGACTTGGGCGTGTGCAACTCACCAAAGCTGGAATGATCGCATAGTCGTCGTATCCGATCGTGCGCGAAACATACCGGCACCGCAGTCTTAACAGAGTTAACGCGATGGATACAAAACCAAGCACGGTGATTCCAGCCACAACTCCATAATGCCGATTTTGGTTGTTGACAACGGTGGGTGGCGGTATCATGCCGATAACTCACTACAGGTGCAATTGAGTTGATAGTCTGTCGAAAGAGTGAGACTATACGTCCATAACTGACAGGACGGGGTTCCCGATAATCTCCAGACCTCAGAGCGCGCGTGGCCTCGGGCCTACACCCCCGTGCAAGGCGCGGTCACCGACGCTTCGGTCATTAGCACGAACGGGGACTAGATTTACCAACAGAACGTTCCGAGATTACAGCAATGTTGCACCAAGTTTTCTTTGTTCGGAAGGAGCACAGTGGCCGCCCTTGTCGGTCTAGATTACCCGGTAAGCGCATGGGGTCAGCACGGGCAGGCTGGCATAAACGGATGGGACCACCCGCAGAGCGCGCTAACGAAAGTGATTGGCCAGACTGAAGAATCAGCCCATCTGCGGCGCACATGCAGACCTTCAATAAATTGGAGGGCACAATATCTTGCAAGAATGTTATTTTCGTTAGCGGACTCTACACGTGATCAAGCAGAATTGTCGAATTGACACTATATGCCGTCATCTTTCGTATCAGTCTCCGCTTGCATGGCTCTCGAAATCAGCATCTTCCAGACCTTGGGTGATGTGTTTCATTCGCCATGTTGTCGGTAAGCTAGCAACGGCTAAAATTCACTCGAAGCCAGGAGCACGAGCGATCATGGTCACGTACTCGGAGAGTAAGCCACCCGCGATAGAGCCACCAGCATACCAAAAGCCTGTGGAGAACCACCACCAACAGCTTTGAGAACTACGGAGATCGACATAAGCGACCATAAGACTGAGAAAAGCTGTCGTTCCTCCCACACTAATTATGTAGTAAAGGGCGCCCATCCCAGCATAGTACCCCATGTTCCCTAAGGCTGCTGCAATCATGGCGACGATGAGCCAGAACACGAGCTTGATATTGTACTGAAACAACACTGCCATGCTGTAGATACCAGCAGCAACGTCGTCTTCCAGGTCCTGGAAACCATACACGCTGTCGTAAAGCATCGTCCACAGTGTACTCGCTACGAATAGCAAAAGTAGTGGCATGTCGACTTGGCCGGTCTGGAAAGAGTACGGTTCGACGTCAAGTGCAACTGCGCCGACCACAATACCCCACGAAAGACAGATTCCAAGGACGGTCTGAGTCCAGTACGTGTGTCGCTTTGCATACGGGTAGTAAAGCCAGGCGAGGAAACCAGGCGCACTGAGAATGGTGTTCTTGGCCACGTCTCCTTTTAGCAGGGGTAAGAACAGGGCGGCGCACACAGCCTGGGACGCACTGAATATCAGCGCTGCACTCGGTGAGACGGCACCACGGGGAATGGGTCGATTGCGCGTGCGCTCAACCTTTGCATCCAGAGGCGCGTCGATCAAGTCATTCCAGATGTGGATAGCGTTGGATACGAAGAAGCTTGCACCAAAGAGTAGAAGGGAGGCGTAAGCCACTTCAAAGGGCTCGGCCCGCTGTCGAATCGCCGCATATAGCAGGCCGAACGAGTGGGGGATGTAGATGAGAAAGAGTCCAACTGGTGGGCTCAGGCGGGCGAGCTGAATGTACGGAAGCCACCGCGCAGGGACATAACCCAACCATCCCGTGCTGTGATTACCGCCGTATTGATAGGCCAGGGATTCTTTGGGGGCCACTTTGGATTTTTCAGAAGACATGCTGACAAGAGAATGACGTGAGATAGTGTGGGCAGAGTGAACATACTGCAGAGGGTGTCATGTTTATACTGTGGGCCGAAGCCGACAGCTTGCTTGCTGCATCACTTTTGGAGTACATGCCCGTACCGACAGTGTTGAGGTGCACGATGCAACTGATATGGAAGAATGGAAGAATGCGTAGCCTCGGACATCATGGAGTTGCAGCATGCATTGCTGCGACTGGCTTTGCCGTGCTTGGCGGTGGGCCTTAAGCTGCCGCATTCGTAGCCTCCTCCGGCACAATCACGGAAACCAAATTATCTATCCACATGTAGCCTAGCATCAGATACAAGGATGCCGCAATAGTGGCGCTATGACAGCCTGGAGAACGCAGGGTCACCACCCTTCACCATGACTCTATCCCACATTCCAGATGTCAGACGGGATTGCCGCATAAGCCACGAATGCGACAGCTGTGCTTACGGCAGATGGTGCCACATATATTACAAACCAGACTCCCGGAACAGGCCCAAGGCTTCTAGCACGGCGCGGTCACTACGATTACGGCGCAGTCAATATCATGGTTACACTTCACTGCATTGGATACTTCATTGGCGCCAGCGTGATAGCAGCTACTTCCGCATCATTTCTGCCTCGTGTCGACTCACCTCGTTCCCAGTTGACAACCGACGCATTAGTCGCTATGAATCATCCCATGCCCAGCCCGATTCCTAGCTTGTTTCGCTCTCTCGACCTTCCTGATGGGCAGGCTAACGCCGTTCTAAATGTCTTCAGTGACTACCCTGCCATCGATGAATTCCTGACTGGAAAATCTGAGGATGGCTCGATGCTGACCAGTGCAGCTTGCGCAGTACTGAAGCTGATCCTAGGAGAGACCAAAGTAAACTCAAAGCCTGTCAACGCCACCTTGACGGACGATAATTGGTTAGTCTCCATCATGCTTGGACTTCTGCCTCTGGGCTTTTTGGGTACTTACCTTAGGTCACAGGTCACAAACATGCTGGAAGTCGCCAAGCTGCGTTGTTTTGGCCGAGAGCAAGAAAGATGTTTCTGTGGCTATGATGATTATCAAATTTTTCAAGCTCAAGTTCGCTACGCGCAGCGGAGGACACTCACCGAACCCCGGATGGTCGTCGATCGGTGAAGACGGCATTCTGATCGATCTCCAGAAATTGAACGCGATCAGTGTCAGTGACGACAAGAAAGTCGCTAGTATAGGACCTGGCCAAAAGTGGGGAAAGGTTTACGAGGCCTTGGACTCGTATGAACTAAGTGTGATTGGAGGACGTATTCCTCAAGTCGGCGTAGGCGGACTGATACTTGGAGGTGGCTTCTTCCATTTTTCTGGAAAATATGGCCTTGCAGCAGACAATGTAAAGGACTTCGAGGTCGTCCTGGCTGACGGATCTGTTGTGAATGCCAATGCCGATTCCAACAGCGATCTGTTCTGGGCTCTCAAAGGCGGAGGTCCCAACTTCGGTAAGTCTCTGGCTGTTCGTGTAGGATTATTTTGCTCACTGAGAATCAGGCATTGTTACCAAATTCGACATGTACACCGTTCCTGTACATAAAATATGGTATACGGTGTCTGTCTACAGCTCCGATAATGCTGTGGCTTGCATCGACGCCTTTGCCAAGTGGCAGGAAACTGCATCGTCCGACTCCAAAGCCACCGTAGCAATGATTATTGGCCTCGATTCTATCACATTAGGCTTTCTATACGCGGAGCCTGAAGCGCCTCCAAACGTCTTCGCGGCCTTTGACAACCTGCCCGCCCCTCTCGCCGTTGCTGTTCCTCCTACGACTGGCACTGTGAACATCCTTTCCCAGATATTAGCATCTACCTCTTCCTCGGAACCTATGCGGTGAGCTTCTCAGATATTAAGACGTGCGTCCATCCTGCTGACCGATCCTCAGTCACGATTACCGGGGTATTAGCTCCGACGTGGATGCTCAACTGTACAAAGACGTCTACGCCATTTGGAAAGAAAAGGCGACCGCCGTACATGCTGAGACAGGCGCAAACATGACATTTGTGCTGCAACCTATCACCGCAGGCTTAACTGCAGCTAGCAATGCTGCCGGCGGAAATCCCATGGGCATTCCTGAGAAGACGCACCAATGTAAGCTACATCAATATAGCCTCTCTCTTATGATCTAATAAGATATTAGGGTGGACAACGCTAGTTGACTGGACTGCTGCCGCCGACAATGCCGCAGTGCGCGCCGTGCCCATTGCAGTCACTAATACCATGAAGCAGCTCAGTGAAGAGCGTGGCCTTGACATACCTTTCATCTTCACCAATGACGCATCGCGCGACCAGAACCCGATTGCATCGTATGGTGTTGCCAATGTTCAGAAGCTCAAGGAGGTCGCAGAAAAATACGATCCTGAAAGGGTTTTCCAGAACCAGCAGAGCGGGGGGTTTCTGCTCAAAGATTTATAAGAATGATGACGCTAGGGGTGGAGTGGTATAAATATTGGCATAAGGTAGCGCTATTCCTGATAATGGTCATCCAAAATAACTCCTCCATTCAATCTATTCATTAGTACTACGGTAGCCTACAGATAAGTAGCTGACCACAAAAGCTTCAGCAACCTATCTTACTCGTATACAGCAGCCATTTCGACAACATCGAATCGATCCCACCTCCCTCGAACTCACACCTCATTATAATGCAACCTCGATAAGCTACTTCTGTCTCGTGTCAAATCACCTCGTTCGTGGTTCACTGTTGACGCACTCATGGCTATGAATCGTCCAATGCTCAGCTTAGTTCGCTCGCTCTCCCGAACTTCCTGACGAGCTGATTAATACCGCCCTCAATGTCCTCAGTGACTGCCGAGGTACTCTCAGAAGTATCCACATATGTGTAGAGCATGTTTTCCGTTGTGAATGCGTACTTCCCTCTACGCTGCTACAGTGTATCTACCCTTTTCATGGGGTGACTCCATCTCAAATGATGCAGATTGTATCTTCCTGGCTGTCCTCGAACCAATTCACCATCTCTTTGTCCGAACCTCGGCAATAAGATGCTATTGTTCCCACTCGATAATACTGCTTCATCCCATCTGCAGGATGGAGTAACAAAGCTCGCAAAATCCGTGGTTCCGTTTCATCATCGGGCTCAGTGCGGTAGAGGAGCATCACAGCGAGAAGGTCTAGTCCTGCTTCCTTATCTTTGTGGAGCCAGTCTGTGTAAGTCCACGATGTTTCGTCAGAGCTCTCCGTGTAGTGGTACCAGTGGTCGTCCCAAGAGCTACTGTTGCTTGCTAGATATGTCGGCATTGCAGCCAGCTTCCCAAGAATCCGCAAAAATCCCCCAGAAATTCGTCCATATGGATCCTTAAATTCAGTATCAACACCAACATCCACTATCGTCGCCTCTTTGATCATACGTCCGAGTTGTAGGTCGGTAATAATCCAACCTCCTGCAGCTGGGCATGCTGCCCAAGACCAGGATGGGGCAACATAATTTCGTTGTCGAATGTTCTGAAGATGAGTCCTAAGGCTACGTGATGACATAGCATCTATGCTTCTCCACACCAAGCCTACAAATAGATGTCCTTTCCAGAGTCCGGCAAGATACTGATCCTGCAGCGCCTCGCCCACTATGCGAGCAAGTCCGGCAATGGCGGGAAGGCGATCTTTATCGAATGTCACTGAGCGGGTGCCGTAATTCGTTGTTAATTCGTCCCAACACTGGTATAGTTCTCTGGAAGTGATGTGAGATTCCTTGAATCTCGTCACCTGGCTCAGTATTCCCCATGTGCTTATGTCCAGAGGGTCCTCATATCCTTCTGTCCATAGATATTTGTCACAACGAAAATAAAATCTCAAGCTTCCAAAAAGGAGGAGTCGAGTTGACATTTCTTGTTCCTGATACGTCCAGCATCTTTGACTCCACTTAGAAGATAAGTAATCCCAATCGTAGTCCGTCCAATCACGATTACCCGTTCTTGGTTGTAATCGAATCGAGTAAGATCCCCTGGTAGCCTTGTTCACGGTTGACTGGACGGGAACTTCTACTGCAGGCACTCTGTTGAGGAAGCCTTCGTGACATGAATTTGAGTTGAGGCTGCAGAAAGTGACAAATGCATGGCGATAAACTAGATTCATTCGGGAGGATTCATGCGACCAGTCATCATTGTCATCTTGTACAATGCAAAGAGCGTCTATCCAGATGTATCGAAGGCCGATTGCTCTTGTGATAGCTATGGCATCCTTGGTAGTCGATGTCATAAGTTCGTTGGGCAGGCTTGTGCACCTCTCTTCAAGAGATGCTTTCTGGGTCTTGAATTGTGTTTCGGCATCTTTCTCGTCGCCCCAGCAGTAGCTCAGTGCAGCATACTTGGTTTTCTCACTTTGGCGAATACTGGAGGAATGAACCAAACGAGGGACAACGGATGCGTCATGGCCGATATCTATGACCCTTGTAGGCATGAATGGAGATGATATCTCAGGGTGGCATCTTGGCGTCCATTGATCGAGGTATCGACGAATTGTGCCAATGATGATAGGGTCCAGGTACGAATTTACACGCGCGGGTGTAACTCCTAGCCACTTCTCACAATCTTTAGATCGAATGGTTAGTCTGTACAAACGAAAATTCAGCTATGTAACATGACTTACTACTGTCTGCCTCAATAGGAAAAAGGGATTGAATATCCCAGTTCTGATTGAAAGTCGTTTCTATCAGCAGCCCTTCGATACCTTTGTCGACGAGGAGCGAGAGATACGCAATCGATATTAATCTACCATCGTACATGTCATGGAGTTTACCATCGTATATGTCATAGTATCTCGCGTTTCTAGCGAGTACTTCCTCCAATGACCTGAGCAAAGCTTGACAGAATACACATCCCAGCCGAGAGGAATGAGACAACCGTGGCATATTAGGCAGGGAGTCCTCGAGCTTCCAATCAAGGCGGACCAGCCTACGTTTAGCCTTTGAACCAAAGGGGTCAATCTGGGCGTCAGGGAAGTGAAGTTGCGCAATGCCATCTTGGTTTATTACCTCCTGACCTCCAAGTGCAAGATCGTCAAAGCTGAGACATCTGCAGCGCTCACAAAGGGTGTCCTTTTCCTCCGACCCGCTCATGGGCCCGACAGTCCGAGACTCGATAGAGGCGGCAAACAACCAAGAAGGAATGAAGCGGAAGGCGAACAGACACAGTAAACTCTCACTTGAAGACGACTTAGCCAGACGGACTGTGTATGAAGTGAATCGGAGTGTAGCCGTTGGCAAAGTGTTGTCCACAGGTCTATGGTGGGGCAACTCCAGCAAGCCAGCAGTACCGGTGAGATTGTGGCTTGATTAGGCAGCACTCCCAAGGTGCTCTGGTAGCCACAACTTGATCAGCCCAGTATTTACCACTCAGCCTTACCGTCCATCCCGTCTCCTCCAAGCAACAACACTTTGCCCTTTACCATCGCTCTCGGTACTGTACCCCGGATGCTAACCTCGTAGGTCTTTAGAAGAAAGAGAGGGCGGGGAGGAAGAAAGGGTATGGGTAGAAACGGCCAAGATTCATCAAGCGCACCAGTGCAAACATGCATGACACACGTCTCAACCCGACAGCTCAAACAAGAGTACTATCAGCATCACAACAAACATATGAATATAACATGTCGTAATTTATCCATTATTTCTCGTTCTACTTTCACTGACATGTAGCATATTTCCTCATTCCCCTTCCCTGCCACTGTATTCCAACGACACATCTATTTGTTCAATTCCTCAGCCCTCTTCTTAAGCTCCTCCTTGCTCTCAGCCTTGGGCATGCTATCAGGAACAACAGGCCCCTTTGAGTTGTGAGTCTGGATATCAGCATGGTTCGCGTGCGAGGAGGCGGTCGACTCGGACGACTCTTTTGCGATCTTATCGGTGAGGCCTGTGTGGGACGATGACTTGGTCAGCGTTGTTTCTAGGGTGAGAAAGGAAGAGGAAGGGCCAACGTACTACCAGCGGCGCCTTGCTCAACAGGGTGGTCAGGCATGGTGGTTTAGGTTGATGTGGGGTCTTGTTTGTGGGGTGTAGGACCGCCGATGTAGAGAAACTCTTGACAGTACTTGTTGGCCCTGTCTTGTAGGTTCTGCTCCTTGACGTCAAGTTTACTGACGTCTTGTTCGAGTGCTTCGATTCCGGTTCTGTCTTCCTGCTCGGTAGTGACAAGGTCCGGGAGACTTTGGTAAAGGGTTTCTAGTCTTTGCTGGTAGGCTTGTAGGACTTGAGGAGAGGGCTGGGCTGGAGACGACATGGTGTGGGTTATGTAGCCGGCTAGAGGTGCGTAGTACGCAGCTGCGTGATCGGTGACGTAGGTGAATGTGGTTGGGAGGGGTGGGGCGAGACAGGTGGGCTGGAGCTGGCTGGAAGGGGCAGCTGGCGTGGGAGAGGTGTTGATGCGGTTAGTGCGGGGGAGGGGCGGGGTCTTGGAACCCTGGTTCTGTTGGACGTAGCAGCGCAGGCGGAACCACACCCAAGACGCCTTGTGGAGACTTGTACCATTGTATTGATGGATAAACAGGTTGCTCTTAAGTTCCCACTGATAGTACTGTAAGCGGCCGCGAGGTTATCTGATACGCTGTTTTTCCGCCGGAGGCGTTGGATGTGGCTGTGTCTCCTTGTGATCCTGGGAGCCCGATGTTATCACTCCCGTAAAGGCCCCTGTCGCATACGCAGAGAAGAGAAGAGATGAATAGCTATCATTCCGAGTCAACCTTGAGACAAGTATATACGTTAAACTGCTTACTTGACCAACATCCAAATCAGACGAGAAGGGATAGAACTGTGCTCGCAGAAGCGTTGGGAAGCTTGCTGCGCGGTAACTGTTCTCATGCTCAGTAGAAAGGCCACCCAACGTCAAGGCACAAACTTACTATACATCCACATCTTGGTCCAATGAGCCACAGCAACCACCAAACCGACAACGGCGGTGTGCGTAGTCATTGGGCGGACAGTATCTGTCTTCGTCGCTTTACTCGACCCGCGACCCCGAACTAGACTCCAAAGGTAAACCAAGCAAAGCATCGCCTCAAAGCCACTGATGGAAGTAACACCAGCCAGGATGGTATCGTTTTCTATCCAAGCTCGCTCGCCGTACAGGTTGTCAATGGCAGCCCATTGGCCCAAAGGCTTGAAAGGAGCATGCCATTTGTGGCCGGGCAGGCTGTGGGGACGAAGGTTGGTGTAATACATGTCGTAATTTATCGAGATAAAGTTCCAGATAAACCACATGGTTATTTCAAGTCGGGGATCATGAGTGAGTACCATGGTCAAGGATGAGGAACATGTTGTGAAAGTCTTGCTTTCAGTCGACGGCGTTGTTCTACATATGCTCATATCGGATATCGGATGGATGGTGGCCATCTCTGCCGTTCTTCCCGAACAGTAGTCATTGCACGCCTAGTTCACGGTGTACTACGAGTGATTGAGAGAGAATAGGCTCATATTCCCCGCACTATATACAGAATATTGTCGAATCCATCGATGGTCAGCGGTTTTGTGCTCATGGCGTGCCACGCGTACCTATTCCCCGCTGTCAGCTTCACCACCCGCCAGATCACCAACAATAGAAGGACTATTGCGCGCCATGACCACGCTCCATCAACCTTCTTACTCGGATCCTCGATACGCTACAGATACGTCGTAACGGTTACGCTTTATTGCGGGGAATAAGAGCGAAAACGATGCGAAACGAGGATTAGCGGCTAACTCAGCCACCCAACCGCGTAGACAAGGGTGCTTGGCCTTCTCCCGCCCCTTCCAAGCTTCACGGACGTTTCGCCTTGGTTACCCGTCGTCATTCAAGGAGCCGAGTCGACCAATGCACAAACACATGTACAGGCCATCTGCTGTTCACCTCGTCCCCTTCCTGATGCAGTGGGATTTCACAACGACATGAAGCACGTTGTGAACCGACGATCGTTATATCCCCATCTATAGCCGTTCTACCCCATACCCGGCCTTTGCACTCGCGACTCCCCTTAAACCCGCTGGCCGGAAGGAATCGAATCGAAGACATTACCACGCGATGCCGTCGCTGTTCGCGCATTCGCTGTTTGCGCGCCAGAATCCCCTGGACGAGGCGAGGATCACACTCAGCTCATGGGACAATTGTATGGCCAAGGCCTATTGCAAGTGCGTTGCATCAGCCCTCTGAAATCCGACAAGCGGACTAATCCCGTGCTCACATTCAAACAGATGGCCTGTCATTGTCGCAATCATCGTCGGAAGCCTCATCCTCCTATCTGTAATTACGTGCATAGCGCGATGCATATGCTGCGGCGCCGAGTTGGCGTGCTGCTGCTTTCGATGCTGCACCTGCTGCTGCAGTGGCAGTGGCGGAAGAGGACACAAGCGCGTCAAGAGCGACCCAGCAGCCCAGTACCCCACGCCCTATGGTGCGCCTCCTCAGCCGAATCCCTATGCCCAGAACCCGTATGCTCAAGCACACGCCGCTGCGCCGCCCGCTCTGCCCATCGACACCCGCCCAATCAACCAGCAATACCGCTCCAATGCCATGCCGACATTCACTCCGCACGCCGCCGCCCAGCCCGAAAGACCCCAATTTGCCACGTTTGATTCCACGCGCGCTGTTGTCAATGAAGACGCCCTACCTGCTATGCCGACGTGGAAGGACGGACGCGACGTGCACGTCCAAGTAGAGGAACAGCCTGTGCCGCAGAAACAAGGCGATATGGAGCTGGATAGGCTGGACCGTAACGGCAGCGTGACGAGCGGATCCATGGGAGGGGGGATGGTGGCAGCAGCAGCAGTACCAGCGACACGACCATCTCCTGGCCCAGGCAGGTCCCCAGTATCGCCAGTAGATAACTACGGTTACCCTCAAGGTGGCTACCAGAACGAGTCCTTCGTCAGCGAAGGAGCGCCGCTGAACAACCAGGGAGGATATGGTCGACCGTATGCACAACAGGACGAATACAGAAGAGGATCGCCAGCATACGCTGCTGGTGATGGTTACGGTCAACCACAGCAGCAACCATACGGCCGTCGCTCGCCAGGCGCAGCACAAGCCTACAACTCGCGAGACCAACTGAGTCAATACAACCAACAAGGCCCAGGCGCATACGGCCAACAGGTCCCGCAAACCTACGACCAGAGAGACTACTACGACGAACACGTCGACCAGCGCTACCAATCTCCCTCACCACCCGCCCCTGCAAACCCTTACAACAACAACACCTACAACAACTCCGACCCTTACACATCCAACCCATCCCCCTCATACCACTCACACGAAAATGATACCTACGCCCCTCCCCAAGCACCAGCAGCCCTTCAGCCAGGCTACCCAGCAAGCCAATCGACAGATCACGCTAGTTTCACGAATGCGGCGCCCGCGTACCCCGGACAGAGGAGTTATACGCCCGTGGGCGGAAGCGTCGCTGGCGCAGGAGGACAGCAACAGCAACAGCAACCGTATCGTGCGTTTTCGCCGTTGGCGACGCAGGGGGATCAAGTGCAGAGGAAACCTGTCCAAGGGAGTTTTAGGGAGATTTAGAATTTGATATTTTTTTTTCTTTTCGTTAAGAACTTGGTATATTTGATGAATTGAGATACCCATTACACATTAACAAACAATGCAAAAATGGGAATGCAGATGACTGACTGACCTCCATAGAACCTGTAACCTAGCACTTTACATCTCCTAATCCCCAATCCCATCGTCGCTAAAGAGGCAGAAAATTTGCCACGAACAACGCGCGCGCAACTGCGGCCGAAAAAAACTATGTTGATCAAACAAACTGCCCAAGAAAAGGATGATTAGGCCAAGTCGCTCCATAATACCCAGCCATCATACCCAAACCATCCAGATCAAAAGAAGCACTCAGGTCATTGAAGCCCATAATACCATCACCACCACCACCTTCCATAGCACCCACACCGTCGTTTTCACCATCAACATCACCTCGTTCCTCACTACCACCACCACCACCCGCCGCTCTACTATCCGCCGCCGAAGCAGCAGCAGGCAATCCCAAGCAAAGCACCTTGTCAAACAACTGCGTGATCCACGGACTCGCATCCCAAGTATCCCTCGCAGCATGCAGCGCCATTTTACAATTCATCAGTCCAGACACGCCCGCGCGCGCCACAAGCGCCTTCTGGCCAGTAGTAGTAGTAGTACCATTCGTCTGCATCATGTAAAACACGACGGAGGCGACAAAGAGACCATGGAAGAGCTCATGCGGCGGGAGCTGGCCGTCATCTGTCATGACCACGTTACAAGACACGGAGGCGATTTGCTGAGCTGCGTCGCTGAGCATGTCTTGAAGTACTGCTGTTGTTGCTGTTGCTTGCTGCGAGAACGGAGAAGCTTCAGCACCAGAGATTCCGTGCTCGGGTACAGTGGCGGAGCCAATGGAACTATGCACATAAGCCAAGATGACGTTGTGATTATACAAGATACGCAACGTTGACGCGAAGACGTTGGAATGGGTATTAATGTGATCCTCCCAGGTGAACTCCCCCGGGAGCTCCCTACGCCACGCAGTCATCATTTCCTGCAGGGAAGCAACCGCAGGAGTACCTGCATCCTGTTTGCGCTTCGGATTGAATCTCACGGCGATGATGTGGCGGAGAAGAAGAGCCAGCTTAGCTGCGTGGATCTGGTAGGCGCCCGATTGCTGCGCAAGAGGACTACGCATGCACTCGACAAGAAGAAGTGACGAGTCGGCATCATCATCGTAGACAAAGTCGTCCCGCGTCAGCGCATCCACATCGCACTGCTCCAGATGGATGCGAAACGGACGGCCGACTATCGACGCGCACATGGCATCCCGGATGACCAAGATCCACCAAAGCCGCTTAATCAGACTGCGGTCCTGGCTCGCGATGTTCGCCCCAGCCATGCTCCTATGGAACCCAATCGTCTCGGCAATCGTAACGCCCGTGCAGATCCAGGTATAAAAATTCCAGTAGTGGCCTGGACCCCCGCCCCAGAAACTCATCATGATGCATACTTGGACGGCGATAATCTTGTTGCCCTCGTAGCTCATGTCGAAGAGGGCCTTGGCTTTGTCGTAGAAGGCGCTTCGTGCGCGGGTGCGGGTGCTGAAGCCCGCGCGGTGGATCATGGCTAGGGGGCAATACGTCGCTGACATGAAGCAGAGGGCGTGGAGGAGGATCCAAGGTATGCGCCGGGTTTTGTGCTGTAGGACGAGCTCAGAAGGGTTGACAATGGGGTAGAGCGGGAAGACGCGCTCGAAGAAGACGCCGATGAGTGCGTCTACAGTCTCATCTGGAGGCGCAGTGAATGCCTGTTTTGCTTCGAGGAAAGCGAGTTCTTCTGGGCGCATGCCAGGTGGATGCGTGAGCTTGGGGCTCTCAGCAGCAGCAGCAGCAACGGCATCTTGGTCGCCGCAGGGAGGGCCCGGGTGGTGCAGTTGGTGGCGATGAGCGCCGCCTTCTCTGAGGTTTTCCAGGACGATGCCTAGGGGAAACGCTTCTCCGATGTAGGTTATGGAATGCTTGTTTAGAACATCTCCGTTGTTATGGTAGCGTTCGAGAAGATGGTCAAATGTGGCTGCCCAGCTTATCTCACGGTAGGAAGACGCACAGCCTGTACTTGTAGTACTCGAAACGCCCTCGTCCTCGGGCGGTGAGCGCTCAGCAGACTCAGCGGTACTCGCGGTACCAGCACCAGTACCGGCATCATGTACAACGGTAGGAGAACTACTCGCGGCTGCAGTCGAAGCACTCACAGCGAGGCCAGTACTTCCGGAAACGTCTGTACAGCCTCCAGCGGTCGATCCTTGGGGCTTACGCCGCGGCTTGCGGGTATAGATGCCTCTTCTCGATTGCATCAGCGTGCATCCAGGCAATTGTCTTTGCTCGCAACGTGTACAAGGCGTCCCGCGCTCACTGGCGTCACACTTGACGCGCTTCTCGTGACATACTCGACAGGCTTTTGCGGCCCGGCACCTGGTAGGAGCGGTAGATCGCGCATGCGGTTGCGGTTGCGATTCCGGCTGCATGCTCATTGTCCAACGGAGACTAGACGCTCTTTTCCAGTCCGGGATTCAGGGATTCCTTTCGCTGGACTCATGATGGTCGTGGTGGAGGTTTGCTTAGCGCCGGTTACTTCGGGTTCTACATACCGGCCTAATCACTAACCAGTCCTAACCTCCGGCACCATGTCGACTTCCGGCTATCCTCAGCATGAGCGAATCCCGGTTGTGGCAGCAAAAAGGCCTCGAGTTGGAGATGCTCTGATGTACGATGTGCATGTCCGTGTTACAAATCAAACCCGAGAAGCTAGCAACTGACAAATCCACCTAATCGGTAAACGTCATGGTTAACCGAGATGCTATCAGAAGTCGATTCCATATCACCTAGCCATCGCTGCACGCAGAACAAGTAACATACATATACGGCTAATAGTTGCAGCAAGTTTACACATCATCGAAATCTTGTCTGCTTTTCCAATGATATCATGTCTCACGCGCTGATCTTTGGAGCCTCTGGGATATCTGGCTGGGCGCTGCTCAACCAAATCACAGCTTATCCTACCCCGACTACCTTTTCTCGAATCACTGGTCTTTCAAACAGACCCCTCACTCTAGATCAAGCACAACTTCCAGCCGACTCGCGACTGAATCTTGTGAGCGGAATCGACCTGACTAAATCAGTCCCTGAGGTTGTGAGGTTATTAAGGGAAAGGGTCGAAGATGTAGAAAGCATCTCGCATGTTTTCTTCACCGGTAGAATCTTCCCATGGAAGCAGACAACGTCACAAGCTAATTCCACTTGGTAGCATATATCCAGACTGGGGACTTTGAAAGCCTGAAGAAAGTCAACACAGACCTCCTGAGAGTTGCCATTGAAGCAGTAGAACAAGTTTCAACCAAACTCGAATCATTCGTTTTACAGACCGGAGGAAAAGGGTAAGAGAACCCGAGCTTCATACTCCATGCCCATCTTCCCCAGCATCACACTAACACAATCTTCCACAAAGCTACGGCCTGGAATTTCCCGACAAAGTCAACATTCACGTCCCCCTCCGCGAATCCTCACCTCGCATCCCCGAACCCTACGCCAGCAAAATCTTCTACTACACCCAATACGACCTCCTGACTGAAAAGTCGCGCGGAAAACCCTGGACATTTACCGAAATCCGACCCGATGGCATCATAGGCTTTACACCCACGTCCAACGCAATGAACCTATCCCAAGGCATCGGTCTGTACCTCTCCATCTACAGAGCCGTACACGGCAAACACGCCGTCGTAACCTTCCCAGGCAACGCGCGCGGATACCATTCTACGCACTCTGATACGTTCCAAGACGTGCTTGCCAAGATGGAAATCTACGCTGCGACACACGCCAAAGAGTGCGGCGGTAACGGCCAGGTATTCAACGTTGCTAATGGCGCAGCACCTGTTACCTGGGCGCAGATATGGCCAAAGCTAGCTGAGCACTTTGGTCTCGAAGCCCAAGGTCCTCCTGCTGCGCCTCATGATACCACCGCTGCGACTACTGTTCCGATGGAGAAGTTTGTCAGGGATCATATCGAGGCGTGGAAGCTGCTTGCGAAGAAGCATGGGCTCAAGGAAGCTGTTGTCGATGAGCAGAATTGGGCGTTTGTGCACTTTATGCTTGTACAGTTTGATTTTGATAGGCAGTATGATTTGAGGAGGAGTCGCGAGGTGGGATTCATCGAGGAGATTGATACGGCGGAAGGGTATTTCATTTCCTGGGAGAGGATGAGGAAGGCGAAGATTTTACCGCCCGTAGAGGCGTAGATAGACGTGTATACTAGGTTATCGAGATTGCTGTGAACCTTGATTTGTCTACGCGTGTCAATTTTCCGAGGCCATTTTCCTTCATCTTTGTCCTGCCAATCGCTGGCATTGTAATATATAAGATACAAGGCCATCTTCGCTACTTGGACCCAGTGCTCAGAATGGTGACTACATCTCCACCTGTTTGTCTGTTTACTCTCTTCATACTACCTCGCGACCGTCCACTCACTAGTTTGTGCCACTTCTACTCGCGTGAGTCTACGTGAGATACAGCACAACATGCTTCATCGCCACATCTCTCAATATCTATTGACAAGATAGCAACCAACGTCCTAGAGATGATATCCATCTGTTCCGCGAGATGCGACAATAGGAGGTATCGTCGCGCAGGAATCATTGTAGGATGTTAGGGAATGTGGCGCAGACGTATAGAGTTTCTGTAGTGGACCAGGCTCCCGTGGACGGCGTGATACAAGCGCATGCGCTACCATCTCATGGCGCAGACGCTATCGTTTCCATCATGTGCATCGTCAAGTCCTGCAATGCAACTCTAAAAGCATCCGCGGAAAGGAAATGGGGGCTCACGCGCTGGAGAGTAGTACCATAGTCAGACAACATCGGTTAGTGCGCGAACAAAGATTTGCGTATGAATGTCGTGAAATCGTAAAGGATACAAAGTCCTACGGCCGACATGAACAACAGTATTCACAAAGGTAAAGGTAAACAAGTCGGGTATTATAATGCATCCATTGAAAGCTGGGGGTATCTATGCGACAGGTCGTGATCGATCAAGAATGATTTCCTCCACGTCCCTAGCACATCCATCTCTCGCAGACGTTACGTCAAAAGACAAAAGGAAAAAAGGTTTCGCTGGGTGGGATAGTCGCTCAAACTCCATGCAGTCCCGTCATTACCACATCCACATCCTTCTCGTACTCGGGGTATAAGGTATAAAACATCCACACAACTCTTCAACAAACAATCTTCGCTCGGTCCGTCACTCTCGCTGGAGAAGCCCGGTGTCGATAATGCAATCGCGATATCGTCGTACGACCTTGGCAGTGACATTCTCGTCCGATCGTCCGTTGTAACAGCAGTCCGTGTTCCATTCAGTAATACCCGAATCTCCTCATGCGCCATCCTGACAAACACGCGTGTTCATCAGTACAACGACAGGTGAGAAACGGGTCCACACTAGACTCTACTAGTGTGCGTGGTCCTTCTCCTGCCGCCGCCGCCACGGCCGCAGGTCAGGCAGCTGATGATGATGCCGAAGAGGGAGACGATGGCGTTGATGATCGCCTTAAGACCAGCAGCGATGGCGTTGACAATGGCCATGATGCAGTTTCCGATGGTGCGGAACTGTTAGGATCGTGTTAGCAACTCGTTTACATGGCAAGGAAGCAAAAGCGAAGGGAATATACGTACAATCGATTTGATGCAAGATACTACGGCACCCATTGTTGCGGTGTTGTTCTTGTGTGTGTTTTGGCGATGTGATTGGTACGGGTGGGTGGGAGAAGGTACTTCGAGGTTGAAGGTAGAGTTGATTGTTAGATGGTTGGTATGTATGTGAGTAGAGAAGGTCGACAAACAACAAAGACCCTCTCACTTATAAGCAGTCGCGGCTACCACTGTGGGCAAACAGCGACTGCCCTTGCACAAAAGCTACGTCACACCGTGTCCGTGCCTTCCCTCACCTCATCTTCGAACACAGGCGCCCTGTGCAGACGAAATTTCCGTTCAAACTCATCCTGCAGGTGACTCTGGTATGGGATCCGCAAACAGCCAAGCGTCGACAACGTCAGTGTGCAAAAAGTCAGGTTTGCTCACAAAGTGCACCCAAAACGGCAAAGATGTACATTCGGCGCGCTCAAAGCAGTCGCGCAAAACAGGGTTATCCCTGGTCGGTACGGTCTCGTGTGGGGCGGGCGCCACAACCTTAAGGAAGCAGCGACGTCACCGTTGGTCCCTGAAGCGGTAGCGATCGAAGAATGCCGTGGCTGGGCCATGCAAAACACGCAGCCGCCTCCTACCATCGCGATGCCGCCGCGCTCAAAGAAGGTAGACCGACCTCGATAAGCCGCCTAGATGAATGATTCAGATTGATGCGGCAGGGCTAACTCAACGTTGTGCGTCGTAACAATGTTATCGTGCCAACCACGCGTTACTGCGCCCCCCCTTCCCCTCACCTGTAGCCATCATGTACGCATCCGCACCCATATTTGATCGTCCAAAATCCCCTACATGCTCTTATCCGGCCTACGGAGCCGTTGCGAGTTGCACGAACCCGTGGTCAGCAGCAACCGTGACGTAGTTCTGTGGCGCCCTGTGTCCGATTTTACTCCAGTCTCCACCTCCACCCGCTGAAGAGGTGACGCCACAGCTCCAGATTTCGCCAACATGGGTCGTGACATGAAGCAATCTCTGTAAACAGGGCAACGGCACACGATGATTTTTTTTCCTCAACGCAATGTCTCACCACCTGCAACTCTTGACAAGGGTGGGCCACGGAGCGCAACCTTGTCATAGCCCCCTCCCAAATGACCTGGCACTGGCAGTCTGGACCATGATTCTCGATCATGATTCTTGGCTCCCGCACAACGTCTTGCACGGTATGCTGGAAATAGCACGGCTAACCTGGCATCGGGAACAATACAGAATGCCATCTTGCCTTCTCAAGTCCGATGCCCAGGCGCGTAATCTTGCGTGCAATCTGTGTACTGGCTGTTCGTCCCTGTCGTGGAGATTAAACAGCGGCAGGCGGGTATCCAGTCCCCCCAACCAGAGCTTCTGCGACAAGATTTGCTAGGCTGGGATGCGAAGAGCGGGAGGAGATTGCCAGCGGCTTGACGCGACATTATCATGATTCCCCATGAGCGTTTCAGGATTTATTGTTTGCAATGCCGTGAGCCGTCTAGCGCTGGTGATGCTATCCGCCATCTATGGATCCCGCTGTGGTGTGGTGTGGCTGGTGACGCCGTCGCATGCTCGCGCAACGTCAACGGCGGCCCGCGTGTAACGAGGGCTCGAGACACACGTCCCTCGAAGGAACAGAGTACGCGCTAAACCTGCTTATAAGGCGCGCCTCGCTCTACAGAGCGAGGTAAGGATTATTCTCTTCATAACCTACACCTGTAGTCTGAATACACGAGCTATCTCCCACTATCTTTAGTAACGTGAAGCAAGCACTATTGCCTACAGTTACGCCTCACACCGCGCCTGGTTCCAACTTTTCTTCTCCGATTTTTCGCACTGGCATCCGGAGTTCTGCGCATAGGTGGAGTCAACCACCACATCACGCACGCATGCACCGACCGCACCAAACCTGCTATGAGCGACGTAATCTTTCATCATTATATCCTTATCATCGTTACTTGGCACATTCGCCTTTGTCTAGCTCCCCGCCATCCGGATTTGTCTCGTCATTCGTTGTTCGTTATTCATACGCATCGTAAACATACCATATCCAACCTCTCTAAATCATACGCCAGGATCTTTGTCTCGTCGCCCAGCCCGACGCAAGACACTGCTGACGCTCTGTCGCTGAAGAAGATGGAAGAGAAGATGTGGCTCGCGTGTTGCTGTCAAAGATTCACGGATGTTCATGTTCAGTGCTGATGCTGTGTCGATGTGGAAAGGGAAGAATCTATCCGGTCCTCCATTCCCGTCGTATCATACTGAGTTAAGTTGATCGAAAGCTGTTTGTTATCTGAAGATGTACTCGGTTTGCGATTCTCTGCTGCTGATGTTGGTCGTATGGCTGCTCTGCATGGTTTGCTCATCTTACGCCGATGAAGAAAGACTCGGAGTGTCTGGTTGAATTTGGTAGGTACCGAGAGGACTCTCTCGTCTATCGATGGTCTCGTTACTTTCCTCACGAGTTGGAGTCTGAACGTCGCTCACAGCTCGCTGACGTCCTAGACCCATCGGACCGCTATAATCTTGCCTGCTCCAGCTTGGACGATGCTGCCGGGCAGCTCTGGGTAGACTCAAGTAGGACACTTGCGAATGAAGACTTCTCGTCCTGTTGCCTTGGTTTGGTCGAGCTGCATTGTAGCGACAATTTTGCTGTGGCAGCAAGTGCTCAGAGGCGGAACGAGCGTTGATCTCTCGCATGAACTCGTCATCTTCATCTTCGAGCTTGGCCATTCGCTTTACCTGCTTGACTTTGAAGTATGGCGTCTTGGGTACTTCCGGCGCGGAATGGACCGACACCGCACGTGGTCGAGGGATATCCTGTACTGCAAAGTCCATGTGCGCGAAATACTTCTCACGCGTAGGGGTCAAACACGACAAATTGGTCTCCTCTCGGTTGCGCACGATGGACATGTAGCTCGAGACAACTCCGATTAAGATGAAAATCATCACAGCAATCGTCAGAAAACCCTGTATGACGATAATAACGATGCCAATCACCGTTGTCAAGATGCGGGCGACGCCGAACCGTGTATCAAAGCCTGCCGAAAGCGCTGTAGTAGCAACCTTGCTGAAACCAAGAAGATACATAGCCATCACGTTGAGGCGCTGTCCTTCGAAAGGCCGAAGAATAACGAAACTGGCGAATGCGACAATTTCAACCACAAGGAGTCCAAATACCTGGATCAAGGGCTGAGTTGATGCGCCGGCGAGGAAGCCTGCTCGAATGAACTCGTAGAATAGCCAGACAACAAAGAACCACCAGCGGCTTCTCCTATAGCGCCAGGCGAGCCACCCGAATCTTGTAGTGTATTGCTCATCAGCATGGATTGATATGGTATCCGCCATGGCGTGTATCGTCCACCAAGGAATCGTAACAATATATACCTCGTCTTCAGAGCGCGGGATACTGCTGTTCCTGGAAATGCTGATCCATGGGACGATCTTGCACACTCTTCGCCTTGCTATGTTCAAGCGGTCGGGTTCAGAGACATATTTCCCGATGCGGAGTCTGGAGAAGCAAGCGTAGGCGGCGATGCTGCCGATACCGAACACCACCGCAACGAAGACGATACAGGCCACTGCAACAGGAGCAGAGAGGGCTAGGTACGAGAACTGAAACATGGCGAGGAATGTCAACATGTAGAACCCGATGAAGACGGCGCGCAGAACAGATAGCATGGTGAAGGCAAGGTAGTGACCTCTGAAGAATGCCAGGCGCTCCTTCTTGACCATGCGAATTCTACTCAGGCCTTCGACAACTTTCAGGCAGAGTATGGAGACAACAATGCATGCAATCGAGATCAAGAACCAGAGCAGTCCAGTCATGAATGCGTTGCTCGCTGGGATACGTTCCGTCGCAAGAGTACCAGCGAATCCCGAATAGTTGCCTGGAAGTGGAAGCCCAGGTTTGACTGGCAGTCCGTAGTACTGGAACCCGCTGCTCGCTTCGACGGACTGGCGCTTCGATAAAGCAGCTTGAAGATTTAGACCCCGAGGAAGCACACCTCGTTTGTATATCTGATGGATGTCGACGCCGCCCCCAAGATTAGGATTGTTCTCGCCCGTACCCGCAGCACCGACTTGCGATGTGTTCCCTTTGTTCGAGCCGATGAAGCCATTGATCATGTTCTGCATTGGCTCAGTGTATATCATACCTCCAGCCCAGGCATAGTTGCTCCAGAAGCCCACGAGGACACTCGGCCAATTCATCGAGAGCGCGCCGGTATAGAAGATGTGATGCCAAACAGCAAAGACGACTGAAACCGACGGTGAATGTGCGTAATGCTTGCGCATATCGGCGATATCGGATCCATAGGCAGCCGTGGCGAACGAAGAGAGGATGGCTAGAAGAGTGAAGACTCCTAGCGTTGAGCTTGCAGCGCTCTTCTGCTGGAACGTGTAGCCGTTGGTGATCTGCGCAGCGAAACAGCCAATCTCATTCTGCGTCGAGTTGGAGAACAGCCGAAGGATGGCCTGGCCTTCAAAGTCGGGGATGCTGAGTGCAATTTCTGGGATTCCAGCGGTGTCGTTCTGGTTAATCGGTGTGATACCTGCCGCCTCGATATGAACGCCGGCTCTAACGGGACAGGCGCTGTTGATGTTGGCGTTGCAAGGGTCGAAGGTAAGATCAAAGCGACTCTCTCCATACGCGTAAACACCAATGTTCATCATTATGTCCTCTCTGCGGAGCCCAGTCTCACCTTCCAAGTGGAAGATGATGGTCATGTTGTCCTTGTAGTAAGCGGCATCAAATCTGGTAACGTTGATGGCGCTCTCGCCTAGGCAGTCGCCGTAATCGGCAGTATAGAGAGATGGCTGCCGGTCATCTCTGACCTTCCATTTCTTGCCATTGACGACACCAACTACCCATTTATCATCCTCGTCTGCAGCTGTAGAGCTTGCCAAGAGGAGCAGCAGCAGCAGCAGGTAGACTGCCAGGGAACGAAGGGCGAATCCTTGTCTATACATGTTTCATCGATACGTTGGGGCGTGTAGTGTGGTCTCGGTATCTTTCTTCGTGGTTATGCGGAGGGCGGTAGATCTGGGCGCGAAGCAATCGACGAGTTTGTCAGTATGCGGCGCAACACTCCTCATTTGCGGAGACCACAATAAGTGCGAGCCAACTGAGGTGAGTGACAGACAGCGGTTTGGGAAGAAAGAGCCTGACGTTGACTGTAAATGGTCGAAGCAGAGTATGCGAGTTCAGTTGTGTAGCATGGTAAGTGGGTGCACCATCGCCGACTTCCAGGCAACAGCGGCGAGAGAGTGGGTGAAGAGTGTGGAGTGCGGAGTGAACACTGGAAGACTCAGTGACTGAAATCATACTGGTCTAACGCGGTAGGCGCTGCAAGTGTAAGAAGGCAAGAGCTATTGGGGACTCGTTAGATACGTCCTATGTCGCAAGCGCAACCTTCCATAATCACCATATGCCTATTGTAGCAACAAGTGCTTGATGCGAAATGAACGATTTACATTCATCAAAGAGGTACTTTGCTTCATTGAACGATGCAGCATTGCGAGGCGCTGGTATTGCGTGCTAAGCTTTCCTAGCTGCGTTAGCGTGTGTCTGCCACAGTCTGATAACAGCCGTGGTGACAGTGTCACAGCATCTCGATACTGACAGACTACGAAGCGCCGCATTATGCAGCGAGAAGCATAAAGCCTACCATGAAATCGTCACCCTGATATTACTGATCATGTATAGCCGTCTCGACCACTAAGCAGCATCGTGCTTCTTATGTAAGGTGCGGAATTATTCCCTCGACGCTGACTAGCAGAGCACATGAATACACTACACCGCACAAAGGAGTTGAACAGCTAACAAAAAGAATAAGAAGAATGACAATTAGACATTCGAATACGCACATACATAATTTGTATATATATATACAAATTCTCCCCGGCGTTCTTCCACCAGCATCCATTCCAGACTCCCACCCACTAGTCACAAACCTCACATCTCCTTCAACGTCAAAGCAAATATGCCTTCCATTTCACATCTGCTGTCCCAACCAACCTGGAGAAACATCGGCCTAGGCCTGACCACCACGTTCTTCGCCCTCGGCGCCCTCTCTCTCATTCGCCCCATCACCGCCGCAGCCGCCCTCGGCGTCTACCCCACCACCCCCGAAGGCCACACCATCAACCAAAAGTCCATGACCTTCCTCGGTATACGCGATGTTGCTGTTGCAAACAGTCTGTTTTGGTCAGTAGCGTCACTGTAACGGGATGAAAAGAGATAGGTACTGATTTCATACACCGATTTATAGGCTTCACGCTAGGGGACAGACGAAAGAGACGGGTGTGCTGATGTGCAGTTGGGTGTTGGTGTGTGTGACGGATACATGGGTTGCAGTAGAAGGATTGAAGGAAAGAGGGGACAAGGGTGGGATTGTAGTGTTGGTTGTTGGGGCAGTGATCACCGCTGTGACGGGGTTGGGGCTGTTGGGATTGTGATCGGAGGATGGCAGAGGTATCTGTGCAAAGCGGAAGCCTATCCAACGAGTAGGCGAGGCGATCAACACGGAAGCCCTAAGTAGAGAAGTTTGAAAACATGTGCAAAAGAGAAAGTATTACCATTACGCATTAAGGTGTTATTCTAGGATGGGTACACGTGAAAGGAAACCAGTATCAGCCCATCCAATATCTTACAGACATTCACATGCCAAATGAAGAAGCACGTGAAGGATTGTCTATCTGTATCGTGTGCAGAAAGAATCCTTTGCATCCCTCCTCGTTATTATCCTGCCATGCTCACATTATGCATGTGATGCGAACAAAATACCCTGATCCAACATACTGATCCTACCCACAAGTAGGAAGAAGTATGCTATCTGGTATCCAAGCATCCCCATTCTTTACGCCCTCCTTCACCGATTTCCTCTCCATTACCATTGTTATCTTCTCGTAATTTCCTGCTCTTGGTATCCTACTCCAAAACCGCCATCATGGAAGCCTTCTTCTCTTCATCTTCAACCAACATGCAGCGAGCGCGACAGACGTCTTCGACGATATCGACAACCTTTCGAAAACTGGAGGCTGCGCCGCGGGTTTGCGTGAAGCGTGCGAGGCAAAGATTCGCTCGACGTCCGTGTTCGAGTACGACGAAGAGCTCGATGACAAAAGTTACGGGCTTGATTTTGAGGTCTGTAAGACGTGGTTGTTAGCAAGTGTCTTTCAAGTAGCAACAAAACAAATGCAGCATTACATCGCCATACGAGCTCAGCTTCCAGCAGCTCCACCTCGAATTGCCGATCTCTGAGACACCATGCGCTGAACATAAGACACGCTCGGGGTAGGTACTTACGGTTACTCTTGTCAATGCGTGCACTGATGGAGTTTACTTCGCGATCCAGCGATACGTCCTGAACGCCGAAGCGCTGCCAGTCGCGCAGCAGACGAACGAGATCCTGACGAACTTTGCCACGGCCGATATGGAAACAGAGGGTCTTGCTCGCCGGCTTGATGTGGAGGAAGCGTGATAACCAGTTCATCTGGATCTCTGGTGGACCGGTACGAGCATTATCGTTGTTGTTGTCGGATCCGATATCGAAGTTGGATAAGATGGAAGATGAGCTGAAGTTGAGTGCTGCAGATATATCAGTATGTGAGATGGAGTCCGAGTGATGGAATGTATGCTTACCCCCCAGCTCCATAGGTCTCCTGCCCTTGTCATCCTTCGACTTCTTGCTAAAGAAGGCGAAGAAGCCTTTGCGAACAGACTCGCTCTTCGTAGTAGCTGTACTACTATTGCGCATAGGAAACTCGCTTCCAATACTGCCATCTGACGGCTTGTGGTCATCCTTTGTGTTATCGATGTTCGCAAAGGCCATACGGTCGTTCCTCTCCTTGCGATCGTCAAGACCTTGCCATGCCTCCGGGATCTGGAGTAGCGAATTTGACTGCTTCTTCTTCACTTGGTTCTCTTTGTTCTCCTGCTCGCGCTCCTGTTCTCCGGTATTGCGACGAAACCACAGCGACTTCTTCTTCTTGAGCACTGTGTTCTGCTTTTCGAGGGCGGGAGGGGCGTGTTCCGTAGGTAGAGCCTGCAGATCATTCTGTACATGATGGTATGGCTGGAGGATGGGTATCGCAGGCGCTTCCTGTGTAGCGTTCGTCTTTAAGCTTGTACCACTGCGCTTGCGAACGTTCAAAGGGGCGATGCGGATGGGCGATCCATCGACGATACGAATAGTCTGCGGCAGCTCGGTCACCACACGACGGCCTTGCGGCCTAATAGGGTCAGCGACAGCTCGCTGCTTGGGAACGTGGATTTCAAACCCATCTTCATTGTCAGCCTTTGCCTCCTCAGGAATCACACGAAGCGACCTAGGCTCCGGACACTTGACGGGAGCGGATACTATACGCTTGCCACCGACTGCAGGCAGCATCAAGCGATCGAGGTTTTCGAGTACGTTGTTGATTCGTGCGGTGCTATTCTCATCCTCGTTCAATAGCTGGGCTATCTCTTCACGAGTCGCCGCCAGCTTTCGCTCCAGGAGAGTATTGGGAGTCTCCGCCGGGATCGGAGGCAGTGGCCGATCTCCAAGAAGCCCCTTGACACCAGGTGTGGCACCCAAGGTACTGCCGCCAGAGTCTCGCGTGTTGGAAAATGAAGTCGGAGGGCTGTCATACTGCGAGGCGTCGTGGTAAGCATCTGACTGAACGCTAGAGCCAACAGAAGGAGAATTGAAAACCACGTCCATGAATTTGTCCAAATCCTGGCTGAACTTCCGAGCCTCTCCTTCGATATATTTGGTAGGACTCTCTGGCTTTCTAAGCTTCAAGCGTGGCGTCTCCGAGCTCAGAAGGGTCCTCAGCTTGGGGGCTGAACGGATCGTGCTCGTCTTGCAAAATGGCCTGTAGGACCCAATAGACGTGTGGGGTCTATGAGACATATGGTCGACAAAAGATCCGACTTCAGTCTGCCAGCTGCTAACTGTTGCCGCGGAAGACCGACGATCACGCAGATGCGAAAAGCTCACACCTCGCTTTCCCATGCCAGTGGAGCGAGCAATGACGGGTGGATTACTAGGCCAGTGTGAGCTCGCAAGAGAGGACCGAGAGATTGAACTCCGCTGAACCGAAGGGGCACGATGAGAAGAAGGGATGCTCTTATGAGAGGGAATGCTTCGCGTAGAGCGGCGCGACGTTGCAGAGCTATGCTTGGAGTTGTTCCGTAGTGCCTGAACGCGTAATGAGTTTCCCTTTTCATGTCCCAGAGCAGTGGTAAGACGTTGGTTGCCGCTGCGGCTGCTGTGCCCCCGATGAACTGTAACATTTTGGTTGAGCGGTGCGTCTTCTGGAATGGGAATGATCGGCTGCCGTGAAGCTCGGTATGGGTCGTAGCTAGCCTCAGAGACAGGCGACTCATAGAGGCTATGCTTCGAGTATAGATGCTCGTTGTTCAATATTGAGTAGGCGGACTGCGAACGCTTGTGGTCGTGATTGTTTGTGGGCAGCTCATTTATATCATTGCGTGCGGGTGAATGCCGCGTATTGTGGTGGTGGTCGCTGTTAGAATGAGCTACGGCATAATGCGCGCTCGGTTGGTAGTTCTCAAGCTGGTCGGTGTGGTATTTCTTCAGCGCAGAGTAGAAATACTTCTCTTGGTTTGCTCTGTTCAACGATTAGCAGTTGCACATGTGTATTGTGGAAAACGCTGCTTACTCTAGACTCAGTAGCTTCTGGATCAGGACCTCCTCCTTCTCGCTGTGCCAGAGCGTGCGCAGATACCGCAAGATCTCGCGGTCGACGGTTTTACGCTCTAGATTTGTCCACTCTGCAATCGCAGGGAGGGGTCCAGTCCAGTGATTAACGTTCGCGTTCTCTCCCATGAAGTTTAGCTCTTGCGAATACTTGCGGAGAAAAGGATGATCCCAGATCTCATCGATGGAGATGCGACGGTTTGGATCAGCGATCAGAATCCTCCCAATAAGGTCTTGAGCTTCTCTAGAGATGTTGTCCGGCATGATGTACTTGGCCGCTGCGATGTCGCGAAACAGGTGCTTCAGATCACGGTCATCACCAGAGTAGTTGAAGGGAGGCGTGCCAGTGAGGAGAACAAACAAGATGACGCCACAGCTCCATACATCTGCCTTTCCTCCATCATAAGATGTAGTCTTGATAACCTCCGGTGCAGCGTAATGAGGGCTACCGCAGGGTGTGGTAAGCTTCTTGCCAATGGGCTGCAATGCAGCCATGCCAAAATCGACAAGCTTGACCGTCATGGTATCTCTGTCCAGCAGAATGTTCTCGGGCTTGAGGTCGCGATGGTGGATATTGATACGATGGCAGTAAATCAGGGCCGCGATTATCTGGCGGAAGATATGGACGGTATGGATCTCAATCAGTCCATGCTGCTCGTGGATATAGCTGAACAGCTCGCCGCCTTCGACAAACTCCATGATGAGGTAACTGAGTCATATTAGACGGATTGACGGGGGTGTGCGGTGTGTGCAGTACTTACAGCTCATCGCGGTTCTCCCAGATATCATAAAGGCGGACGATGTTGGGATGATCCAGCAACTTCATAATGCATATCTCTCGTTCAAGGCCAAATGGAATCACCTTGCCATCAGGGTATAGTGAAGACTCTTGCTCAGCACTCTGAATGAGGTTGGCCAAGCTCAGGGCGCGCACTTTCTCTGCCGTAGCCTTGGAGATGATCTTCGCGGCGCCATATTGTCCTGTGCCGCTGTGCCTGACAAGCCGCACACGCGAGCAGCCACCTCGTCCAATGGTCCTTCCCAACTGCCAAGGACCAATGTGTGTCTTGCGGCGGCGGTTTGAACTGGAAGCGTTGGTGCTTGCATTAGAGATTTCGGAATCGCGCTTCGGGTTGTGAGGTCGACCTCCGTGGGCTTGAACAGCGGACAGACGCTTGTTTTCTGGCGAAACGTCCTCGTGCCGAACGGAAAGCGTACCATTTGGAACTATAGACTCGTTGTGGGGAAGCGGTGGAGGCGACGAGGATGTATAACTGTTGCTGCGCTTTTCGTTGCCTCGCTGGGGGCGTGGGCCCTCATTTGCGTGATTGGTGCCGTCACCGAATGCGCGTCGACGCGTGGGCGGGCGACCAAGGAAGCTGGAATCCATGTTTTATATAGAAGCTCGCAGTTGTCAAGGCGGGCGTCCTCGAGTAGTGCAGCTGTCGTTGCTGTGATGAAAAGGTAAGGCGAAGACCAAGATATGAAAGACAGTAAGGTGAGTGTCCAAGCCAAAAAAAGCTCGCAATGCGTTGTTGAGGTAGTCGAGCTCGCTGTAATGGGTGGGATCAGACAAAAGCCATGACCGGATTCTGTTTGTTGTTGTTTATCGCTGTTGACACTGAGGGCGCTCGCTCGATCGTTTGACCGCCAGCGAGTCCGTTGACGAGGCCGGTAAAGGAAAGACGGCTAGATGTGCAATGCCAAGTGAGTCTGCTCTCGCTCCAAGAAGCTAACAAGTAGATGGATGCATACAATGGACGGGCTATGCAAGTGTCGATGTTGGAGAAGAAATGGACGTTGCGAGGGGAGACTTGTGCACAGACTGGCCCGGTAAAGTGCAATCGAATGCAAACGAGGTCGCGGCAGGAGCAACAACAACACCAACCACGGCAGTGGCGACGAACCTCACAATGAGGAAAGCGTATCTTGATTCCTATATCGGATGTGAACAGGACTTTGGAGGTGTGGCGTCATAGAAATGGACCAGTCATTGTGAAAGATACCAGTCATCATAATCCCAAAGAAGATGAGATTGGTGAAACATCCGGCCGATAGGAAGAGACATGAGATGACGGTCGAGATAGTGATTTTTTTCTCACCTACCGTAGCACAGTGTCATTCTAGAACCTTCTCATGCAATTTGTTCGCTTTCCTTGAGACATATTCGATAGCAGCTCTTGATCTTGACCAACATGATCTCTTGTGACAAGTCTTCTAACCTTTCTAGCATATGAACATAACGTCTACAGCAAAGTTCAGTCCGGTGGGATCGGTTGGCTCTTCTTCAATCTGGCAGATAGGCTCCAGTTCTGGAAACAAGTCTTGGGCAATGTCGTCCGCTGGAGCATCTCCAACGCCCGCACTGTAAAGGCCCCCAGGTTGTGTTTTTGGCTCCTCTTCGTTCAAATCATCCGAGCCAGATTCACTGCTGCAATTATCTGTGAGATGGTCGTCCTCATCCTCAGTATCCATGTTACTAATCTCTCCAGGGACATTTTCTGGGCTAAAGCTATAATCCTGCCGCTCTATCTGAGAGGCGATGTAACGTGGCTCGAGTGGAAAGACATCATGCCTGACACATGCCCAGCAGCCATTCGGGCTCAAAATGTGAAACTTGTAACCCTTTTGCATGGCCAAAGTTGCCGCTGCAAGTCGGGCCATTGGATTTCCAAAAGCACGAAGAACACCACCTCCGACCGGTGCGTCCAGAAAAGCTTTCCAACTGTCGACTGCCTGCATGCTTTTCGGAAGGTGGCTCCTTTGTTTCCGCTGCTCCACATCGTGGTCGCAATCTCCGTGGTGTGGCCATGTTTTTTGCGCCCTCATAATGTCAACGTCTCCCACCCAATCGCCGCCATCGTACACGGAGACGTTCGTCTCGACGAAATATGCTTCAGAGTCACGATTACCGCGGGGCTCGACGTCAAGTGGGAGCTCATATCCAGTAAGAGAGAGATGAAGAGACGTGGCCGAGAAACTGTCAACAAGATCCCCATTGAATTGCTCGTACTCCACGACGTACTTGTTGAAATCGTATTCTCGCATACGGGGGTCATTCGGTGATATCAGTAATGCGAACCCGGGTCTGCCAATATTTCCTGTCAACCTCTTGATAAGATATTTTGAACTGGGTTTTGTGGGATCTTCGAGCATTTGCGATGCCACAAATATTGAGTTATTGTGTGATAGTGCTAGTACTCCTTCCAACTTGTACGGATCTAGCTGCATCTCTCCAGTCTCGAAGAACGCCACAGCAGTGAAGGCGTGGTTGATCGTAATTGGAGATGGCAACTCATGTTCAGGTATTTTGAGAGGGGCTGACGAATACGAACCCCATGCGTATTGAGCCCTTCCAATTTGAGATATTCTTTGGAAAGGGGCTGACCAAAGCGACCCCGGTACGGGTTGCGATGTCACTCGCAGATCAACGCAGGCACCAGGTAGGCCTTCATAGATCTCTTCTACATGACTCAGAACCTTTAAACTTTGAAAGAAATCGTTGCCTCCTGCTGACCGAATTAGCAGCTGCTGAGTCAGTCTTGCTACCTCAACCAAGCCTCCTCTATAGAGGCGAAGGAATCCGGAAAGTGTTATTGCATTGCGAGAGAGTGCAGGTTTACCGCGTTTGATGGGTCGGTAAATAGCAGCTTTCCCTGCATCTCCACAGACAAACTCAAAGTCTTGTATGCTCATGTTGGGACCTGGTGGTAGCTTAACGATACCATGGTCTTGAAGCCCAGAGATCGTTCGAATCTTTGACGGGTCTATAGTCGGTCCATCCATCTCTGTCGCGACCGAATAATCGACAGCGATGAAACTTTGGGGCGAGTCGAGCTTGTCGTCAATCAGCCAACTGAGATGCTCTTGATTGCCGGGGTAAGGTTCTTCGGTTCGACGTCTCTTGTGTCCAACTTGTCGGTTGCTGGTTCTGAAGACGGTAGTGCAAAAGAAGACAGTACTGTCGTCGTTAGGTTGCCGCGCAGGACTGTAACGAATGATGCTTCCCTTGAGACTGGATCTGTCTGGGTGGTTATTGGCCCACCATCTGAGAAAGTCGATCCGGCGCTGTATTTTATCGGGTGTAGGGAAGTTGACGACGTCAATGAGAGAACGCATGTCTGTGAGGCCGAACAGAGGAAGCGGGTGCTTGTCATGCTTTGCTAGGAAGTTCGAACAGCGGCGGATGCCAAACATAATCAGGGCCATTCCGTGTTTTTTCTCCACCTCGCTTGCTTGTTGGAAAGCCTTGCAGCACTTTGCCAGTGTAACCAACCAATCCAACTCTTGTATGTTTCTCATCTGCAAAGGATCATTGCTGATGGAATCATCAAGCAGAATGATACATTGCATCGCAAGATCGATATCATTGTTCTCCATATTCCACGAGGACAGTACACTCCCAAGTATAACATAACGGAAGTCTGCATAAGATACTTGAGAATCCTTCATGCCATGACGACGCTCTGCGTTGACCGGATCCCCATAGAATCGCATATGGGCAAGCGGAAGAGACCAATAAATGGTTTCATCTGGACACCCTTCTCTACTCCCCATGCCTACTGTGATCATACCTCCAGGAGCAATCAATCTGTCCTGCTGAGGCACATGATAGGTTCGAGTTCCAACGCCCAAGACAGTCATGTCTGGATAGAGGTGCCAGGAAAGAAGTCCTAACATGACATCGCCGTCATTAATACGTTGAGGACGTCCCAAAATCAAGTCGTTCATCGCTTTCATCGCATGCTTCCAGACTGCCATCACAGAGGAGTACAGCTCTTTATCTCGGGATACTGGCAGATTAGCTCCGTCAATGACGAGCCTTAGGTTCGTTTGCTCGAGCTTTTTTACACTATCCGCATATTGAAGCCATGCTCTAGATGACATATTAGCGGGTTAACCACTCTCCAGAACAGCGTGATCACCTACCTGGCACTGGCGTCCCATTCGTCCAGCTGTTTTCTCTCAATGTGAATCATGGACGCAGCTAGCTCATTCGCATGTAGCATAGCAGAAGAACCCACCTTTTTACTCAGGATGGATTTTCTTTGCTGGACAAGCTCCTGCCAGATAGAGATCGCTTGTGACCTCTTCCACATGCGGGCTAGCAGGCAAGCAAGCAAGTGCATAGTCACAGCTCCATCGCCCGAAGTAGCTGCAGCTAAAATGCTTGTGCCATCAGCGCCGATGTAATCCGCGAAAGCCCCATGAACACTTTCCTGAGAACTCATCGTATTCTCTGACGTTGCTATCTCACTGGCTCGCTTCCCGTATGCTTCAAGCAATTCAGGAACAGCAGGGATCTCTGACTCAAAAAGAGCGAACAGCTTTCGAGCCGTGCTGTGTATCATGCCGTCTTCTGCCTCAGCCTTGCGCTTTGGCGAAAGACTGGAGCACAATCCCATGAATTCTGGAGGGGCTTCGAACCTGAGCATAGAGAAATCCAGATTAATATTGACGAGGGCTGCTGTGTTCTCCTGGGCTATGTGCATGATAGCGTTCGTTAACTTGCCAAGGCTAGCCATGGTCGCTTCCAGGCGGCTTTCGTTCGCGATTGTGTGGGTAAGACAAGACGAGTCGAACTGAGTGTGAAACCCTTTGAAAAGCTTTTAAAGCTTCAAGATTATCGGAGCCTTAGAAAGTCTTCCTCGAGATCTTGCTGGGGAGTGGCTGTGTCAGGCAGCAGGCTGAGAGAGCAGTCTCTCGACCCCGCGATATGTGCCAACGATGCTGGCGAATCGTGCGGTAATACCTATATAAACTTGCAGTAGGCACGTCTATATGCATCATGACCAATTGCATCTTGCTTTCAAAGATCTAATGAAAGATCGTTCGATTGAGAAGGGAAAGAAGATAAGATAGAAGCACGCACCCTATGTGGCGCGTCGTGATGAGGAAGGTGGAAGTGAGGTAAAGTAAAGTCGAAGTTCGCAGGTCAACGCGTCGTGCGCCTTCCGCACCGCGCCATGCTTCCCCGCGCGTCCACCGTACCAAACTCGCTGCCAGCTCCCGGAACCTGCCGATAACAACGCTCGCACACAACCGGGCCACCCAGCCACATGGTTCAGTCATTTTTTCCCATGCACTTAACCGTCTTGCGTACCTAGCACATACCAAAACCTTAATGCGGCGACCGCTCGTTCAGGAACATAATGCAGATGTTATATCCCGTACTTACTGTGAACGGCAAGAATTTAAGCAACTCATCACAAAATCACACCGCACTTTTGCTTCGAGTTTGACTGCGACGGGTTCGACTTTTGCGACAAACGGGATGTAACAAGGCGAAATGGAGAACAGGGTACATGTGAGAAGGAATCAGGAGAGAACATGAATAAAGCATAATGTGTTTAGTATTGTATAGCGGTATCATCCCCCTTTTTCCAAAGATGCCCAGCGCTCGCTCTCATTCCCACTCTCTTCCGGTAGCAATGCGACAGCTACGGTTCCGTACTGCGCATGTCGCTTGCCGGAAAAAGCGACTACAATGGGGTGAAAAAGCAACTCTGGCAGCATACAACGGGAGGTTCCTGTTCGTCCGCGAAACATTACACCCGCAGTAGCCCAGACACCAGGTTCCCCTATCACACACAGGCCGAACCCAAGCCTGAAACCTCCTGTCCAAAAACAAACAGACAAGTGACGTACATACAACAACAACCGAGATGCGCAGGAGCCAGTTCCCCGCGTGGTACCTTCATAAATACAACGAAGAACAAACAAAGATAAGATAATAGCGACAACAGGGTAAGAGGTATCCGCGATCAAAAACAAAAGTTGGCCCCGTAACTCCATTCCTTTCCGCGTTCCGTTTGTTTCCGTTTCCCAGGGTAATCCAATCAGAAAGGAAAATAAAGAGGACGTGATAAGACATGCATAAGTTCGTAGCGTATAAGAGGGTTGAGTAAGTAATACAAGAGAAGAAGAAGTGGAGTGGGAGCTGATTGCTTCCAGGTAGGTGACGTCGAGGGTCGATTAGATCAATGAGTTTTTGAGTCTTCAATCTTGGGCGACGGGGTTTCGCGTTTTGTGTTGTCGTCCGCGCTGGCTTTTCCACATCCCTTGACGAGGATATGTCGCTACATCAACTGTTAGCATTTATTCCATGCGCAACTTTTGTAAATCTCGAACATACCTTCAAGGCATCCTTCCTCGAGAAGCTCTTATCGCAGTGGTTGCAGGGAAACGGCTTGACGGCGAGATGGATCCTCTTATGCCTCTTCAAGTCATGGTTGCGGTTGAAGCTTTGTGGGCACTGATCGCATTTGAACGGCCGGTCGTTGGCAGCGGGCTGCTGGTGTTGCGGGTGACCCATGAAATGCGGCATAGCGGCTGCATGACCACTGTTAAATCCAGGCATCATGGCTGGATGGCCACCAACCAAGGCAAGTCCGCCATTGGGGTTCTGAACGTTGGAAAAGACAGGGGCCTGGCCGCCGGCGTATTGGAGCGGTGGTCTTTGTTGGTACTGGTAGGGTGATTGGGAGGGGTTATTGGAGGGGATCGAAGGAATTGAACCTTGGGATACGGCGGGAGACATGCGGGGCATGGAACCGCCAGCGCTGATGGGGCTTTGCTGTTGGCTCAGTGTTGGGGAAGGGCCAGTGGAGTAGGGGAAGTTTGAGTGTTGCGGAGTGCTGGCAGTGTGGTAGCTGTATGTTGGGGTTGGTGGTTGGGGTGGCCTAAAGGAGTCCTGACTGAGGGCTGGTGATTGTTGTGGTGCCGAAGAGGAAACTGGTGTTTGTGCGCCCATCATCTGTTGATGGTGGTGTTGTTGGTGCTGTTGGTGCTGTTGATGTTGCTGCTGCTGCGCGGATATCGAGGGCATACTCGCTCCGTTGGACGAAGGCGTAAAAGGTGGAAGTTGCTGATTCATTTCATATGGTGGCGGATTCAGCCCTTTTCCCAGTGAGTCTTGTCGTGCGAACTGGCCTTCGCTGCGCGGTGGAGCAAACATACCTCCACGGGCTTGGCCGTATTGGTGCTGCTGTTGGTGATGTGCCGCCGGGTAGCCGTAGTGTGCCGCCGATCCCTGTGCTGGCGGAGAGTATACATACTGTCCGTTGGAGTATGCCATGGCTGTCGAGTACTGAGCGTTGCTTGTGGAGACAGCTGATGAGCCAATCACATCACTATGAGTTGTATTTGGCGGAGTCAACAGGTTGCCTATGGTGGTCGGAGCCTGCGATGATTGTGATGTGGTGACGGTGTTGGTGAAGGGATATTTGTGCATGGGTGGTGGAGGAAGCTCAAAGCTACCTAGTTGTTGGGCGTGAGGTCTTCGCGTTGCAAAGCTGGGAGGTACACCCATGGGGTCACTCCCAGGATGCATGGAAGACGGATGAGCCACGGCAGCAGCCACGTTGGCGGTTGTGTCTCGGGTAGGTCCTGATGACCTACCTGCTTCGGATGAAGGAGGACTTGGGAGAGATTGCAGCTGTGACGCTGCAAATGGCGAAGTGTATTGAGCACTGGACCAATACAGTCCACGTGAAGGCTGAGAATCCACGAAGGGCAACGAGCGGCTCGTAGCTCAAAGGCGTGATGTAAGAGGAAGGGGCCTCTGGTCGAGAGGGACAAAGTCCAGATGATATGCAGGGAGTGGAGGGAAAGGGATCTTGTAAAAGGTCCTCGTAGTACACAAATACCCGCTCGGTCTATGGATTTGCGACGGTGTTCCCGGTCTACTCTCTCGTCGCGTCAGACGGTTAAGGACTGCTCCGAGTCTTTTGGAATGCTGCAATCGAACGAACGGCCCCGACAATGGTACCTGCGCTGGTTCAGGCGGACAGTGATACCGATAGATGCACGTATGGCTGCAAGTACTCTAGAGAGTCTCAGTGACTGCGCAGCGTTAGTGGTGCTCGTCGTCGCAAATCGAAAAAGGAGGGCGTACAAGAGATCAAAAGCAGATACTCGTGGAACTGTGGTGTTCTTTTAACACAGACTGTTCGGTAGGGCCCGGATTCCTGGTTGCGCAGACGTGGTGCTACTGAGGCGGTTCCACAGAATGTGTGTGTGATAGCTTAAGGCTAAAGGTAGTGAGTCGTCTACTACGGTGTTGTCGTCCGGCTAAGATGACGATGCTCTGGATTGGCCGTGGTAGTCCTGCTGGTACTCGACCCGAGATGATGGATAGCAGTGTTGCAAGATGTGGTGTTGTACGTTGACGATACGTCCCACTGATCCTTTGGCGGCGGGGGGAGTGAGCCTTGTGAAGTGCTGGTGGTGGAGTTTGAGGCGTGTGGAGCGGCGATCACACCTTGTTAAGCTCGGGACCTGGGCGCCCTAGAGGAGCGATGGCGGAGAAGGCTGGAACCTGGGTAGACTAAAGGCTTTGTTACCGCGAGTGAGTGGAGAGCGGTAGCCCTCACGTATATGTATGGCGGGCTAAGGATGTCAGGGTAGGTGGGCTCGCGTGGCTGACTGGCGCGCTGGGGCTTCAGGAATATCAAGGGCTCAACCAGGCGATAGGGTCCGTCCAAGCGTTTCGAGGATCTGGATCGGGATGGGAGATGAGAATTAGCACGAAAGCAAGCCTCAGGTGAGCGGGCGGGAGCGCTATCCACAGGCGCACTTTGTCACAATAAGGCAACGCAAACGAGGCACGGCAGAAGCAATGCGACGAATGAATGACAAAACCACACCGTTCAGGTTCAGTTTAGAGAACTAGTCGAGCATGGGGCCGCACACGACAATGCATTACCAGGGGGGTGAAAGCACCCACCGTAGCCAGACCCTGTCCGCAGACCATCTGTCGGACTCTGCTGGCGTGCGGGACGGCTTGGACCAGCAAAGTGGAGGGCAATCGCTTGCGCCGGCCCGTGGATTCAGGACATCTGATTATCTCATATCACACTCGTTGATGAGCAGCAAGGTGTATGGCCGTAGAGCCCGTCATGTCTTGACCTCTCGCACGTTATGACGATGAGTGGCGCAAAGTGGAAGTCGGGCGGACATGCGGCTCCTCCCCTGACCCAGACTCGCGGCACGACAAGAGACAGGCAAAGGACAAAATGCTTTTGTCTTTCCCAAGTACCAAGGGTTAGGAGCCTACTGACACTCTAACGTGCGTCGGGACTGGCGCCAACAGGACCTGGGAGAGCCTGTTGGTGCACGGACGTGGTCTGGCCCAGACAGTGCTGGGGGAGAGACAAAGCACTTTCAAAGACGACCCTTACCTGGTTTGCCCAAGCTCGCCGTTGATAGAGACCAATCGCCGTTACTAGCAGCGCTGATCTCACAAGAAGTCCGGTGGGTGCGTAGCAGAAGCGCTATGAGATGGGACGTGAGCGCTTCATTCAGTCGCAAACCCCATCACGCTGCATTGTCGCGAGCCTCAGCGTCAAACATGGTCTCGCGAGAAACAGAGTCCAGCTGGGAAGTGCTTATCCCTGCAGGGATTCCTGTTCGGCGACCATGGCTGCGACCGTGCTTCTACCGCTCCGCGAGTTAGCTGACGACATGGCGCTCTGAACGAGCGGGCTAGCGCTAGCCGAGATGGAGCATGACTGCGAGCTGCACATGACGAAGTGATGGACTACCGTGCGCTTAAGCAGGCGTGTTTCGACGGCGGGATGAAAGAAAAGTGGGAAGTGTGCTAGAGTATCGGATCGACATGGCACCCGTTCCCTGTCGATGGTCATGGCCGGAACCGACCAGTTGCGGAGCAATATCAAGACGGTCGAGGCGTCATTCCGGAAGGCTGCTGTTGGCCCCGAGTGTGTAATCATTGGCCTTTGCGAGGGTGAATTGTCGGGCTAAAATTAGACGTTCTACTATATTGCCTACGGCACGTGTGCATCGCAACAGGCATGGTGCAATAAGCAGAGCATTAGATACCCTGCCCAACTCAATCTCTCTGACGCCAGTCCCGGCGCACCGTCGTCGTACATTCTACCTAGATGGGTGGATCACCACGTGGAAGTGCATATTCGGTCCATTTTGCGCGCGTCTGGTGCCGTCTTTTGAGTCTTGGAATCTCCGTCGCTGCAAAGCCTGTCGCAGCCAGCGGGCGTCATCCTTTCAGCCTCTACGGAAGCACAAGGCGCCGGCGGCTCCAAGTGACAGCTGCTGCACAATGGAAAGACTTGATGGAAGCGCTGCAAAGAGGCTTTCAAGGCGTTCAAGATGCATGTGTAGATGCTGTGTCGTTGAAGCCTCTCCCAGCTGCCTGGTTTCGCCTGGTCGCCAGTTGGCCAAGTGGCGGAACGACATGGCGACAAGGAACTGGGGAGACGACTCCGCGGTCGATCGGACTCTCGGTTCGTCTGCAAGCCAGGCCATCTGGTGCCGTGTGGTTGTCGGGCTGATGCCACAGACCATTGTTTTGGGGCAGCCGCTGCGAAGCCATGCCCGTTAAGCTGTGGTGCAGGGCCAAGACAACGCAGAGATCTCGCAACCGCAGCCGATGGCCGGCTCCTTCAGCGCCCTCAGCGCCCAAGACGAACTGAGAGAGGCTGGTTTGGTGGCTTGCCAGGCTTGCTGCTTCTCCCCGTCTCGGGTCGCGGTAGGCGTCACAACGTGGACAGCCCTGGCCATGTGTCTGCTTCCGATGGTGCCAGGATGCCGTATGTTGACAGCTGCTGCGCAACAGAAGGTGCAGAAGGAAGCAGAAGGAAGCTCATCACATTGCATCGGCATGCTCCCTTTCATCTCAGCGTGTTTTGTCGCAAGTGATGGAGTGGGCATTTTCGTGTAATCCATGGCGTCCCGGCCCAATCAAGAGCATCGGTAAGCGAGGCCTCCGCGAAGGGCAGTCGCGATCTGAAGCTGACCGGTGGTGCCTTCCTATTGCGCTTGCATCACACATGGCAGCGTACCTCGAGTAGAAACGTGCGGCATTCCCTCCTCTGCATCTGCAATACGCCAAACTTATTAGAGCAAGCCATGCGCAGACGAAAGCTGGGATCGCCTTTTGGCATTGCTATCCCGGTCCC